GCAAAATTAGGACTGTGCAGAACTATTCAATACATTTGTAAAATAATGCTATTGGTCCTAAACCACAACTTAGATCAAGAGTTCTGACTAACCTTATGCATACATATGGTATATTTTAATTTTTAAATGCAGCCAAGACTTCAATCTAGACCACGAGATCGTTTGGATAATTTATGAATTTAATAGAAAGTGTATATAGCCCTTTATTTATCTGAAACAGTCGATGCACTAACTAGCAAAACTAATTTCGCTCACTAGTTTTCATAAACGCTGATCTTTGCAAAAATGAACATGTCCTGGTAAAACCAAGATTACACGGGTGTGGTTTGGGCTTAATAAATTTCCGTTATAAATTTCTTAAATAGTGCTAGCAGTTAGTAAACCACAGTCAAAAGTTTTACATCCAACCCATCCTATGCAAAGCTGGGGCCAAGTTACATGAGAGTGACCTAGTGTTACCACGGAGGATTTTAAACTAAGGCCAAAACGTGTTTATATCGTTTAATCAGCTAAATAATTTTTACCACGGAAATATCAGTTGTCCGGAAACTTGAAAACGTGAAAAGCCGTTGATCCCGAAGGCAGAGATTTTTTTTGTGAAAGGCTTTTCACGGCATCCCGAATTAAAACAAAAATTATAAAAGGTTTTTAAACGGTCTCCCATGGCTAAGGGTTAAATAAATTCAAACATGGATGGAAATAATTTGATTGACATTTCAACGAATCCTTCCACAAATAAATTTAAATTGCTAACATTTTTAATTTCAGTACTTTTAAATTTATAAAATTCGTGGTTTAATGTTTTCTCACTATGGCATTATGTCATTATCCCACATTTCAAAGAGTGCAGTATGTAACGTGTTTATGACTAAGCAGAATTTGCGAAAAGTATTTTAGCTTCTACACTTTCTTCAGGTAAATTTGTATGATGGAAACTGATATATTCTAAATTGAACAGGTGAAGAAAAATATAAACAAGTTCATCAGCAAAGATGTCGTCATTCCACTCGATTACTGGAAAACAAGATATGAAGCAATTAACACGTTCAAACATCAGTTAACGTTCTCGCTACAACACAAAGTAGTAAGACCTCTCAATTGCTACGACGTAGGAAAAGACGCGAATGATTACCCATACGCGGGTGAGAGACTGGACGATCTGATCTAGAGTATGCAATTGCCCGCGTTAACATCGACCCAGACACACTGATGCCTTATAATTTTGCCTTAACGGATGAAGAAATTCTACCCCCCAATAGCGTATGGTCCCCAGATTACAAACCCTCCCCAGCGGCAACATTCGTGGTAAATGAGATAATGGATACCAAGGCGAGAGATGAAGACATTGAAGATGATAATGAAGAACGAAAGTGGGCGTGTCACTGTGGTGCCATCTTTGAAAGTGCAAATGAACTGACACTCCATCTCCGAGCTCACCCAGAAGATCGCCAGTTCTCGTGTTCCTTTTGTTCCAAACGGATGATAGATAGATATGGATTAGAACGTCATCTTCGTAAGCATACGGGATATAAACCATTTCGATGCGCAGAATGTGATGCAAGTTTCGCCCGATCAGATGGGCTAACCAAACATAAGCTAATCCATGCTCGAGAACGCGTGTTTCATTGCTCAGAATGTGATGCAAGCTTCATCCGACAAGATGCGCTGATCAAGCATAAGCTAACCCATAGCCATGAACGCATATATCTTTGCTCACAGTGTGGTGACACATTTTTTCGGTCAGATCATTTGATTCAGCATCAAATTGTCCATACCGAAGAACGTCCCCATCAGTGTTCCATATGTAGCAACACTTACAAAACGATTGGTCAATTAACTCGACACGTTCTTTCACATATGGAGGACCGACCCTTTACTTGCACAGAATGTAATGCAACTTTCACCAGATCAGATGGGTTAACTAAGCATATGCAAATCCACAGTGGTGAGCGACACAAGTGCAAACTTTGCCAAAAAACTTTTTCCCGGAAAGACAATCTCAACGTACACATGACATCTCAGCACCCCCTCCCCTATCCTTCTAAATCCGAAGAGCATACCCATCGCTGCACAGTATGTGACAAAGATTTCAGCCGATCCGATAAGTTAATTCGACATATGCGAATCCACAATGGCGAGCGTTATAAGTGTAAACTTTGCAACAAATCTTACAGTCGGAAGGAGAGGCTCAAAGACCACATGACGTCTCAGCATCCCTCGCCCATCCTTCCCAATCCGAACAACAGACCCATCGCTGCACAGAATGCGACAAAAATTTCAATCGATCCAGTGATTTACTTCGACATATGCGTATCCACAGTGGCGACTCTCACAAGTGCAAACTTTGTAACAAATCTTACGGCCGGAAAGAAGACTCGACTCACACGTAAAATCTCAGCATACCTTGACGAATCCGCCCCAACCAGAAGAACAGCCAGATCCTAGCTCAGAATGCAAGTCAACATTTACTTGTTCGGATGAATTAAGTCGAGATATTTGTTCCAAGTCGAAGAAACGGTCCAATCGTTGCGTAGAATGCAATAAAATCTTCAGCAGATCCGATGATTTGATTCGACATATGCGAATCCACAGGGGCGAGCGTTACAACTGCAAACTTTGCAACAAATCTTACAGCCGGAAAGATAAGCTAAATGCACACGTAAAATCTCAGCACCCTCCCGTAAATCCGTTTCAACCGACTTTGACAAACGTGTTTCATCCTCGAAAACGCGCAGCAGATGGATCATTTAGGAATTAAGCTGTATAAAATAGTAATTTTCATAAATTTCAAATTAAAATAAAATTTCAAGTTTTGTTTCATAAATTTTTTCAAGAAAATATTAATAGTTTTTTGCCATTACTCTTACTTATTCCAATACCAAATTAATTTGTGATTGATGTAATTAGTTCCATGTAGTACATCATCATAACTTTTAACGTATTTAATAAACATATACACGCACTTATTACTAGACAAAATTAAGGATGTTCGTCGTATTTATTACTTAAATTATTATACGAGTAATAAGCGCTCCATTGATGAGATCTAGCACTGCAGTATATATAGACATTAAAAATGTTCTATTCTATACGTCTGCTAATAATTAATTCACTAAGCGTAACCATCCAAGTGCAGGCCATTTACGTATTATTCTGTAAGTAAACACTTTTCACGATGCATTATTTCCAAAATATATAGAGAATATTTTGCCATGAGAAAGGAGCCTACGCTTGTTTCGTTTACAAGAAAAATTAGTCATAAAGTATTTACATTCTTATGGATTCAGTGCACAAATTGATGTGCGGACACCGAGTGACGCCAACAGTGTCGGTGTCAAGAATCTTTTTGACTACCAGAGGATAAAGTGTCAGTGTCTAGCTTCAACCTCAACCCCCCATCCAGGGTGCATAAACCTTTTTGTTGTCCGTGGTTTCTCCTAACGGGGTGGTGCCAGAATGAAAATTTTTATTCAAGAATTAAAAGTTGGAGAATTGCATGCAATTTTGCAATGGATTTGGGTGGTTGTCATAGCAAAATTGCATGCAATTCCCCAACTTTTAATTTTTTAAGAAAAATTTCATCCTGGCACCATCCCCTTAGGAGAAACCACGGACAACAAAAAGTTTATGCACACTGGGTTTTGCATCTCCATTCTCACCGTGTGTTTGAGCATGGACGTCTACACATCCACCGTATAGAAGGACGAGTGGGGATATGGATGCGACATACCCATTCTAACTCACGCTCCACATAAATGGCTCGGGTTATGTCTGTCCATTCTCACTCACGCTCCACATAAATGGCTCGGGTTATGTCTCTCCATTCTCACTCACGCTCAACATAAATGGCTCGGGTTATGTCTCTCCATTCTCACCGTGTGTTTGAGCGTGGACATCTACACTTCCACCCCATAGAAGGACGAGTGGATGGATGGGGACTTTCATGAAGTTTTGATATGAATATGACCACTAACATGCAAACTAAATCTATGCAGTTTGAATCCTAATGTGCATTGCGTAGCGTATGCATATTGTGGTACAATAAGGAGATATTAGTACAATTTGAATCACTCAATTAGTTTAATGGTGAGCCGTGAATCACAAAATCACAGATTTATCGAAACCCCATAAACTGTTGGGCAATTTTAAATTAACTACAATTAATATTATATATTATATTAATATGGATATTAAAAATACCGTTAGATCAAAAATGAATGAACTAAGTGAGTCGAGTGTCGTTTGGTACCGGTTATTGTTGAACAGCGTCCTTAAAGGGTCGTTTACCCGCTAATAAAGAGAGTGCATCAAGATACAAAACTCTCCATTATTTATTTTTGCCGAGCCTAATTTTTCGTTTATTAATTTTGTCAACTGCTGCATAGCAATTTGTGCAGCTCATTAGTTTGTATAATGAGGCTCAATCGCATTTTCCACGCCATTATCACGTTCGTCACGTTTTTGGTGTGATTTTATCCCATCATCCCGTGAAGAGGTTGCGAAAGCCAATTTGTCCCCCCGCGCCGTCCGCTTGAAAATCTTTTGCCAAGAGTAACTTGCCAAGAGTAATTGAAGTGTCAAATTTATTGCTGGAAAATAATTTTTCATACGGTTATCGCGAAGTTAATTCAAAATTTTTCATTGCGTACACCATGTCCTCCGGGTTAGTCTATTTTGGTCAGAGTGACTAACCCTAAAAACTATTGCCTGACTAACCACCAACATTTTGCATACGCTTCTGAGGTGATGGATCGATAAAGTTTGCAATCTAGTACAAGCCACCCTCGATCCTGGCTAATTTTAGACGCCGTTTTGGTGGAGCTGGGCATTAGTATTCATTGCAAGCCAACATCGACTGATGTCATTTCGTCATTTCTGGCGTTGATTTCAGATGTCGCCAGTCTCGTAACAATTTCTAAGGTACAAATCATGTTTGGAAAATTCTTTTACCCTTACCTCACGCTCCGTGGAAATCAATTCAAGCAATATGACAAATTATTCATTCGAATAATAAACAGGTTTTCTTTATTAATTGTTAAATTGTACATGTAACTTGAATCATATCCACGTTAATATTATTCTGTCAGCACAATAATGAAAGATATATGCGTAACCAGACATGTAGTACATAGTTTTGTTGAGTTTACAAACAAATGGCGATTTGATTTCACTACTTTATTACTAAATTGTTACTTATTTTTGTTCACAAATGTGGGAGTTAAATGGATAAAAATACACTACAACGACTTAAGCCGACTTAGATTCATATTGTGGAGTCGTACACAACGTCTACACCAAATGTTAGCTATCTGTAAATGTTACGAAATTTTTCGAAATAACGACTCCAAATTATGTAAATAACTGTACCTACAAGAATTAGTATTGGGCGATGTAATTATTATAAAACTAGTTACAAAACATTGATGTAACAGGGTTTGCCTTAAAAGGCTGAGAATCATACGTTATCAAGATTTGGGCAGAACCTTTACAACAAACATGCCATATTTCAGCGTGCTTCACGTCTCTCTTCAAGTGTTCTACTTTTACGTGGGGGTGAAGCCTCTTTCAACTTGAAGAGCACTTCAGGATCATCTTGTTTTTCTGCTCGCTTTTTCCGGTCAATATCGTCTCCCAACTTTTGAACGTTTATGATAAAATCTTGTTTTCTGTAAGGGCATGTTTGGTGACAATATTTCGCATGCAGCCCATCTTCTCGCAGCCACCGTTCCGTTCCAAAGTTGAGGGCCTCTGCTAAATTTATCCCTAGATTAAAGCATACATTATTCATTATTACATTAGGGCATATAAGGGGAAAATGTAATGAATAATTCAATAAATCAATTACCCAGGTTGTAACCCAAGTGCCAACCCCCGGGAAAGGTTATAATAAAGTCCCCCACATTTTGAACCACCTATAAAAAAACACGAGAATGTGTTATTACTATTATTATTAATCCACTCTAGGTGTACAGGAATTCCAAACCCACTTATGCCAAAACGAATGCCATATTTCTAAAATAACGCTGGACTAAAAAATATTGTTTTGTGTCGGTAGAACGTGGGGCAGTTCTTCATTTGATCGGGGTACAGGTCCCGCAAAGCGTCCAAGAGTTTTCCCGTGTCGTCTGGATGGATGGTAAACCTGTTTATTATAAACAAGCAGAAAGAACCCTGAGTTAAGGATCAAAATATACACAATTATACATGTGTATATACATATAATTAAAACTAACCACACTTTTCCAGCTCCGCTTTGCAGATAATTTATGGAGTAGGTATTCGAATTTTCAATGTGCAGTATAAATTTGGATTTTGGTGAACCAAAATATACGAAAGATCTTGTGACATCTTCCACTGGGGAATTATTGAACTGGGTGTGACACAACTCCAAATTTGATCTTAAATTTCGTAGATTCCAAGGGTGGGATTTTTTGCTAAAACACGTCTGGGGGATATCATTGGCGTACAAGGCATTGCAAAAAGACATGTCATCATCACTGAAGACTTGCTGTTCGAATTCCACAGGATTTGCTGGAAGATTTGGATTCCTAAGAAATGTCACCGTAACTCGATACTGACCGTCAAATAAATTGTTTGCAATTTAATTGTTTGCTCACAGTTTAAGTGAAAGATTTTTGAACTCCTTGGGGCTCATAGGATTGTGCTCTTCTTGGTGAAGCTCGTAAACTTTCTCCTGTACCCTAGTCAAAACTTGCCTCTTGGGTGTAAACGTTATGCCGTCTAAGTCCCGAAAATAGGATTTATCAAGAAAATCCTTGGGGGGACGATTTTGATCAGTCGGGATATTTTGTGATCACCATTTCTTTCGGCCATATTTGTTGTGAAAGAAATAATCCCCTGTTTTAATTGCTCCTCCGTTGCGAGGTAGACCGGGACAAACAAATATACATGATTAGGTCGTCCACTGGCTCGTTTATTAATCAATACAAAATAAATTGAGGGTTTTTTTGATATAAATTGTTAAACTTTGTTTTGTTGTATATAGTTACCAGTTCCAGAGGAGGGGGACACTATGCACCCCATTTGAACATTCTTACCAGTGTTTTAAAAATATTTTGAAGACACGGCGTGAAAATTAATCTCTAAAACGATGAACAAGCTGAGAGACTGCGAGAGAGAAGCAGAACGTTGTTGTGATAAAGAAAGTAGTGAGAGTCGTGCCGGTGTTTTTTCGCACCACTGCCGTCACCACAACCAAGTGGAGCAGCTCGATTTACTTGAGAGAGTTGACTGCGTCTCTTTATACCCTATGTGAATAGTTTTTGCAAAATTATGACACAGGAAATTTCTTTGACAGGAACACGACAATTGAGGCAAAGTTTCCAAAGCAAATCAAACTAAATTGGCAAGAAAAGGCTGATAATTTTTACGCGAATAGTATATATTTTTTATTCATGTGATCTATACGACCTCCACATTGCTGGAGGCAGTATGTTGGCGACGAGGTAATGGAGTTAAGAGGCATCACTTTCCCCTCGTCCTGACTACGAGGTTTCGTCGATTGACCTCCAATGATTATTTGCATCCCGAAAATTTCTTCTGGTAAATGCTAGAATAAAAAGTAAATGTTAGAATATGCGTAACCGGAGAGTAAATTAATCAGCATACGTTGTTAGTCTTCCAAACTTTGCAGTCATCAGTATTCTGGTAAAGGTTGTCAGCTTCAAGTGGAATGGTCTTGTGGACAGGTGAACAACCAATCAATAACCATGCTCCTGAACAACATGTAAAATCCACCCAAAAGATTAATCAAGGACTAGAAATATATTTACTAAATGTGCACTGGATGTACAATCTTCTCGTCAATAACACTGTAATTGCCTTCACGCCAACAATTATTCTGGGCACGCCAATAATTTCCGTCACCCCAATAATACTCGTCACGCCAAACATTGTCATCACCACCTTAATTCTCGGCACGCCAATCATTCTCTTCACGCCAATAACTCTCGTCACCCCAATAATTCTCGTCACCCAATAATTCTCGTCACTCCCACCATTATTCTTGTCACCCCAATCCTTCTCGTCACGCCCATAACTCTCGCCTCGCCAATAATTCTAGTCACGCCAATCCTTCTCGCCACGCCAATAATTCTCGTCACGCCAATAATTCTCGTTACTCCCACCATTATTCTCGTCACGCCAATAATTCTCGTTACTCCCACCATTATTCTCGTCACGCCAATAATTCTCGTTACTCCCACCATTTTTTTTTTTTTTTTGTATATTTTATGACGATATATTTATTATTAACATAAACATTGATAAACTATGAAATACACTTAGGAGGAGAGTACGCCAACCTAATAATGACAGATCTTGATGTCCTTTGGGTATATGGTAGTACCCCCTCTGAAAGTAAAAAGTGTGAAGCGGTTTGATGCCATGGCCCAATTTACGCCCGTCACACCCCTTTGAAGGCGCGCCCGATGCCAAACTAACTGCACTAAAAAATTCGCCAAAAATCCAATTTTGTTCGGATTTTCATAATAGTTACATATTTATGATCCCAAATAGTTGCTTTATCATATCTGATATCAATCTGAACTTTTTTGGAATTTTGAATTTTTTCAAGCCATGCCCTTTTCAGGAAATATTCGAAAATAGTGAAAATTTCTGAAAAGTTAATTTTGCAACTGAATATGATAAAGCAACTATTTGGGATCATAAATATGTAACTATTATGAAAATCCGAACAAAATTGGATTTTTGGCGAATTTTTTAGTGCAGTTAGTTTGGCATCGGGCGCGCCTTCAAAGGGGTGTGACGGGCGTAAATTGGGCCATGGCATCAAACCGCTTCACACTTTTTACTTTCAGAGGGGGTACTACCATATATCCAAAGGACATCAAGATCTGTCATTATCAGGTTGGCGTACTCTCCTCCTTAGTTGGCTTGGGGAGTAGAGGAAAAACCCGATGTTGGTGGGTTGGGAAAACCTTTACTTGATCCGGATAGGCGTCCGTGATCACCATTCGGCCCCTTACATGATTTTTGTAAATAAAACGACCTATCATTTAAAATATAAAATAATTCTTCTAATCCTCGTTGACTGGGGACAGCTCCCATGATTGATGCCGCATTCCCGCGTTGAACTGCCAAACTAATCCGTTGAATGAGAAAAGTTGTCGACATTGGTCCAGTGACATCCTTCATCCTCCTCCCAACGTCTTGGATGAACTTCAACCCTTCCGTCCCCCATACTCCTGATGTCTCGATAGCCACCGGAACAAAGATATAGTTTGTTTTAAGTTCAGAGTACAGTTTGTGTATTTTGGTCTCGGCTAGTTTTGCTGCTGTGCCAGCATGTCTAAGTGTGTGAGAGAGATAAGAGGGGGCAAAAGTGTCTGTACATGTAAAGTCCCATATTAGTGAGCGTCCCTGTTTGTAAGGTATTAGTGTTAGACCATCCGGTCTAACATTAATACTATATACATTAATACTATATACATTAATACTCCCACCATTATTCTCGTCAAGCCAATAATTCTCGTTACTCCCACCATTATTCTCGTCACGCCAATAATTCTTGTCACCCCAATAATTCTCGTCACGCCAATAATTCTCGTCACGCCAATAATTCTTGTCACCCCAATTTTTCTCGTCACCCCAATAATTCTCGTCACTCCCACCATTATTCTCGTCACCTCAATAATTCTCGTCACTCCCACCATTATTCTCATCACGCCAATAATTCTCGTCACCCCAATAATTCTCGTCACTCCCACCATTATTCTCGTCACGCCAATCATTCTCGTCACCATAAATAATTGCCTTCACGCCCACAAGTATTCTCGTCACCACAATAATTGCCGTCAAGCCCACAATTACTCTCGTTACGCCAATAATTCTCTCACGACAATAATTGCCGTCAAGCCCACGAATATTCTCGTCACGCCAATAATTCTTTCACCACAATAATTGCCGTCACACCCACAATTATTCTCGTCATGCCAATAATTCTCTCACCACAATAATTACCCTCACGCCCGCAATTATTCTCCTCACGCCAATAATTGCCTTCACGCACATAATTATTTTCGTCGCCAGAAAGCTTGTCACAGCTAGTTCATGCAAACCTTCTTCCTCGTTTTCTAAACACAAACAAAAGATAGATTAGATGTATTTACAAAATTTGAAACTATGTCCTCTGCTCGCTACGTTCCTTCAATGGAGTAAGAAGAATCGTAGTTCCCACGTCAGAGTACAATGCGAGACTTTTAGTGAGAAATATGTAATCCTCGCTGTATGTAGTCTGTGCTCGTGTCCTTTCACGTTAGCTACCGACATACATAGCAAATTGTTTTGAAACGAGCTTGGGAACGGTTCAGCGGTCACTACTGGAAGAAATAACAATGACCAATTGCTTATAATAATTTTGGTCTCAATGGTTACTTACCAATTTATTATTTTCACAGTATAATCTAAAAATAATTCTTAACATCAGTCTCACTTACTCGAGCTCCCAAAACAGTTTCTAGATGCTATTACAACTGCTAATACAACTTTTATATGCAATCACCAGCTTCAATGATAACTGTAATTCGCCCCAAAAAACGCAAATTTGTACATCTTTGTGGCATTTTATTGCAAATATAATGCATGAACATTCAGTGAATTTATTCCGGTCAATCATCATACGTATTAAAAGACCTGGGAGCTCATGCTCGAACGCGTCGTTAGCTTAGCGACGTCGTAAAAATTAGCGACACATGCTCAAAATAATTTTTAGCGATGTCGGTATTGCTAAGGACACCTTTGAGCATGTGTCCTTAGCACTTGTCGTTAGTAGCGACACCGACGTATGCTCAAAACTTTGATTGTCGGTAAGACCTTGGAATTTGTCGTAAAAGTTTTCGACGCCTAAATAACTATCGAAACGAGATAAATTTGTCGTAATTTGCTGTTAATTAGGATTCGTTCATATATTATGTAAACATTTTATGGGGGGAGGGGGTCAAGAAGCTATTGACGATTGTTGACGAGGGATTGGGTATGTTGGTTTGCATATGTTGATGCCAACTTTGTTTTGGGCAAATTGAGTCGCTGGATTGCGAAATTCTTAATGAGTTTCCGCAACTCAGCTCAAACTCATTATTGTTCAAATCACTCATTTTGAAACGAGTCGTTTGAAATGAATTGAATGAATGAAATGAATTGACTCAAACTCAATTCAACTCATCCTCAGCAACTCATGAGTCAAATGCGTTGACTCGAACAGTTCGAGTCGAACTCATTGGCAGTCCTAATCGAGAGAGATCGAAGGAAAAAAATATAATTATGCGGCGGTTACGTGCTTATCAAAAATGAGATTTATGAATTTTTAGATAATTCGCAATTTTTTCGCAATTCGCAATTTTTCACAGTAAATTTGCTTAAAAATTAATTGGAAATTTTTTTTAAAACAATTTGTTTATAGTATAAAAATTTAGCCTTAGATTAAAATATCAAAGTTGCATTTACCCTAAAATTAATTATAGACTAATTTTAAATTTTGTACACTCAATATTAAGAGGACCCGTATTTTTGCATTTTTCTGAATACCCGTTTTAGTCCGTAACGGAATTTTCAAACAAATTTTAAGCTAAAATCTTGATTTTGTAAATTCTATAACTTTTTAAATTATGACATAATTTTAAAAACTCGAAAACATGTCTGCTCACAATGACTTCCCCATTTTACTTGAGAATTTTCTTTGATAGTTTGACAAGTTATTATAAGTGGGTTGAAATTTTATCCCACTCCTACACCTAAAATAAAGTGGTAGTAAACGTAAGAACAAAACTCCTCAGTTACCAAGATCGTTGTGAACCACTCCCTTAATCGGAAATGGATTACAAATTTTAACGATTTTTTTTTCGACAATGTCGTTAAACTCATAACGACAACATTTTCCGACGCCTTGACGACAAATGATGAGCATACGTCGTTATAATTTGTCGTTATTAAGGCGTCGTTAATTTACGACGTCGGTAAGTTAAGGACGCGTTCGAGCATGAGCTCCCTGTACTTATTACCATAGGCCGATCTTGACCAAGGCCAGCATTGAAACTCGCAATCAGAATGTCTTAAAAATAAAACACTGTACGTAATATTCTGATTGTTTTTTATGTTAATGACTGGTTTTGACTTCCTACTTCATGAGCTCTTCCTATTCCGGAAAATCTTACTCCATAGGTACGGTGACCAGCGGTTATTTTTTCTGTACATCGCATGTACCGAAATCAAGGAAATGTATACCCACATTTTTCATTTTCATATACATTTTTCCCATCTCTCTATATCCTAAATAATTTTTCCGTCCTCTTTAACATAGAGTTTCTCTATGTACATGTCGAAATTCGCATCCGTTCTCAAGAAATCATAATGCGGACGAAGGACGGAGTTTGACCCATTAATAAAAGGTCAGAAACGAAAGATTCCGAAAAATTTTATAGAGAAAATATTTTTGAATTAATATTTTCTACAATATGCGGAGGTTTCAATTTGGTTTGTCATGTCCATTCTGGATGCTACATGGTGCCGCAAATTTGCTTCACCCCACGTACTCTCCATTCACACAAAGAGTTGGTTGCTAAGAGTAAAACTCTGTAACCCCGTAATGATGAGGGGCTCGGCCATATCAAATGAGAAATAAATCTATCTATCTATCTTATATCTTATCTTATCTATCTAACTACGTGAAATTAAATCAGCATGTCTGCAATAAGGAGGGTAGTTTCGACAAGCCAAAGAGTTCACAATTACTGTACTGCTAGAAGCATGGGGCCAGGGGTGCCAACTTCAACACCCTAGGTTGGCGAAACCACCATTATTGCCTACAAGAGAACTTGGAATTAGTTCAGCAGGTCAACACTAATGATAGTTTCGCCAACCCATAAGGTTGAAGTTGGCACCACTGGCATGCATTTGAAATATACGTATAGTACGCGTATAGAATGTCAAAATTTTTAAATGATTGGATTTTGAAAAGTATTGTTATAAAATGGCTTCGCTAGTTCGCTCTACAGATTCGAACAGTGTAGCTAATGCAGAATCTTATTGTAAAATCAAGTCTTGAAAATTTTGATTTTTTGTCCTACAAAAATTGGTCAAAAGTTCTGACTGTATTTACCTGGGTAGAAAAAGGTATTGATGGATTTGAAATGTAAAAAGAGCTAGGCTCTAATGTATTCATTTTTAGCCCAAACCAGGGCTTATGTACCCGTGTTGTCTGTCTGTCTGTCCGTCCGACGATAACCATCTTTAAACTTATCCGATCGACTTGAAATTTTCCACACATCTAGACTATGCAAATACACAACTCGAGTTCGAAGATGGGCGACATCGGTCCAGTGGTTGACCCGTGGGGCTCAGCGGAGTGGGTGTGGTATTATGCACCAAAATTTCTTGTCGTAGAAAGCTGAAATTTGGCATAGAGGTTGCTAGTGGCTCCTAATGAAAGAATATGAAGCAAAATCGGTAAAATTTTCATATCCGCGGACCCCTTGGGGTGACCCATACCGATTTTCATAGCTTGTCGCAAAAAGCTGATATTCGGAACGGTGATACTTAATGGCTTCTCATGAAATTATATGAAGCCAAAGAGGAACAAAAAGTAACCAGATGGGCAATAAGGAAGGGGTATCCATACCGATTTCTAATATATATTCAGATAAAATTTAGTGTGGAGTCAAAAAGTAACTTAGGATTAGAATATAGGAGGGTTGAATTTCGAAATTTTTATACGAACAGCCTCTACTGCTCGTGGTATTTGGTTTGGTGCCAAGTAATACTACCAACTGACGTTAGTTAATGCAAGAATTAGTGAAAAATAGTATAGCATTCTGACAAACATGGGTTTACTAATCAACCCTGGTTCGGGCTGAGCAAAGCTGTACTGATTGGTTGTTTTTTAGTTAAACTAGAATTTAAAAGTAAACTAAGTCGCTTTGTTTTTTTAAGAAAATATTGGTATAAAATGAAATTTGATGCAGTAAATGAGAAGTATTTATGTGCATATGCATTAAATGGATTGTGAAAATCGTAAATAAAAATTTATGAATGTTAAACTCTATGTTAGCAAATCTGTAATAAAGTAAATGAAAATGAACGAAATTACTCATCAATTTTGTACCAATACTTGTCAAGGATAGTCTCCGTCGGCGTAGTTGTTCTTTGCAGGGGCAGAGAACAAAATATGGTGCGCGGCAGAATGAAGTGGACTTCAATTGCACCTCCACATCGCACAACAGCTCTGGTACCCAAAGGCGTTCCTCACTCGGAATCTAGAAAATTTTCTCGACCCCTCTGCGTGGCATGTTCCTAAAATTAAAAGAAAATGTCCTTGAATTGATTTATTTTGTGTAGTTTTGAGAAATTTTGTGGATTTTTGAGAAATTTTGTGGATTTTTGAGAAATTTTGTGGATCTTTGAGAAATTTTGTGGATCTTTGAGAAATTTTGTGGATTTTTGAGAAATTTTGTGGATTTTTGAGAAATTTTGTGGATCACATTTTGTGGATTTTTGAGAAATTTTGTGGATTTTTGAGAAATTTTGTGGATTTTTGAGAAATTTTGTGGATCACATTTTGTGGATATATTTTGTGGATTACAGTAAAAGTAGCTACAGTAGAAGCAGAGCAATTTTTGAAGACGACCAGCGTGGACAAAGTCTTGGGACGAGTCTCAAGCTTCCTGGTCCTTTTGTAACCATCCACGCATCCCCCAATTTTTCGTATTTCCCTATCCATCAATGTTAACAATAATGACAAAATGTACAATGTATATACCATGTTTAGGTTATTGTGTGTAAATTTCAATCCCCTGGACAAAACTATCCTAATTGCCGACCTCTTGATTTAATCCCATGTAGTTTACAACCTGATGAACTTGGAACTTAACAAGCAACTCTCCAACTATTATAGTTTCAGGAACCCAGAGGACTGAAATTTGCACTACGTTGCCCTATGCTTGCATAGGGCGCACATTTAAGCCCCCAAGGTTCCAGAAGCCATAATAGTTGTAGAGTTGCTGATGAAATTACTTTTAGTCTATTAAATTACTATTAATCCACATTACTAGGAATTTAATCGGCAATCAGCAAGTCGGCAATTAAGATAGTTTCACGAAACCTGGGGGTTGAAATTTGAACTACCTGAAGTTATGAGGCATACTTCTGAAGTATTTTGGTACAACGATGCTACGATCATATCGTGGGATATGATAATGGATCTTCAATACATCAATTTAAATAATTAAAATCGCTCAATCCTGTGAACGTTTACTCCTATCAATTAAATAGATATCAGGCTATACAAGAAACATCACATAACCAAAATTTCTCAAATTACTGAGCAAATATTTTGAAATTACGGTAGCGTATGCCCATCAAACATACAGCTTGACTTAGGCTAAATAATATCTGCTTTATTGAGGGAGCTGCTATGCAGACATAATTGAGACAATGCAGACAATGTAGGTGTGTCGCTATTTCTGAAAATAGGGGGATCACCCCCCCCCCCCCATAGGATCCCTCTGAGTAAATTTATTACATGCCAATAACACTCGATGCGCCAAATTTCAGCTTTCTAACTCTATTTACAAGTTTGCTGTGGATTCCGCAAAGTAGTTGGTTTTTAATCACGGTAATTGATGTATGTATATGAGAAGTAGTTTTTGTGGATTATTGTTGCATGTGATAATACGAACATCCGTTGTTTTTTGTTGAAAATAAAATTTAACATGGGCAGATGATGTGGACAACACTATGGAAATATTCTCAGCAGTAAATATGCAGATATAACTACATGGAGGGCTTATTTATGATGATGATAAGGCAAATATGTATCCACTAAACAAACAGATTCCCAATTATAAGATTGTTTTATGCTAAACCAAAGATTTTCTTGTGATTCGTGATTAATTATGTGATAACATAGTGGGTACATCTGTTTATTTTAGTTTAATTTTAGATACTGGATGATTTAGATACATATTGATTTATAGAATTGTGAATTACTAAAGTTGTGTTACTCTTTTAAATGATGTGAAGAATTTATTATTGGAATTGAGATTATTAAACACATGTAAACGATATAATTACTCTCTTGCTCAACTTGCAAAAACATTCCGATGATAATAATGACTTGTGGTTTAATTCTTGAGATTAATTTTTAGGCACTCGTGATTACATGTATTGTACTTTCATGCGGTATTTAACCGCGGCCCCACCCTCCACCGCCGCCTCCGGAGCCACCCCCACCATATCCGCCGCCGCCTCCCGCTTTTCCGCCGCCGCCGCCGCCTTTTCCTGAGCCACCCCCACCATACCCGCCACCCCCACCGCCCGACTTTCCGCCCCCTGAGCCGCCCCCTCCATATCCGCCGCCGCCTCCCGCTTTTCCGCCGCCGCCGCCTTTTCCTGAGCCGCCACCCCCATATCCGCCGCCGCCTCCCGCTTTTCCGCCGCCGCCGCCGCCGCCGCCTTTTCCTGAGCCACCCCCACCGTATCCTCCGCCGCCGCCGCCAGCTTTTCCTCCTCCCCCTCCACCTCCTCGTCCCCAACCTCCTCCGCCACCCCCACTACCTCCACCACCACCACCTGAAAGAACACCAATTTAGTTCCTGTTGCGGAAGTATGGATGGCTTATCTGAACAGACCGTATCCACCACCGCCACCTCCTCCCCCTCTGCCACCCGCCTCCACGTAGGCAGCCAGGCACATGGCGATGCAGAGACAAAGTAAGACCTAGGAGTAATATGGGAACAAAATGATTAACGTTCGAGGATTGAGTTGAGACATGGGAGAAGTCGGATTAGTTGCTATTATTTAGATGTTTCATAACAAAAAGTACCGATTTTCTCATTCTTAGGCTGAAGAATGTCCAGATGAATCCAAAAGTGAACTGTGAATCTGTTGAGTTTAATCCAGGTTTATATATACATGACCATTCCGGCGTATGTATGTACGTACTTACGTATGCATATCTTCGTGATCTTCAAGTCTTCATTTTAAGTGCATAAAACAGAAATCATCTTTTAGTATCACTTAACTCGTCAGAATAAAAAGGAATGACATTGTCGATTGCATTGAGAAAATTGCCATTTCTACCACTTGCAAACCAAAGTAAATGATGCGTACCAACTAGCCATATACACACAGCTTTGCGTAAATAAGTAGCGTTGTCAACTTTAGGGCTTAGCGAATTGGAATCAAAAGCATATCCTCAAACATTATAACAACACCTTCCTCTCGGGACACATCAGACACAACATGCAGTTCCTTGATATCCTGATCGAAATAATGCAATTTTTTACACACTTTTAGCAATTGACAAAAATAAAATTCGAGATGTTACGAAAAGGATTCGTAGTTGTAATAGTTTGTTTTCTTATATAAAAAGTATGCAGGTAAATAAATACATATATTTATATTGCAACTCCTACGTACATACATATGTACATACTTATCTACATCTATACAGTGTAGATTATATACACTGTGCTGTATTATGAGTGAAGAAAAGGCCGTTTTAGAATCAAATTGCGTCAAGGTTTTTCAAAGCACAAGTCTAATATAAGGCTTGCAAAGAAACCTTATACACAACACAAATCTAGTTTCAAGATTTTTTGTTGGTTAGTTTTGTTCAAGCTGAAATTGCATGAGGATCGAGGATATGCATTTTTGCAACCTTTGCATCTCTTCAAGTCTTGAAAATTGCAGCAGAGTTGTGTCAAAGTCCTTCTATTTTGTCTAAAGTTTGAATTGCCATGATAATCGTGTCGAGAAATCAATGAGCAAGACCCACCATTATTATTATTATTGTTCGTTCGTATATACACACAAAAGTTAATTAAAACTTTCCAGCAAAGCTAAAAATGTAGCTAAAAAGCATAGATCAGCACAAATGAATTAGGTTTGGTTTTTGCTCTGCCCTTCCTAAAGCCCTCTTATTATTTATTTGTTCCGGTTTTAAAGATACGGTGATAATTTGATGAGTTTTCTGCAATAAAATATACGCATTTTCCTATTTCTGTGACTCAAGGAAACTCTATTGACCCAAAAAACGCTGATTGCATATTTTTTTGAACGATAAAAAAGAGTGATGTTTTTGTGAGTCGTCGTCGTCGTCGTTCCGCATGCTGAGACTAATTGAACTATATATACATACATGTGATTTTGGTGACCAAACAATATTTCATGCAAATTATTCAATTACACACAAGCATCGAAGCGTCATTATCATTAACAAATTAAATTGTTGCATGGACCTTGATGATTACTTCTTGGTAGGATATGTAGGAAGCGTAATGCACAGTTGTACACATTAATATGACAATTTTATTAATTCATTGCCAAGTTTGCCAAACTCAAATTTATAACATAAATCACAAAATGATGTGCATTTATAGTGCGTATAATATGGTGTTTCTGAAATAGATTTATATAGAGTGCATTAAAAAATAATTTTTGACAAATCGATAATTAACTGATTAATACTACATGCATGAATTTGAAAATATTATATATTTATTTATTCAGTTCAATACATATGTTGACGAAACACTACAATAAGAAAAAAAGCTCAACTTTCGTAACGTCCGTCAATCTTATTATTATTATTATGCACTGCATAAATTTGTTGTCATCAGACAAACTAAACTTGTTCTCATTGATGTCCTATGCAAATTTATATGCGGTGTAGTTGGCTCTGCATGCTGCCTTATCAAATTTTATTAATTTTCATTTCCCATAGCCATTCACTTTCTTGCTTTTGAACTAGTTACATCTCACGTACACAGTTGCAAAAAGAGAAAGAATTAAAAAATGAAAAGAGTTTGCAATTCCATTTTTACCATTTTATTGGGAACATATTTGACTGGAGTATTATTATTCGTTGCAGGGGAGGATTGTGTATCTCTAAAAAAAGTAGCCGATTATGAGTGGGTGAGAGACCATAAGTTCCTAATCAACATATTAATAAAGCACTTTCTACATATATGTGTAACCATGTACGAGTAATACCTGCTCTTTAAACAGAACGTTAGCAATGAGGAGAAATTATACCTTCCAATCGGACAAAAGAATGACACGAGCATAGTCAAACAAATCTTGTACGAATCCTCCTTGAATCCTGATGAAGATTTGACCAAGCTGTGCCATAGAATCCAATTCAAGAACGAATCTGTAACCATTTCCGGTGTAAATGGAACTGTTGCAACTTTTAGCTGCAGCAAACTTGATGACAAGAAGTGGATATGGGATTGCAAGCATGATGGAAACAAATCTGGTTAGCATATTAAATTATATTTAACCAAATATCGCTCGAGATATTATTGAAGTGCATACAGAGAAAAATATTTGTTGCTTACATTACAGAGTACAACCATAAATTGTATACAACATTCACCGACAAAAAGACTTTTGCGTTGGTCGTTCGTTGTTGGGCTAGCGGTTTGAAGGGATGGAGCGTAGTTTCCACAAAGAAATTCCTTCATGACGATGTGCAAATTCAAATTCTGGAGCATGTAAAATCATTGGGGTTTGAAACTGCAGACTCGCTTCCCCTTAGGTATAAGCAATGCCCTAAAATTTAAATATCTAATGTCATATGTATATCATTGACAATAAAATAATTCCATTTGTGTTGGATATGATAAACTTATCTACATAGAAAATACACAAACATGCTGCAGTGATATTTTAGTTAAGCTAGCACACACATTTTGCATATGAATAAAACATTAAAATCAAAGGTGATGCCTCAACAAAAGGCCTACATTTACACTGATTGAGGATTTCTTGAACGGTGTACATGTTTTTGAGCATCACAGTTGGCTGGGTATCGGTTTTTGACTGAGAACCGTACGTGTGTACGTATTTAGGTTTGTATGTACAGGAGTTCTTGCCTTGAAAGGTGTCAGTTTGAGTCTTTGCTTTGGAGTTACTGGATAAATTGTTCTTACGCATTTCGGAATCATAATTATTATTAAAACTTTGGTGAGTTTCAAAACCTTGTGTGATCATACATTGCATATTTTTAAATTAATTACTTATATTTTTCAGGCAAGTCCATAAATCACAGCTTACTTAAGGATTGGAGGGCATCATGGCTGACTACGTGGGCCAAGTGGACGACGGGTAGGTATTATTAATAGTTTAATTGTTGTCTACTATTACAGTACGCACCAATTATTTACTTACATAGCGCTAATAATTTTCCCTGCTATGGCTAGTTGGGAAATCAAAAATGTAAATGCAAGCCAACCAGAAATTTTGGGGGATCTTATCATGCAAAAATTCGTTGAATCAAAGTCACAGATTTATACGTTTCTATTATGCGGAGAGTGCCTGCAAATCCCCCCAAGCAACAATTACCAATATGTATGTGAGCAAGGGCATGTCATGTGTGAGTCCTGTGGATATAAAACAGCAGCCTGTGCATTCGTTTATTCAGGAAACAAATGTGATCGAAAAATTTCTCGAGTTAAAATCACCATAGCTCAGCAGCAACTCAGCAATTGCTTCCTTTCTGATGATACACCAGGCAAAGAAATTTGTGAGGTCACCATTCCTTCGCCGTCCGTAGTTGAATCTGAGAAACTTGTGTTACCTGACGCAACAACGCAGCAACCAAACACTGATGATGTTATCTCAAAAACGGTTTCCACTAATGAAATTGTCGCAGTCAATCCTCCAATAAAATTGGATGAAAAATTATCAGATGATATTCATGCCATTACTAATCCAGCAATCGTGGAAGCCATAGGTCTGCCTGATAATGCTCCTTCCACAGTTATGTTAAAACCAATTTCTACTGAACCAGCTACTCAAATGGATACAATGGAAGAGAACTCAACTTGTGACTTTTCACCCAAATCATGCTCTTCTTCTCCAAAACTGGAAACTGATATGCAAAAAACAATTGATATGGAGAAAGATGAGGAATCCCCCCAGAAAATTGAGGAATCACCCCAGGAGCTTGCCCCCCAGAAACTTGAGGCATCTGAATCCCCCCAGAAACTTGAGGCATCGGAATCCCCCCAGAAACTTGAGGCATCTGAATCCCCCCAGAAACTTGAGGCATCGGAATCCCCCCAGAAACTTGAGGAACTGCAGAAACTTGAGGAACTACCCCAGAAACTTGAGGAACTACCCCAGAAACTTGAGGCCTCGGAATCCCCCCAGAAACTTGAGGCATCTGAATCCCCCAGAAACTTGAGGCATCGGAATCCCCCCAGAAACTTGAGGCATCGGAATCCCCCAGAAACTTGAGGCATCTGAATCCCCCCAGAAACTTGAGGCATCGGAATCCCCCCAGAAACTTGAGGAACTACCCCAGAAAATTGAGGAACTACCCCAGCAACTTGAGAAACTGCAGAAACTTGAGGAACTACCCCAGAAACTTGAGGCATCGGAATCCCCCAGAAACTTGAGGAATCCCTCCAGAACGTTGAGGAGTCGGAATTCCCCCAGAAAGTTGAGAAATCACCCCAGAAGCTTGAGGAATCGGAATCCCCCCAGAAAATTGAGGCATCGGAATCCCCCCAGAAAATTGAGGCATCGGAATCCCCCCAGAAAATTGAGGCATCGGAATCCCCCAGAAACTTGAGAAATCACCCCAGAAGCTTGAGGAATCGGAATCCCCCCAGAAACTTGAGGCATCGGAATCCCCCCAGAAAATTGAGGAATCTTCCCAGAAAGTTGAGGAATCACCCCAGGAGCTTGCCCCCCAGAAACTTGAGGAACTACCCCAGAAACTTGAGGAACTACCCCAGAAACTTGAGGAACTACCCCAGAAACTTGAGGAACTACCCCAGAAACTTGAGGAACTACCCCAGAAACTTGAGGCCTCGGAATCCCCCCAGAACGTTGAGGAGTCGGAATTCCCCCAGAAAGTAGAGGAATCACCCCAGGAGCTTGCCCCCCAGAAACTTGAGGAACTACCCCAGAAACTTGAGGCATCGGAATCCCCCCAGAACGTTGAGGAGTCGGAATTCCCCCAGAAAGTTGATAAATCACCCCAGAAGCTTGAGGCATCGGAATCCCCCCAGAAACTTGAGGAACTACCCCAGCAACTTAAGAAACTACCCCAGAAACTTGAGGAATCGGAATCCTCACAGAAACTTGGGGAAACCTTCCAGGTAGAACAGACCCAACCATTGGCAGCCAAATTTTACCATCTTAAAAGGCTCTCAAAATATTTCACAAAGGAAGAGCTCGCAGATGTAAAAGAATGGGTGAGCAAAATACATATGCCGTCTAAATAATTTATAACTATGTTTGTGCACATTGTTAAATATACATATATATTCATTGTTATTTACTCATAGATGGGAAGGACGTGTACAAACATGACTGAAGCTGAAAGAACAATCGTATGTCGCTACCGTCTCCATCAGATCCTTGAGGAAAAAACATTCGCAGATTTTTTTTGGGATTCGATTCGAAAATGAGAATTACTCTGCGAGATTCTTTTCTTCCGTATATGCATACGGTAATTCTGCTTAAAATGCATTCGTATTCACTCCGCAATTAACTGTTTCCATAAGAACCTGATCAATAATATTACATACGTATGTATACAAATGGTTCCCTTTCTCCTTGATAAGACGTGCACACTTTACATGTTAAATATTTGATGAACTTTTACCATTACTTCCAGTGACATGTAATAATGCGGTTATTTTACACGAATAAAGCTTCCATTCAATTCATAATTACAAACAAGCTTGCACATGTCGGCTTTACTCGAACGAGTCATCATTCATGTCATAATCATAATCATCGATCCTGTGTTTTTTAACCAAAAGCAACGGCAACGCATCGGAACGGGAGGAAGTAGCTGATATGAGCTTAATAAGGATTTCCTTTGAGTAATTAAACCCCTAATTACTGCTCATAAAATTAAATTCTTCAACGACTGGTCCTACCCTAACCCTAATAAATATGCATCAATGATGTAAAAATTGACGTGACTCTTATTAGTTCTCCTCTCCCAACACCCAATCCAGTTCAGCCGCATTCCATATGACTCTCGTTTTTTGCCCGTTCAAGTTGCTGCACTCGCAATAATTTGACATTTAAATAATGCCGAGTGTACATATTATTATTATACAGCTGAAGTTCTATCTTATCAACATTACGAATCTCGTGTGAAACGTTGTACGAGGGTGATGTGTGTGACTATTAAAGCAAACGCTGATCATTTGGCACAATTTTAATGCAATGAAGCATTTTTTAAATGGGTGATTAAGCTCGTTAATTTGACAGACTGGACATTTTTTTAAACTAGCTGACCTGGAGAAGCTAATTCAAATATTATAAATTTTGAGTACTGTGAATTCTATTGGTTTGACACAATAAAATAAATATAGATGTGTACGTATCTGCGAAAGAGAAATAAATCCTTTTAATTTGCACGTATGTACGTGTGTATGGTTAAAAGAGGAGGAGGGCGTATAGTAGAATAAAATAACAAGACATTTTACAGTGAAGTGTTTTTCTGGAGAAAGTAGCAGAGTTGTTGCGGTCACTGGACAATCGGTGAAACAGAGTACGAGATGACGGACGACGACCAGGGGGGTGATCCCTACTTGCCAAGGGTCGTCAAAATCTACAAGAGCGAGACCGGATTTGGATTCAATGTCAGGGGTCAAGTCAGTGAGGGTGGACAGCTACGGAGCATTAATGGGGTAATAATTTTAGCAATTAGATAGTTAAGAGTTGTATTCTGCCAGATTTTATTAATTGTTTCTCCTTAGGAATTATACGCACCCCTTCAACACGTCTCAGGTAATCGCAAGACGCTTTAATTGACACATTGTGTAAATTAATTATATACAAATAAATAGCCCAAGGGCTCATACACAGATAAGTTTGTAACTGACCAATTAACTAAATTTATATTGTTCTGTAGCTGTGCTTGAGGGTGGTGCTGCCGAGAAGGCTGGGATACAAAAAGGGGACCGAATTATTGAAGTGTAAATGAATATTTTCTATACAAAATGCATCATTGTGCACGTTACAAAGATTTATATATTTGCATATGAAAGTTGACAATATAGTAATCATCACAGTCTTGATGACACCGTTTGTTCTAATCTACACAGATAATAACGGGCAAACATGGCAATAATTTCACAATGTAATATTATTGAGTCCGATAAGGCATTTCTATGTTATAAATGTACTAAGAACAGTCTATTACTACTTGATATTTTCATGTTGGCATAAAATGGGAACAGTAGTTCGAAAAAATAGACATATCAAAGCATAACTTGATAAAATGCTAGGTTCGCAAACTTCTGTTCTGTTTGACAACCCGTATAATACACGGTCCACCAAGTATTAATAATTTTTGCATTTGAGAATTTTATAATAGGCAGTATTAAATTATTTATATTCGCTAATAATATGCAAAATTTATTACAGAAATGGGGTAAACGTCGAGGGGTCAACTCATCGACAAGTTGTCGACCTAATCAAATCTGGAGGTGATTGCTTAACTCTAACAGTAATATCTGTGTCACCACAGGTTAGCCTCATCTTATAATATGAATATTAGTTGACGTATTAAATACTAATAGCATAATTTTTTTTGTAGGAGGCTGAAAGACTGGAACCGTTAGGGGAAGAAAGTTCCTCCTTCCCTGCATATGACTACAGCGAGAAAAGATCTTTACCAATTTCCATTCCTGACTACCAATACCGTTACAATGAGAAAACGGGGGAACGATTTGTCGTCTACAACATTTACATGGCAGGAAGACATCTTTGTTCTCGAAGATATAAAGGCATGTATTTTTGGCATCAAAAGTCCTTGTTCATGGACATAAAAGTAATCTTAAATATTATAACAATAATTGTCCACAGATCATAGCCTTCTAGATGCTAATCTAAAGAAGGAATATGTGGGGTTTAACTTTCCTAAATTGCCATCAAAATGGTTGTTGAGGTAAATAAATCTTACAACTTCGGATTTGTTGAACCGAAAATATGTATATCCTGCACATTTTTGTTAATTTTGCTAATTGAGATTGTCAGGTAAATGACACTGATTAACAATATAAAATTTCGATTTATTTATTCATTCGAATAGACTAACAGCGATAAATAGATTACAACATGTGAGCAAATATTGCGAGTTGGCGTAATTTTATAAAGTACCCACGCTGTCTTACCATGAATGCACTATTCTGCATACCGTACTACTAATGATACGTGCATTAGATATAACGTATTACTAACTGCATTAGATATGCATTGTCATTAGATCGAGTTTGAATTCTCTGAATTTTATAAGAAGCACCTATATTAATTCTATCTTTTTTTTTAGATTAAACGACCAACAACTCGATACCAGACGACGAGGATTAGAGCAATATTTGGAAAAAGTTTGTGCTGTTAGAGTGATTGCAGAAAGTGATATCGTGCAAGAATTCCTTACAGACGATGAATCTGTACGTGTACAATTAAAATCTCATATACCGCATACTTAGGAGGGGAGCTTGCGAGGTTGATAATAACAGATCTTGATGCCCTTTGGATATGTAGTAGGGACCAATGAGTGTACTAAAACCCTGAAGTGGTTTGACTCCATGGCCACATTTGCGCCCGCCACACCCACTCAAAAATGCCCAAAAAACGCTTTTACTCCAGTTTTCACTCACTCAAATCCACGCCAAAAATCCAATTTTACTTGGATTTTGAAATTTCTTTCACCCTTATACTCCCAGATAGTTGCTTTCTTCAATACAATATCAGACTCAATTTTACTGATGATTATTTCGCAAAAATAATTTGTTTTGTTGATTACTACAACAATGCTCATTTAGAATTTTAAATTTTAAAAATACTCAAAATTTCGAAAGAATTGAGTTTGATATTGGATTGAAGAAAGCAACTATCTGGGAGTATAATGGTGAAAGAAATTTCAAAATCCGAGTAAAATTGGATTTTTGGCGTGGATTTGAGTGAGTGAAAACTGGAGTAAAAGCGTTTTTTGGGCATTTTTGAGTGGGTGTGGCGGGCGCAAATGTGGCCATGGAGTCAAACCACTTCAGGGTTTTAGTACACTCATTGGTCCCTACTACATATCCAAAGGGCATCAAGATCTGTTATTATCAACCTCGCAAGCTCCCCTCCTTAGATAAAAACAATTAATTGTTATGACTGTGAAATAGTTTTGCCAATAATACTACGTTTACTTAATTGATTAGGGTTCAACATCCAAAATAGATTTAAAGGTAAGAATTTAACACAACCTATACACAGAACAGAATAATTGAAATGATAATTTTTTTCTTGCAAATTTTAGATACTTTTACCCGATAGACAAATCGTATCGGTAAACGTACCAAAAAACGCAAATGCAGAGGAAGTTTATCGCGTCCTTACTAGCAAAATTAGTGTGAGCTCTGAAGCCGCAAAATATTTTTACCTCTTTGAAATCGTCGAATACAATTTCGGTAGTGGAAACACAAATTAAAACTATTATAGTGTTTAAGTGTTTATTAATTGAATTATAATTTTCGCAGAACGAAAATTGGCTCCAAATGAATTTCCTCATAATCTCTACATTCAAAACTACAGCACCGCCACCTCGACTTGCATATCTCTTCGAAAATGGCTATTTAACATTAGTAAAGAAATAAGTTTGACAAAAGATGACCAAGCAACGACCTTTTTCTTTTGGCAGGTATATAATAATGTTTCAAAAATCAGCATTAATAATAGTGAAACGATGTATGCTAACATTTTGTGGTTTGCTAAATTTACACAGGCAGTTGATGAAGTAAACAGAGGGCAAATAAAATCTGCCGATCGATTATATCAACTGAAAGCATTGCAAGATTCTTCGAGAAAGCACGAGTACGTAAATAAATACTTATCTGAATGAAACTGGCAGTGGTATACTGTTCATTGTATTACAATTCAATGGACGGTTACCGCCATAATTTTTATGCATTTTGTACAATAAATCATAAATTTGTTTCGTTACTATTATTTTGATTATTATTAATTTGGGTTAAATATTTTATCTACAGGTACCTGAAACTTGCTCGCGAACTGGGTGGATACGGCAACATAGTTTTCCCTCACTGTCCATGTGACTCTAGAAAAGAAGGTCATGTTATTGCCTCCATATCTGCAGAAAGTTTTGAATTACAAGCCTGTAAAGAAGATGGGACATTGGAGGTTTTAAATAATCTAAATTTATAGTTAAAAACATGATACCTTTTTCTAACTGAGTGTGCAAATATTGCAGTCACAAATTATTCCTTTCACATGGGAGTCAATCATTCAATGGTAAGTAATCAGTTGTTTTAATCGAACTAATTCTACACAGTCTTATGAAAAATAAATGGATTCATAACGTGACTATTTGGGTATGACTATGGCTTGGCCAGCTATGGCACATTTTCTACATTGGTATAATTTCATTTCAGGGATATTGATGACGAAGGCATGGCATTTGCATTCCAATATGAGCGGTAAGTCATAAAAGATGAACCTGTTGCAGACATGAGCCGCTACACAAATATAATGAATGTTTCTTCAATTTCAGACCAGACAAAGCTCCAAGATGGGTCAAAATATTTACGACATATGTATGTTTATATAATATTCTGGATATTATAAGTAAATCAAAAGTTATTGCTAAATTAATGATGGGTTCATGCAGTTTCACTTTATGAACGACTGCTTTGAACGAATCAAGGAAGAATCAATTCATAACAAACGAAATGATAGCCATGAAGAGGACGACGACGACGACGATGATGATGACGATGATGAAGATGATGAAGACGTTGATGAAAATGGAGAAACTGAATCTGGAACTTGCTGAGAAATTTCAAAAGTTATGATGAAGCGAGCGACGAATCATCGCATTTTAAAGACTTGGGTTTACAATGCAAACGCAGCTGTTTATCCTCAATACAACGCAGAAGAATGTTGACTCATACTCGATTTTAGTTTGAAACGCTTTACAATGTAATAATATACATATATAATTATAAATATGACTATTAATATGCACGTCAAGATCAAATTATGTTCAATTATTCATGATTAAGTTGCTGCGAACATATGACACGGTAAAAATGCCAAATTTGTTATTTATCTATTTCAAGTTTATTCTGTTCTATGCAATATCGAGATGTTATAATTGTTATGCAATTTAGCATTGTACATCCAACTGCTGTGGGTCTGATGAACAATTCTTATACATATATCACTGTAATCGTTTAGGGTATGTAAATCTTTTAAAACTACTTTCAATCTTTTTTTAATCCAGTGAAATGTCCAAATCCAATTAACTCTTGGGTGTGTAATTCAAGAGGATTTTTTTGTACTTTTAGGTTTTACTGTATGTTTAAAATCATATACGATTTAAATCTAAAAATACTTTGTATTGATGTTGCTTTATATTAGAGATATAATACCAAAGTAAATTTTTAATTGGCATCTACTGCCGTTTCCACTTATGTACTTTATCTTGGTTGACACAACCAATGACAAAATTTCTTTATTGCACGACGCTTACTGGAATTTTATCCCAAACCCACCACATTGACACTTATATTCATGTATTGTACTATCTGTTTTATGTAGAACAAGTATATGTAGAAAATGTATGTTCGTTCCTCCGTTCCATAAAAGAAAGCTTTTCGGAACATCTCACTCATGTATCGAATTAAAAATCGAATAAAAATTTAAATAATTATTTCGATTCTACTTATTTTACCATGTAATTCAGCATATACATGTTGAATTCTACATATGCATAATATGCTAATTAATTCTACATGATGTAGAATTTCCTGCCTTATACAGATCAGGCCGATATGTTGCAGGCACTAGTAATTTATCCCCTGTGACATAAAAATTGCATCAAAATTGCATCAAAGTAGGGCTAGCAGCAGAGTTCAGGTTACTAGCCCACCGTAAATCAATGAATAGTGGCCCCCTATTTCCGGTAACAGTTTAAATTTAAACTTCCCCTGCAACATGCACTACCACGAGTGACCCAAAATGTCCACGGCGTGCTAATCGTTTGGCGAATTCCTGGTGGCTATTGCGGGCTTGGTTCATTATATATCTTGCAGTCGTTTCAACTGTTGTGAAATATAGCAAATTGGCAACACCCGATCGTGATAATCCTTGCGAACTGAGATTGGGGATTCGTGAAAAGGTACGCCCTGGCTGGTGGTGAAGACGCCAGGCAACTTTTTTATTTCTTGCCATACACAACGCAGTCGCTTCCTAACCTCACAACGAATTCCATCTGCTACTCTCCTCACTTATCTCACAACAACAAGAACTTTTATCTGCTCCCTCTCTCATCCATGTCACCTGCCATTTTATTTTTCTGAAGAGCAAATTGCTCTGAGCAATCCCTGATTTTTTCTCGTTTTAAAATTTTGAAAAATATCTGACCATCGATGTAGCGAAAATTTTATAAGGCGAGAGAGATTGCATAAAAATAAAGTATTGTATACGTAATGGTATTCTGCATTATTGCGAGAGAAGAGTTGCCCAAGGGTTGTTTTGGGGCTATTTATTTTTTAAACCCGTGCATTATTGTGGACCGATTTTCGTAGAATGGAAATAACGCTCATTCATCAGTTTTGCAAAGTTTCTGAACAAAAGTTGACTATAATTTTATCGAAAACTTTTGTTACGGGCAAATAGCATGGGGGGTATACTCAACTAGTTTTGTTACGGGTTTTAGAAACGAGGTATACTGAGGAGTAGGTGCGGGGCGAGAAAATTATTTGGAAACGCAGATTCAATGTTCCATGGGATGAAAAATGAGAATTTTCTGCAGAAATTTAATGTTACTGACAGCGCTTATCGTCCAAGGAACCTTTGAAAATCGATTCGACTCTAAGGAAATTGAAATTCGCGAAAGCTTCCCAATCCAATCTTGGATCATGGTGCTAAAATACCTCCAAAACTTATCAACGTCATTACCAGTACCATTATATGCTTGGATTTGTTAATTATGATGTTGTGAGAAATTCTTAAAGGCTTTCTGTCATATATCCAAACATTGAATCCAGAATAATCTGCAGAAATCATCAGACATTTTGTGACCTACGAAAAATACGCATGCGACTTGGCCATGATTCTAACGATGTCAATTAATTGTACTTTTATGCAATTTAAAGCCATATTGAGACTTTGAGGACAAAATGTTGGGAGAGTACTTAAACAAACAATTATATTTTGTAAAAGATGCGAGTTTTTTCCACACCTTCATTTTTTATTCTGGTACTTTTTGTGAAAATGTCATCATAAAATGCAAAGTAGATTTTAAACTACTACTAGACAATCGTCGAATTATATGGAGCTTGATTCTCTATCCAAAAGAAGCAGGCTGTTAACAACACGGAAAGTGCTACCTGTTTAAAGCATATTGTTATGTGAATCAGATAAGCATAATTAACTTTATCCACACAGAAATTGAGCCAGTTTCAAAACAAATTGGAAATGCGATTAATTGGAGTTTTTAATGAGTGGGAGTGACGTGCAGCTGGGTGCATTACATGAGAGCGACGATGTCATAATTCGTTTGTGAGCGTAGTTCTTGGGGGTAGAAGATTTTTTTATTTGAACAGTTACCCAATGGTATATAATTGCAGACCATGATATTTTTCTTCTTTTTCACTGGATAAATTTATCATTTTGTAATCGATTTCAACCATTTAAAGTTGTGCTAAGTATTAATCAGTCAGATTTTACTTTAGTTATAAAAACGTGGGTGGAAAGAAGATCATATTTAGAGGAGGGCTTTGTAGGTGTTTCTTTCACATAGCTTCACCTTCTTTCGGAAGAGAGTCCGCCTTGTGCATGACACTTTAAACCGGCCATCGTACTCGTACGTCGAGCTGCCCACCACTTTCTCTCCGACTCTTTCTCGTGGCGGGTGATGTTGGCACCTTCTCCTCACAGTCCGTGTTTTGAGCTCTGCGGCTGAGATCTCTTTTTAGAACACAACCTCATTTTTTGAGCTAGAGTGAAAGTTCAAGGTTCAAAAGTTCCCATTTAGCTTTGTCATCGAGTTAGGAGCTGGGTTTGATCTGGTTGAGGCTCTGTCGATTCTATATCAATTTAATTCTACTCGTTTATGCACCAGATTTGTTCCTTTCCCCGAGGAGAAAGTGGGGCAGATAAATTAATATATAATATACCGGATACTAAGTCAGTTAAAATTCGGTCTATTAAGTTATGTACAACAGTTGATTGATATTTTGTGCTAGCATAACAAAAATTGATGTAGAATAAGAAATAGAAAACGGGCCTCGTCGGAAGTTAGCTAATAGTGGCGGTAGTCAATTCGGCTTTTAGTTTTCTGCCAGGCTGCGTTGGTAGCGATTTTACTTCATTACAGCATTTACACGTAATTACCTAGAAATTAAAAAAAATGTATGGTAGTAAAGGTCGGATAAAATGTTAGACTTGTGTATCAGTTTCGTACCATTGTGGGATTACATTTCCGGTGCTTTCTCTTCCGTAGGCGGTAGCTCATATTCACTCCAGGAACTAGGATAGCCTTACATTTCTTGCACATTGAACGTTTCATGGTATAATCACTGCAAAGGCAATATCGCATACTTTATGACTCTATCCTTAATTCTGCATTAATAAACAGTTACAGTTTTGCCACAGTTTTCTCCGAGATCAAAGTAATAATTTCTCCATAGTGTTGGCTCAACATCGGAGCAGATTGAACAACTTGCTGTGCTGCCTGCAAATTAATTAAGTTCTTTTTAAATTGTGTTTGAACATAATTATTGAATATCATCGACTCTTCCTCATCATCATCCTTCATTATGCATTAGAGAATAAAGTTGGTCATGTCATATTACGCAATTTTAAATTCCTACCTGGAACAAATAATTAATTCTAGAAGCATGTTCATCCGCCTTGTGTTTTGGAGGCATGTTTCAAAGTGCGATTTTGAATCCCAACCCAATCAATCAGTGTACCTGCATTTACAAAAAAAATCCTGATTTATCTACGAGACCTGTTAAGAATTCTAAATGAAATTTGGAGGACTTTTTAGCTGCAGCATAACTCTAGTAATTAATGAAACAACTCAAGCAATCCTAGCTAGTAAATATTTTCGCTAACTCATGATCTGAAATTTGCCTATAAAAGCAAAAAAATGTGCATTTTTGTCGAGTGTATTGCATATATCATCATCATATCATTCTCATGAGAATGGCATTCAGGGGAAATTGAGACAGCAGTTGGGAGAAGCCATCATCATATGTTGTGAGGTGGGCTGCGAGCATCATGAAATAACCCTTTCTTGATTCAGTTTTCGTCAGAACTGAAATTGTGAGCGCCAGTTGCGCGGAGATTGAACCCTTGCCAGAGCTTCCGTTGCATCCTCCCGACGACCGATATTCTCACCCCTGCCGCCCAAACACCATCCAAATTCTACGTCAAGCTCTCCTGCACCCAAAAACTCGAGAAGGAATTTACTATGGTCGCAAAATACGAAGCCTTGGTGTATGGACAGCCCCTAAATCTCCTTTCTCTCACAAACTTGCCCACGACGGACGACGAAGCAATACGCAACGAATGCATATTATTTCGTCTGCTCCTCTCTGCCGCGGCATATGCACACGCAATAATTCCCTTTCCCTCCTCCAACTTTTGTGCCAAATGCTGCTGCTGATCAGCGAAGATATGACGATGATGACCGCTTTTTGAAACTTTTCCAGTCGGTCTGGCCAAAATGGTGCTCAAGTTTGTGGAGAAAAAAGACACTGATACTTTCACTCGCTAACTAACGTGTGATGACTGTAATTGGCGCCGCCTTTTGTTGTCGAACTGTTTTTTTCCTGGTATGTCACAATAATACAGGTCACGGTCGGCTTTACTTAATAGGGTTCGGTTTAGCAACTGATTGAACAAATATGATCTAGATTCTTGCTAGTAATTATTGCTTACATAAATTGGGCTGGTAGGTGTTTCGAGGTAAATATGTACTGCGAGCTGCTGGCTGAGGAGAGGTTCTCTTTCTGACTGAAAGAATCTGCTTTTACTTTGTATGACTTTGGTGTTTCTGCTGTGTGTGCTGCATCAATGCCTCTGGTTGTGGTCTTGTTGCATGGTGGATGCGATGGTGGGGAGATGGATGGATGACGAAGGTGTAAGCATGTAAAATGTACTTACGCTCTGCACTGCAATAATCCGGATGGAGGGAAACGTTCATAGTCGTCGTTTTTGTACTATTTTATGGGCACAAAGAGAAACGATTAAGTTTCGAATTAGATAAGTTTCTGATGCCTATACGGTTTGCTTAAAATGCTCCTAAAAAAGTCGAGTTGGATTATATGACTACGCATGCATAGAAGACTAAATATATTTCTAATCTGATGCTGCTGATCTGCTGAACACTTTCAGGGTCAACTGCTGCGGGCTCATGTGCTGTAGAAGGACAACGCTGCAGAACTGCGTTTTTCCCAATAACAAAGGATGAGCAAAAAGTACATGAAAGTAGATACAAACAGGTTGTTTCTAAATTTGCATGTAAGACAGTATGTGTATGTTAATTTGTTAGAACCAAAACTATATAATGAAATGATCGGATGCTGTTATTTATGTGAAAAGCGAAAGGGACGGACTGAGCATGTGACAATAATGCGATCATTGATTGATTTGCCATAATACGAATACATTTACATGTCATTGTAAAACAGTAGAATCAAACAACGGTTCGGAGTCGGACGGGAATTCTTTTAATCATACTGAGGATGACTGCACTGAAGATGTACAAAAATTAATGAGAATAAAATGATTGTTTATTAATTTATTACCTGTGTACATATATCGTAATAAGTTTTACTAAGTAGTATACATGATTTTGAGCAAAAAAAGAAAGGGGTGACATTCAAAAATTATTATAAAGTCAAAGTCAGAGCAGTTTTTTTGGCCAAGAGACGCTCTTGTAAAGTACAACTCACAACAATGCGCCGGGTCGTAAGTGTATGAAAATGGATGCGTGTCTTGATGAAGATTGTTGAGCTAGATTCCCTGCGGCATAAAATCTACTACAAACTAGGCTAACTATATACTACTTTATTTTTTCATCTATTACAAAAATTTGGAAAAATTTTTACCCAAATAAATAGTACCGTAAAATAGACAGAAAATACACGCCACTTAACTTCATACCTCGAAAAGTCTTCCACACCATAATATCCGTATGTAGTTCTCAAGCTATGGCGAATGTTGTTGATTATTCCAAAATCTGTAAATTTCTTCTGAGACATCTTTAGTTAACTTATGTAAAGATCTATTTTGCGAGGCGAAACTTGAGTAAGGGTTATTAAACTTAAAACTAAAGGCTATTTTAAAACAGTAGTAATTGTGACGTACAATGACGATGATTCTGCACGTTGACAACAGGAGGGCAGGTAGAAAACAATGAGGATCTCACATTACAACAATTTAGTTTACAATTTAATCCTATTAAATCGTATTTTAGTTATATGACCTAACTGCATCAAATGACATGCAGCTTGTATTTAGGTGTGCAATGATAAGACACTGTATGACACCATGAAACTCTTCACACCACCACTACTGCTGGTCAATTATGAATTAGTCAATTTAGGGCCGTAATTATTTTAATTATATTTCGACTCACGGGTTGGATCATAACTGAAAGCTGGCTTCATCTCGCAGTACAAGTTGAAGGCACTACACACTAAAACAGCTACCCTTTTAAAGGTTATAGGTCAACAACATAGATTGAACATCAACACAAAAATTATCTACAGGGGATAAAGATCTACAGATAAAGTTCATCAAATAAAATTGGTAAAAACTTTTGAACGGAAACTAAGCTGTCATCATCAGTGATGATAAAAGTCAGTGCCAAAACCTTGGTTAATGGAAGCAATAATATTCAGAATGCATGCATATAATGAATCGCGTAGTGCTATGAAATCTGAAATGTTTGCAGACGGACAAAAATCTGCAATCCTCATAGCAAGTGCAGATTTACAACATGTTTATAGTAGTAGCACAAAACTCAATTCTATTGTTAAAGGACCTTTTTGTATTTTTAGGCATCAATTCATGTGAGAACGTGAGAATTAGCAACAAGGCTTACTGAGAAATGCCGACTTTCCAATCTCAGTTAGTTTTAGTATTTTTGGTATACTTGAGGTAGTATACGGCGACTGTCATGGGTGTCCAAATCACAATCGGTTCTCATTCGAGTCCCCACAGTCAATGGGTTATTCATACCTCACGATATTTAATTCAAGGTTTTAAAACTATGAACAATTTATCCACAGGCGCTATGCAAAAGTTATGTCCAGACAGACTTCTCTTTAGCAAGTACAATAAACGCATATAACTAATATGTGAAATTAAAATTATTGTTTAATTTACAAGAAGGCATATCCAAAACTTTACAAAATGTTCGTCACAACAGTTAACTAATAACTATTAATATTAAGAAAATTAAATACTGTATGTAATAAATTATAAGCTTAAATACTACATCATAGATCTAATACAATGATCGAATTGCTTCTTCCAACCGCTTTCTAGCAACCAACACCCGTTCTTCCTGACTTCGAATGTCCTCTTCTGCCACAACTATTGCCTAAAAATATACATGGAAATTGATTGCAAGTTAGGAATTATCTTTAATAAAACGAAGTGCAGTTCCATAAGTTGCATTTAAATAGCTACCTGAATTAAAGGTTGTTCGGGGTTGATATACACGCCAGGGTTGTTGTCCAGGTTGGTCCTGTTGCTCGTTTGTCCAGTGATGGGCTGACCGTTGACGTGCAGTGCTGTGGCGACAGATTGCAAAACGGTGTCAGCCGTGACATGAGGGCCCATTGGCTCCACGCCTTTGGGCAACGTCAAACTTTCGAGCTCTTCCCCATCCGCGTCACAAGCCTTCAACCCCTCCAGCCTCTTCTCCCAAAACACCTATAAAGTAGAGATAACTGGTGTTAGGTATTTGCCTCATATGAATTTTAATTATCACATATATGTACTTGTTTCGGTTTGTCTTGATGTCCGTGTTTAAAATCTTGCTTGACCATGCTCTTTTGAGTTTTGATGATGGTAACTGGTTGCTTAAATATGCTTGCTGTTTGCCTAATTGGTGGAAGCAACGTTGAATCGCTTCTAACTCCACGACTAACATACACAAAGTTATTTTACACGTAATTAATATTTGTGATATAATAGCATCTACTTATCAAATAAATAAACAATTACTTGTAATCGATGGGAACCTTTGGTTTTCTATTTCTGTTTTTGATAAGCAAACTATTGACTTTTCCTGTTTGAAAGTCGAACCCTGCGAGATCGAACGAGTCTCCCAAGTATCTGGACAGCTGGGGTTTACTCTTGAATTTTTTCTGGTTAGGCGAATAATAGACAACGTCCACTTTCCCTGCGGATAGGCCAGTTTTTCGAATAATCTCCTCACGAATCCAACCTTTGGGGAGGGCTGGACAAGGGAACTTCACTCGCTCCACGATGGGCGGAGAAGGCAACATTTTCCAGGATTATCAATTAAAAATGACTTAATACTAGTTAATCCTAAGAAGTTCAGAACAGCAGCCGAAATTCTGTCAATGACAATGAGAATTCAACTCAAATCTTGTATAGTGGAAAAGACAACATCATGATCGGAAGGGGAGAAAGTGGGAAAGTTGAGACGATATGATGAATGTTAATGCATGGTTATTGCTTGTGGTAAAATGAGACTTTCACAGCTCCTTAGTTGCAGAAAGTTAAGTTGATGGCAATCTGGATGAAATATGCAGAGATTCTCTTATGATAAATCAAGATTATCTTCTAGGTCAATGAAATCAACGGTAAAATCGTATGCTTTATTACTATTTAGAACTCGTTATTTTTTTAAGTTGTATAAATTTTAAAAATTCAAAGAAATTGGTTCGGAAATTCAATATTAATAATAGCAAAGATTGCGAGGGAAGTAGTTGTCAAATGTAATTCTTATCGGCATACCATTATCAATATAAAGAGACCTATATATTTATATATGATTATCCAAACGAATCATGACGTACTAATGGTGGGAGGGGTGTATTTGTATTTAATTCCCAAAGCTGCCCATTTCTTATTCTGTTCGTCCAATTTCTTCAACCGAAACTCAAGAAATTCTTTGACTTCTTCCTCTGATTTTGACTTTGTTTGTTCATCTTTCACACGACGTCTAGCTCGGAGCTTTGGAAAGTTATCTTGACGGACATAACTAAAGCTGAATAAATTTTGAGAATTTACCGTTGATGGTAAAACTTCACCTGAAAAAATAATTTGTTCATTAACGTCGTTCCAATTCAAGTTACTTCAAATTAATAAATAATTGCACTCTTCCAACAAATAAGTCAACGTACATTTCATTAGTCGCTCGTACATCAGGTAGCCATTCATTGCCTCCGCCACTATTTTTGCAACTTCTTCAAATTCAAATTCGATAAAAGCAAATCCTTTGCTTTTCCCAGTCTATGTACAATTCATTAACAAAACAATTAGTACGGTGGTGGTGGTATTTTAGTCACCATTTGTTATAGTTTTCGTATACATACCGTTTTTGATCGGGCCAATTTCAGTCTTAAAACGCGTCCAAACTGGGAAAAGTATTTTCGCATCTCTTCCTCATAGAATCCGTGCGGAATGTGGTTTAATAGAATAATTCCACGCTTTAACTCAGATGCCTTAGCCACTTTAGCGTCTTCCTTTCTGGCCTGATAAAATATGTCAACAAATATGAATTTAATATTTAACTTGGAAATTTTATCGCCTATACAATTTCATTATTGGGACATTAATGCTATTGTGCTGAATGACACCCACGTACCTTTAGTTTCTGGACATGTTTAACAGCCGTGTCGACTGCGCTCGGCTTTTTCGACTCGACAAGGGACAAAACTTCATCACCAATTTTCCCCTTCTTTCCAACCACTTTTTCCTTTTTCGCCTTCTTCTCGACAACTTTTTCAATCTTTGTTTGCTTGGCTGTTACTTTTTCCTTATTCATCGTCTTTGGCGTCTTGTCCTTTTTCGTATCTGCGTTTATATTCTTCTTCTTCTTTTCCACAACAATCTGTTCCCCCTTCTTTGATTTGGGCATGGCCGCGACTCTCTTGGATCGTTTGGCTGGAGAAACCATTTTCTTACAACAATTACTATTAAACAAATGAAATTTTAAAATAGTCGGATTGTTGCTGAACAAAAATAGCGAACGAATATTATGGTATGAGGTGCACGAGGTATTCCGTAAGTGCGCCGCTTGAAATTCTATGCTTGAAGCTGTCTCACCTTCTCTCTCTCTCCATCACGTAGTTTCTTTCGCATGAAAGTATACAGTATACTGTATACTACACTTTTGTTTCTGATATGCTTTTGCATAAAATCAACCTTTGTTAATGGGAGTTTTTGAAATGTTTTTGCAATATTTGTTTCTGAAGTTGTCTGGAACATTCTGAAGTTGAATAATGTTGCTGGACGTCTAAATATACTAAATTTTGAGCTAGGTCCGGCAACAGGAATTGAAAAATCATAGAATAATACTAATTTTCTATAACTTCCTTTAACAAATTTGACACAGCGATGTTGATGGACAACCTGAAAAATCGATGCACTTTTCCTGTAACGCCCACGAAAACGATGCATCTTGCTGTGCTGTCGTAGGAGTTTCAAGAGTCAAATTGTCTATTATGCAGGAAGTTGTGGGAATGAATATGTAAATCTGCATGAATCTTCACGAACACAACGAGAATAGCTTTGTTTGATTGATTTATTTGCAATAAGGGTGCACAGCAAATACTTCTGAATTACGATTATTACTATAAAAGCAAGGGAAAGTAAGTAGGAAGAAAGGATAATATTCACTCTAGGTTGGCAAAACGTTAAGTAGATATTAAGGACATTGTACTACTAGTATTTGGCTCAGGTACATATGTATGTATATTGAACAGGTACAATATATTGTCTGACATGGAATGAACAAAATTATTTATAACATCCAGCTCTATAATAGATATTTTTAATGAACCAAGCTAAAAATCACGGAACACAGGAAGGTGAATTGTGGTGATCCTGTCTTAAATCATCAATGCGGATTAATTTTTTAGTCATAATCCGCTATCGCTGTCAGACTCTTCGTCTGCTGCTGGGGATGGGGGCGAGGTCGTCGTCACCATGAGGGCGGATGCATTTTCCAATAGCTCATTCGCCTGAATCAATGCCTTTGGATTTTTTGATAGCTCTGAAATAAAAATTTTCTGTAATTTTACAAATATTAGACATCTACATATGTATAATGTGGATTGATATTGAATCAGTAATTTTTTAATCTCTCAGTTTATCTTATCCTATTCCTATGTTGCTGGGTGTTACCTTTTCGAAATCGTCTATACTGTCGAACCCAATCCTTCAGTTTGTTTTCATCATAATTGATTGGATTTTGGCTTGTTTTTGCGACAAGCTTTTCATTCAGCATGGCCTGAAGAGAAGAGAGCTGGGCTTGCGTGTCCAAGTGAATTTTGGCCAATTGGCTGGTCAAAGTGTGAAGTTGGTCTTCATAGTTTTTCGCACATTGGGCAGGATTGTCTTTGGCTGTGCATACCGGTTGAAAGAACTGAGAACAATAGCACCCTTCTGAAACGCCCACTGGCCCCTAAAAACCAATCGTGACATACATACATAAATAAATATCCTGTTCACATGTTCACGTTATTTATCTATATTTATTCTCAAGTACCTTATGGATATTTCCAGCCAAGTCTAGATAGTAAAGTTCACCACTTCTTAAAGGCTCATTGGGCAACGAGTCAATTTTTGGGGAAGGAAATGCTTCTGGATTAGGATGGTAATGACATCCGTAGGGTGACCAGTTTGGCGTTATATCGGGATCATTGTTATTTGACTTAGAACTTTTTTTGGAACCTCCCTCCTTTGACTTTTCCGCATGTTTATGTCCATTGCTTCCACCACCCCCACTTTTCTTGTCTGAATGATGGGACTGATCTGACTTGACCCTTTTATTATTACTCTGTTTTTTCCCTCCGGAAATATTTCCTGTTGAGGAAGGTCCACTACTCGCAGATTTGTACTTTGAGGCTCTAATTTCGTCACGTAGGATGGGAGAGACGATGGGTGGTAGATGTTTGAATAGTTCGGATATTTCGTTAAATCCTTTTCGATTGCTGATGTCAAGCGCTGTTTCGTTTTGATGATTTCTCAAATTGGTTCGACATCCGGACACCAGCAAAATTTTGGTTAATTTCTTTCGTCCGAAAGCAGATGCGATATGGATTGGACAGTCTTTATTCTGCAAATTAGCCAATCATACATGTAGCTAAATTTTACATATTTGAGTTGATCTCGACGCAATCATATCTATCATGAAGCGGAATTTATGCTGTAATAAAACCAAGCATTTCTCATAGGAACTCAATTCTCTTTACTTTTTACTCCTGCTACTAGTGTCACAAAGTTATAGGTAGTTATAATAAGCAGTATAGTTTATTAGAGGACAGAGTCCAAAATTTCATAAAACCAGAACATAGAACTTACGAACGACCCCTATAACCTAGAACTAGCTTGTGACAGTCTCACCCAGGTCAAGTTATAATTTTATTGCACATTGAATTTGACTCATTTATTTTTCCTTGTAATAGTCAATAAGTGGCATTTATGCTCAGCTTCTCTTCCTCCAAGTTTACTTTGTTCTGTTCTCACCAAAATATACCTCCTGCTGGGTCATTCAGTTACAAGATTTACACTTAAATTCAGATATCAGGTCATTACACACCATCAGCCGGTCATTCTCCATTTTTGGAATTAACATGTAAAGCTTGTATTGTTGCTATACTAAACATCTCGTGATATCATCACATGGAGTACATTAGCCGAATGAGCCGACTTATTGTATTATTTGACACCAATTTATTTTATTTTGGCGTAAAAAGCACACGAAATTGAATTATGTAAACGCCAAATAATTCAGCTCATTCGGCTAATGTACTCCATGTGATGATATCACGAGATGTGAAACGGAGTTGACAAGCTGATTTGATATGATCTAGTTTTCACGAGATGCTTCTCATGTCGTCATTCACAAAAAGGAGCATTGTATGTGACAGAAAGTCAAACTTTACAAGTTTCCAGTGTACACACGCTGGAAACACGACGCCTTTTTTGACAACCAAGCCAACAAAATTGATGACACTGCTTGTTGCAGTTGTGCTCAAATAGTAATATATGATTTCCATTTAGTAGCACGTACAGTTTGGAATGCATACCTTATTCTGTAAATTAGGGTCCGCTCGAGCAGATAGGAGGATCCTTGCCACCCCCGCGTGACCATATCTGACACTAGTGTGAATGGCAGCGTCGCCGAACGTATTAACGACATTAGGATTGGAGCCGGCCAGTAGTAGCTCCCTCGTGGATTGATTATGACCAGCTTGAAAACATACATTTCATTATAAAATGACGTCTCAAAATATCAAATTTCTCCTTTTTTTGAGGACCTCATCAGTGATGAGTCATCACTCGATACACTTCTGGGGAAAGTACACACCCACTAAAGTGGGAATAACAAAGCTTCACGACAAACACGGATAAGGAGTACCCACGAAATAACTTTAATACGAATATGACTACTCTATTGGTAGCAAGATAGAAAAATACCTTGACACGATAAATGCAGAGCAGTGAAGCCTCCGTGATTTTGCTTATCGACGGCAGCAGGAGAGCTCAGGACTTTGACGAGTTGGGAGTAGCCTCGCCAGGAGGATTCATGTAAAGCTGATACATAATGATTTAAAATTGTAAGCCAATTTCGCATCGATTTCACCGAAGTTCACATAAAAATTTGTTTGTACTTACCAGTATTGCCATGCTGAAATCAAACGAAACAAATTATTACATGACAAAATAAGTAATTATATTTTTCACTAGTTTTGGTGGCATGCATGTAATCTGCTCATACACATGATCGTGTCGATCAAGAAGGTGATAAAGGAGTAGCAAGCAATGCAATAAAAAATAAACCTGGTTCAATCTCAAACTCATTCAAATAAATAACTACACTAACTGAAGCTGTGTTGGTGAATTAAAATTCAACAAGAGTTTTTGACATGACTTGGTGTAACCAGGCTGTTGATTGATATCGTGCGAGAAATTATGAAGATGAAGACTGAAGGAGGAGGTAATAAAATGCATACGTGAAAATTATACGCTGGATGTGGTGGTCAATTATTTGACAGGACCAAATTACTTTGGGGGATAGTTAGCAAGTGTTCAAAAGTAATTGTTGTACCTGTCCCAAAAACTTGTACACATTTAATTCAAAACGATCCACACAGATGTTCCCATTAGTATATTAAATCACGTTAGAAGTATGCACGTACATATGTAATACAGTGCTATGCATATAAAATTCCAGAGCATTCACCGGAATGAATTAAATACAATTAGAATTTGTATCCAAAGGGTGCGGCAAGTAATAATACTAATATTGCAAAAGTTGGATCAGATTTATTGAATACAAAATTATGTAATGCTGGATGGTTCATTTTTGTACGGCAATTGGTTTACAACCTTGTTCAATGGAAACATAGACAGTGCAGCATAGTTTGACATATCTATGCCTCGATTGTTTGGACAGACGAAGTATAATGTACTGAGCATTAATGACTAAATTCTTTTGCCAATTTGTCAAGTTAATAAATTACTTTTATTTTATTTTATTCTCAAGATACAGCACCCGAATGACCGGTCCAATCCAACACAATCAGGTTTTATCAAATTGTTCGATCACAAGAAATTCTTGCTTTTACGTGTATTTTATAGAAAAACAACATCGCATTTAATACCTGCCCTGCAGGGTCGGAATCCGTAAACTAAAATACAAATTCGTTCATTTTATAATGTCGTTGGATTCGCATGACTTAAAACACATATGCATGCAGTCTATAGTCTCAGCAAATATTTGGATCTGATTACTTGACATCGCTTGTAGTTACTTTTTGCCATTAAAAAGAAATAAATGCCAGATAGCTAATAAGCTTTTAATCTTGGTCCCCATAAAACTGTCGGACAAATCAATCAGCCCGAAAAGAAACAGCTTGGACAATTACAACGGATACCAGTTTTGAACACGTTGGAATGGTAAAAATCTCAAGGAATATTTATTTTCGAGTCGACATAATTTGTCAACTCGATAAAGTTGACAGCAACACCAAAAACTCCTCAACAAAATTTTAAGAACTCTAATTGTGCATCTACAATTTAAATATATTTCTAATATGTATGTAGATATGTATATGCAATATGGAATCATTTATGCTGGAATAATATGCTAAATTTTAGCCGCCCTTACAAATGTGTAGTTACTGCATATTATCAGTATAGTTACTTAGGCGGGGGTCAAAGATGATAGATGACACATATTTATGTAGAGTAGCATCTTAGCAGCTTTGTACATAATATAGATCACTGGTTTGTATCGTTCGATTTTGTAAATACGAGTGATGAAAACCACTAATAAATAATCTATAAATTCTATCTTTCGTGTGCACAGACCACTCTCTTGTTATCTCAATCTCATCTTTTGTATCGGAGTGAAGAGACGACCAAGAAAGAATAGATGGATATGTCAAATTAAAATTATATGGCTTCGTTTAGCCAACGGATGAAACCTACTCTCCCTTCACTGGTTGGCTCAATCCCAGTGTCCCCCTTTCTCAACTACCTTTTGACCCAGTCCTCGCTCGCCCTATGACCCCTGAAGTGCTGATGATGATGATAATGCGATGGCGATGATGATATGCTGGCGGCGGGTTGGCCAGGCAATCAGTAATGTCTGGAGAAGGAGAAGGTTGTTGCTGGTCCGAAGGTTACTTTATTACTGAATGTCATTTAGAAATGTACACGACTTTTATGTTACAAGATGTCTACAAAATAACTCCGCCTTCACTTCCACATCACTACTTCTTCCCCTTGTGCACGTAGATGCACTGCTCATTCCCAGAGGGAGCACACGAGCGAGTATGGGCTGAGTGGTTACACCCACCCCCCCTAACAGAAACTACTTTTACTCGGTGAAAGTTAGTTTGTACATAACTCCTTACTCATTTAACCTTCTTAATCTTTATACTCATATTTTGTCCTCTGTATCAAATCTAAGCTCTTCATGCTTCTTTTTACCATTCTGAAATTCCTTAGCTTACTTATTCTTAACATTTCATGATCTGTATCAATTCTTAGTCAATTTAGTCAATTTACTAGCGATTAACATTAAACTTTTAACTTATCTTGTTCTCTTAAATAATCTTTAAAATTCTGACATTTCATACAAACTTCTGATGCTTCTAATTTCTCTCTTTCCCATTTTCTTTTCCCAATTGAACAATTATCCTGACACATTGTCTATATTCCAACTTTGCATAATATTAGCATTAATATCGATTCGACTCATCTTAGCTATTTAATTCTCTGAACAAATTACATCTATTTCATTGACTTTCTCTGTGATCATGTCTCCACCGTCTGACCGGCTCAGGAGTACTCTCTCCCAAAGGAAAGTCTGCTCCCGTACCAGAATACTGGAATCATGATCAGGAGGTGTCTCCGAGAAGTCAACTCCCTCAATCACCCTGTATTCTACGATGGGACCATTTACTAAATTAACATCAATTGTTACATGGAATTATTACTATCTCGACTGTTACAAATCATTAATCAGATTTCCAAATTCATAAATTAAATTTTATCATCTTATCATGACTTAAAAACCCATTTTTCAAACATTACTCTGTATAATAACCAAATATTTTGACAATTTGACCAAATTGAATACATTTTAGCAAATAATGCGAATCTTTCCCAATTCAAACCTTTCCATTTTCATTTAAAATCTTTCGAAATACAAAATCCAACTCGATTTCATTATTTAGAATGAATAATCAAAACTATTTCTTTAAATATTTGAAAATATAAACCTTTTACAAAACTCTTTATCCTTCTGAATATGAAATTAAAATTTTACGACACAATTCGAACTCTATTTGCGAGACGACATAAATTCGAAATTTACTGAACGCTGAATTTCAATAAACATTTACCTACTATTTCCCAATTATCAAAATCATGTTCTATTGTGTACGTATCAATTATGAGAAATACAATTTTACGAAAATTTGAGCAATAATGACTTATTATGCCAATTACATACATAGAAATTAACCAATACAAAACTTATCATTCGGAATCAATATAACACGATCATGACATAAAATTCTACATTTACGAGACATCCATTTCATTGCATACAATTTTAGATATTCAAATTATATAATTTGCATTAAGAAATATCTTATTCTTTATTCTAGAAAATTTGCATTTGCTGACGTAATCCCAGAGATGAATACGATTGACAAAAATCCAACGACGATATTGCGACGACTTTTAATACGATGAGACTCGATGAATTGCTGATTTTGCTCGACGTTGTGGTGGACGAATTTAAACCAAATTTCCATTGAGACGAATTACTTTAGCTATTGAAAATATTGTTACGCAGAATTTCTTAGGAGCGCTTTGGCACGACCCGACATAGGAGTTTTGTCCTGAGACATTCACCCGAATGGAAAAAATGAAATGTACGAACGAACATAATGGATTTTACAAATTACGACATATCTCTTCAAATGGACAGCTTGAACATAAACCAATTTGACAATATTATCTCTCTATTTTGACAACTTTTTGACACACGTTTCTTTGAATATTAAAGATACCAATTTATTTCTAGTTAGAATATTTCAAATTATTATTCACTGAATTATTAAAACTTATTTTATCATTGATTGAAATGATTTTAAAATGTGCTAAGTGTTCTATTTTCCAAATAAACCTGAATCTGACCAGTCCTACTTTGACTTTTTAAGAAGATGAACAAAGATGGTTACAAATCGATATGTGAATATTATTAACCTTCAAAGGATATTCAATTGAAAATATTATGTAAATTTTAAATGTACTAAAGACGAATGCTTATTCAGAAATTAGTGATCGTGACATTGACTTGACAGCAATTTAAGATAACTTTTCCATTAATACCAAACGTGTTATACCAGACTTGACTACAAATAATTGTTTTAAATGTACGTAAGAGTACTATCGGTAATTTATGTAAAATAACTTCCTGTTCAAATTTACTACGACAAATTAATTCTCGAAATTCAAATTATGACAGTGACCAGATATTGTATCATGTCAATTTTCCCAAATTAAAAAATTAAAAATACATATTAATTTCTATGCCAATTTCTCTTGTTTCAAATTATTCAGTGTAAACCATACCAATAAAACTCATCAAAATAATTAATAATACTTTTGCTAACTAAAAATTAAGACGCGCGGGTCAACATTCTACTCATTTGTAACTTATCATTGAAATTTTAAATCGTGCTTGTGCTTTAAAAGAATTCATTTTGAACATTTTTGGTTTCGCTTTCCAATCTTACTTCTTGACATTCTCTTACAACTCTTTACATTTCCATGAATTATCTGTTCATTCAATCTTACAAACCATATTTAAGTAACGAATTCTTGTGTTTTGATATTCTTATAACCAGCTTTTCTTGATACTGTGATATACTGAAAATTTCTACTCAGAAAGATAATGGTAAAATATGGACCAATAAAAATTAAACTTGATGTTTAAGGAGGATTATTGAGCGTGTGAACTCTAAACTTTACCGAATACAAACTTGACATTCTGGGAGCGTGTGAACCCCTAAGTATTTACTTTAAAGAAAAATTGTGAACGTTGTTTAACGTATGATGGGTGTGAGGACCCTAAACTTATCAAAAACCCAGATTTTATAAACACTCTGTGGGTGCGTGAATCCTAAAAACCTTTACCAAATCGAAACCAACTTCACCTAACCTCAATAATTTTATTTATGGGTGTGCGAACCCTATTTCAATTTTAATATACGACCATAATTTCTTGGCCTGACGGGCGTGCGAACCCTTAAATATTTCCCTTTAAAAACTTACTTTTCTTTTCCCTTTAAAACTTAACTTTAATACGGGCGTGCGAACCCTCAATTTACCTTATATCCGACTAATTTCATCGGTTTGTGGGTGTGCGAACCCAAAAAATTTTGGCGTGCGAGCCTTATTAACCTTTTAAAGTAACCTTTTCCAAAATTAACTCAACTTAACCTACTAGGCTTTTCTTTCTTCAGTACTCTTATTACCCCCCCAAAAAAACTCTTCATTTAAACTTCATCAAACCCAAAATTCTCCTTCATTTATATAGCGCTTTCTTACTTCATTCTTTATTATTATTGCAATTGCTAAGAGCGTGCGAGCTCAGGTCCAATTATTACTATTCTCTTATCCTTTAATTTCCTCTTCTTCCCTTCTCTTCATCTATTCTTTTAAATGAGCGTATGAGCTCTGGACCTTTTAGTACTATTTTCTTTATCTCTCCTTATCTTACTCTCTCTCTTACACATTAAAAATAAAAAGCCATTCTCTATTGGCCTTTAGAGAAGTTGTGACAGTTTGTTAATCAATAACTGTGAATAACTTTGACGCGAGAGAGTAACTTCTCAAGCCAACTAAACTCAATTATGATAAAAAATTAAGTCTGTATCGTAAAATTGTGAGCAACTCCTATTTCTCATATAATAATTTCGTATACAAATTACTTTGTGTAACCAATTTTTCTATTTCTGCCTGAGGTGATCAATCTCAAGATAAATATTAGATATATTCTGCTCTAATCAGACTATAGAAATAAATAAACAAACTTTTTGATGTTTTGAAAACATAGAAATATATGCTGAGCATAACTGTCTCGGGAGCGGATTTACCTCTGACTAGTTAAAACCCTTCCTACCAAAGGAGATATTTGCATGCATCCTTAAAACTATAAGTATATGCTGAGTATAACTGTCTCGGGAGCGGATTTACCTCTGACAGTTACACACTTCCTAACAAAAGAGATATTCGCACCTTCCTTTAATTACCTTCGCACAAAAACCTTCCAAAATACGTAGAATATCCGAAATATTTAAAATACATTGTTACTTCAAAAATAAGTAAAATATACAAAAATGTTTAAATCAGTCGTAGTTTAAAAATACATGTCAATCTTCTCTTAACTGTCGCTTTTTGTTTGACTCCCAAATTTATTGCACTTATACAATTCAAATTGAAAACACGAAAAATTGAAATTTTGAAAAGAATATTTGAAAAATAAACTTTGAAATATAAAATTTTGAAATTGAAATTTGAATTATCTATGTCGAATAAAAGTTTGCCTGCATTGGAGGACTAACATACTGTTGTGATTGATTGAAAATATTATCAGTATTCGTGTAAATTACATAAGGATTAATACATAGTGTAGGATTTACGAAAGGATTTTCGCCACTTGGTGTGAACGAATTTTCAGACGTAATAGGATTTTGAAGGGGTCTCGACGCTGTTAATTGTTCTCTGCAATCCCTAGCGAAATGTCCTACAAGTTGACACTTCCTACACGTAACATTTGCATAATCAGCAATTCTGTTCTCTTTTCTCCTATTCTGTTGACTAACGCTTTTAGGATTAACCCAAGTCTTTTTATGCTGCGATGGTTTCGACTTATTTACTAACCCTGATTTAATTTTATTCTTATTCCTAACAAAATTCTTATCCTGTTCTGAATACCTTTGTAAATTTCCTAAATTTTTACGAATCTGCTTAACCTTTCTCTTAAATGACTGAACTTCCTCCATCCTTATTGAATTTTGACTTTCGTTTTTTGCGTGTACTTTCTCATCTACCAAATTCAAAATTTCACAAATACTTTTATAAACCTGATCAACTAAATCATTCCCTAATGTTAAAATTTTATGTGTAATTCCACTATTACAATTCTCGACTGTTTTCTCTAATTTAGAATGTGTCTTATTTTCCCTATTGTGTGGAACTTGACTATTCTTACCTACCTGTCGTGAAATTTCCTGTTTTAATTTTGCTACCTGTGCTTCTGTAAGACCTTCAACACTAATGACCTGTGTCTGTGTATTTACGTGTTCTGTGGACTGTGCTTTTCCTGACTTGTGAGACATTTTCCCAATTTTGAATAAATAAAACGACTGCGAACTAAAGTTGAATTGACTCACTAATGTGTAACGTTATGTTGCTACCTTATTACCTGTTACAAATATTTGTAGATAAATTTTAAAATAACTACTTTCTCCAATTTATTTAATTCTGTAAATGATTTAAGCTTCAAATTTGTAACTTACGAAACAACCAATATCAAGACTTAATTGTTAACTCAAATTTGGTGAAACTCAACTCTTCTAAATAAATACCTGATAAAATCTACCAATATAAATCATTTACCTTCTCGACCTTATTTGAACTTTATAATTGTATCAACTAATAAACGAATCAAAAAAATTAAAAACCCGAATTGTAAAACTCAATTGTATACTTGCTGTTCCAATCGACTATTGTGCTATAATAGTAACTAAACTTTAGTATGTATGTACATACGTAATGTTCCATAAAGTTTCTTAATTTCCTACTTAAAATTCAAAATGTTCTCTATTTCCCTTACAATTACCAATTTTAAACAACCAAATATTCAAATGTATTGACTACATGACCAACGAATGATTACCTAAACTGACAAATGTGAAACAATTCCTTTAACCTTCAGCCTTATGATAAGTATGTATAGAATACCAACAATAAAATTATGTGACTGCAATGCGCTACTCAACCTTTATGGACTGTATATTGAACGTTTATCTCAATTTGTAAAACGACCTTCTTTACCCAAATATGTATGTAACTACAAAAATTTTCCACTAAAATTGACTCTCAACACAACAAAACTTGACTTACACAATGAATAATGACCAAAACCTAGACAAATTTAAATAATGCCTTCTGTGAACTGAACCTTCAACTCAATTTCCATAAATCTAATAAACCAACTAAACTGATAGCAAATTGTTTCTGGATACTGAGTCCCAACTATTGTTAAACAAAAAATAGACTTTACTACTCCTCTTGCACACACTTCTGTGCAGTCTCGCTATCCGTACAGAAACTCCATTCATACACACTTCTGTGCAGTCTCGCCATCCGCATAGAAACTCTATTCATACACACTTCTTTGTTACCGCCTTGCTGCTTTACTTTGTATTGTTTCTCGGTTACCCAACTTTAAGAAAATTAAAAGAATTCAAATGTCACTTCCATTATCTAAGTTCACTATTCTTCTATTCCTTTGCTTTGCTTCTCTTTGGTTTGTTATTTAAGGTTCAAAATATAATTTACCTATTAGCATATCTATTCAGTTATAAGAAATTCAAATGACTAGTTACGTGACCAAAACTTGTCTACAATTGATTTTAAGAACTCAACCTTCTTGGAATATGTAAGAGTTTGTCTAAGAATGTTCAAGATAAGATTTATTAAATATGTAAATATAAGACGCCAAACCAAAAAAGGTCAATACTCTGAATCACCTTCAAGGACTTTCCCGTTCCTTAATACACATATTTTTTAAAATGCAACTCAACTACTAATTCCTAATCTACCCAGAATTTAAAACAAAATGAAATCTTTCACCCTTTTATACTACTTTCTAGCAATTAAGGAGCGTTTCACATAAATGCACACATCCCATTTGCTTTCCCATTAATTGCATGTACATACGTACCAAAATTCCTACTAATACATACATATACCCTTAAAGGAGCGTTTTAGATAAGCCCACACTCCCTAGGGATTCTATTACTCAAGTACCAATTTAAAAAATGATTTTATAATTAAAACGAAGGACTAGGAGCGGTGTAAATAAGTCACCCCACTCCCGAAATTAAAAATTAACCGAGACAAACTATCTTACTTTTGAGCAGGAAAAAATGTCTGTAAAACTAAAAAGTAATAATTAAACCTCATAATTTATAATAATACCGAACCTCAATGCTCAACGGTTAACTTTGACTGCGTATCTTCTCTTCTTTTATCAAATGTGGGTGGACCAATTGACCTCTGGACGTGCTGCCCCGTTTTATCAAAAATTCAAATACCAAATGAGGACGCCCAATTTATAGAAACCTTGCACATAAATCAAAATCATGTTAAAATTTTTCCACAAAATCTTATACATACATACGTACATAAATATTCAATTTCCAAAAATCACAGAATTTCCCACAAGATTCAATACTTTTTCTCAAAAACCGTTAAAAAAATTAAATGTAAATGGAAACTCGTCACTTTACCGTGCAGAAAAACAAGAAATTTATCTCTTAAAAAAACCCAAAATACTTATCCGTATCCTGGCAAGTGGTCGTCACTTGAAACCTACTGTCCCTTCACTGGTTGGCTCAATCCCAGTGTCCCCCTTTCTCAACTACCCTTTGACCCAGTCCTCGCTCGCCCTATGACCCCTGAAGTGCTGATGATGATGATAATGCGATGGCGATGATGATATGCTGGCGGCGGGTTGGCCAGGCAATCAGTAATGTCTGGAGAAGGAGAAGGTTGTTGCTGGTCCGAAGGTTACTTTATTACTGAATGTCATTTAGAAATGTACACGACTTTTATGTTACAAGATGTCTACAAAATAACTCCGCCTTCACTTCCACATCACTACTTCTTCCCCTTGTGCACGTAGATGCACTGCTCATTCCCAGAGGGAGCACACGAGCGAGTATGGGCTGAGTGGTTACACGGATTACTACGCCAAACGTATCTTTGCGTATTATCAGAATTGAAATTGATCCCAATTCAGAAGTTGGCACTTATTGTTTGTTTGCCTTAATCCAAATGTAACTTTTAACTTACAGACGAATCCTGTTTTTCTGGTTTAGCTCCATGTTGTAGCAAAATTTTGACGATATTGATATGGCCTGAAGCAGATGCTAGGTGGAGAGCAGTGCATCCGCCAGCCTGCAAACAATAAAACAAATGTTCATAAAATAAAAGCAATTGCAAATGGCATGAAAACATTCCTCCCTCTTCTTGTATTACTATTTGGTGTTTCAACTTCTGTCAGTTTGCATGTCAAACGACGCCTGCAATCAACATGAGCTGCTAAATTAATTTACAAATATGCTTTAGGGGTGGTTTCGGGTGTTAATTTGTAGTTGATGAAGGATTAACACCATTACTTTCAATTATTGTTGTTGTTTTTTGGCACTCTGAAAATTCTATTCGCACACATGCGGGTTATAGAGAGCACTACAATTCTATTTATACAATTCTTAAGTTTTTGTGCATTTGCACAAGAAACAACAGACTTTACTATTTTCTATTTACTCTTGATTATTTTCCCATGCATTGTTATAACTGTTTTGCATGCACATGTGCATATATATTTCAACGAAGAAACCTTAAAGTTCAACCAAGTTTCCGCAGTTCTTTGTTAAAAAACTTCGTCACGCACAAGTTCTACTTCCGTGAGCAAAACAAACACACAGACACAACAACTTGGTGTTATATTGCATGTATTAATTTGATAAATAATCAGAGCTCACAGACAAATCAGATTTCATTTCACCACAGTATGAAACTCCATGTTCTTGTGTAATACGATAAGGTTGTCTTATTATTCCCACGCTATGATTTAAATACTTTCACAAGCAATACGTAAATGTACATATGTGTATACGAGTAATTCTACATGTATGTACATACACATAGCCAGAAATCAGACAAATCTTACAAATCTGTCCCTGCGTTCGCTTTCTCTCGGTTTCTCAAACTGTCACAAAAACGTATTCTAATTGTTATTTGGGTAACATATGCAAAATAGCTCAGTCAATAATACAATTGTGATAATCAGAGGATGACATGTATATATCTATAACGTATAATTTCTACTACTACATGAAGAAATGGATTACACTTACAAAATCCTCCTGGTCTACGTTGATCCCTTGAGAAAGAATCCGAATCACAGCTTCTTCATCGCCAATTAGAGAATAGGTTAGAAGAGGTGGTCGAACCTTGAATTAATCAACGGACCACTTTTATTAACAAAGTTGTTAAATCCTTTATGCAATTACACATTTTCCCACAATCACTAATCACTGTACTGACCGCTGAACCTCCTACATGCGTATTTTTAATTATTTTTACTGCAGGAAGGAAGCCCTGGAATTTATCACTTTCCTTAATTTACAAGTTTAGCAGACTATTTAGCTGCAGTGTAGCTTGTACGAGACCAACCAATAATTAAATTATCCTGAGAATGAAACGTTTAACATTCATTTAAAATATAAACGATTAATCACAAAACGCATGAATTATGCTTCTTATAATTTATTCCCCCAATTAATCAAGATGCTGGCATTAAAATTTACTCCATCGATCATACAACTCACCACGTACAGTAACATAGTAAGTAAGACTCGTCTAACTTTACTGGGTGATACAAAACTGTAATAATAAGCTCTATACATACATATGTACATGCATACAAACTACCTGTTGATTTGGCGAGGATTCTGTCTCCTCCATCGAATCCCAATCTAATTTTTTAACTGATCCTTTAGGCCTTTTTGTGATAAATCAATCAATATTCACTCCATTCATTCGCAAGGTTACATATACTTACACTCACTCCAACAATTCTCACTTCTCCTCACGCTAACACTTGCTGCACATCGTGCATACATACTTTATCAATCGATCATCATTTCCACTAAATATTGAGTCAACTTTCACAATATCAAATGAATGAAGGGCTGCTGTTTTGCGCAAATAAATGGAACGGATAACTTGTTCATTTATTTAGCACGATGAAACCACAAAACGGACGCACTACACAATGATGACTTGCTTGATGCCCAGATCGCCTAAAACTAAGTTTGTCTGAAAAAGGTAGGTGTAATTCCAAATGCTCATACACGCGATTCAGGGATGTGTGCAATGCAATTTACTACGACCAAGAAGCAAAAACTCTTATTACGCTATATCGAAGCAACAATCCGATGTTATTAGATATGCATGTACATAACTATATCGTCCCCATTAACTGATGCGGTTTCCCCTGAGGCATCCGTTTTTTATTGGTTGACGAGGAAATCCAACCTGCATCCATCCGTCGTCCCTTTGTAATAACAAGGCAACATTCAGTCTGACTGCCTTTATGCCGTACACCTTTCCACAATCGACCATCAACAATACCAACACAATGCACCTTCCTTGCCATCAGACCTAGGATTTCAAAAGAGTACTGTTGTTCGTATTATGCATTGTAGTCTGTGTTGGCGTGACGTATTCAGCAGCATGTAATCTAGATTCTAGAGTATATGAATATGAATATGAATATGAATTTTATTAATCCTTTTTCTTGGCCACTCGGGCCCATAAAGGAGCGTATAATGGTTAAAGGTAATAATTGTAATACTAAAATTGCTTAATTACTAGGCATAAAATTGTTGACAATGTGAATTCCAATTTTTATTTATATGCATTTTGTTTACTGCGTGGAGTGTACGGAAGAGGGTTAGTTGTGGAGAAGGGAGTGGAATGCGTGTCTGAGTGAAAAATAATAAATTTAAATATTTCAATTAATTAACTAATTGCGGATAATCTTATATTGGTAGAGAATAGAAGAGTGGAAGTATAGAAAGGATTGGAAAGCTGCTATTGTTTTATGGCACAAGTTGTTGGTCGTGGCGGTGGGGGGGGGTCCAGTTAGCATCGGAAGGGGTTGGGTGATGAGATGGAGAATGGCCTGGGTGGGTCAGGTGGGGCCACGCGGAAGGGGCGGGGCCCGAGTACTTGGGCGGTGGTGGAAAATGACATGTTCAATTGGGGGGGCTGACACAAGGTCGATGTCTCTGGCTGGTCGTCCTCATGTCGTGGCCGTTTTAGACGTCGAATTTGTGCTTGAAGTTGCTCAGAGTTTGGGGCCTGGGGGGTGGTCGTGGCAGCGATGGGTTGGGGGGGCACTGGTTGGGTGGGTGTGGGGCCCCCGTAAGATTCTAGAGTATATGTACATATGCACTCGCTCAGAAAGAGCTACAAAATTGTCAAAACGAAGGGTCGTTTACAATATGTTTCTATTACTTTAATTATTATACGACAATTATTTAATTAGTTATTAGCGCAGCGTATTTGTTCAGGTTTATTCTCGCTCAAACGACTCAAACAACTAGTTTCATGTTCCATCCACCAGTGGTAATTTTTCCCCATGATTTTCACGTTTTTCATACAGTTTGCTAATACAAATATTCATTAGACACGCTGTTTAAATGAAACGAACTTGGCTCTTCAGCAGTTCTGAGAATAATTGAAAACTGGGTGGACTTTAAATTGAACAACTCGCTGGGGAAAGAATAAGGAAGTTGTTGATATTTTAGTTCATGTGATGATCTTGGGATTCAGAATCGACGGGAAATGCTTAGGATTTGGAACAATCATCAAAAAGATGATGCTTCGTAAGCATAAGATCATTAGACTTTCACAATCACTCTTGATTCAAACCTTCAAACAGAAAATAAAACAGAATGCCCACAAAATAAAAAGTCATTTGAGGTTTGATTGTTTATTTACATTTGCATGTATGTATTTTAGGGACCATTAAATGATTGTGTACTATTATAAACAGTAATTAGCGGCACACTCCTTCATGTCATTTAGTTTTGGGTATAAACGAATATTTTTCTCATTCGGTCTCTGTTTACCACAATTTACTTATATATTTTTTAATGCATACAGTTTGTTATATTTCTGTGTTGTAAGTAGGTATTTACTGAAACGCGAATTGCAAACGCAGACTACCGGTCACGCATAATTTTTATGTAAACGGTGTTATTATATAATTGCATTTCTTCGCAACCGTCAATTTTCATCCTGCATGACGAAGTCTTCCCCTCGTAAATGGCTTTAAAAGTAGCAGATTGGCTCCACAATTGAAGCCGAAAAAGTTCAATGATATTCTAAATTGAACATCCTTGAAACTATAATCAACATTCTGCAGCTACCGTCGTCGATTTGTCTCAGCAGCAACTGTTCCGAGGAAGGTAGGAATCTCCAACTAACTAAATGCAATGTCGGATGTTGCTACAAAGAAGCATCACGATCAAGAAATAATTTACTCCCAAATTAGATTTTATTGTTTTTTTCTTAGTGAGGAAAATACCTAACAACGAAAAAAATTTACTAAGTATGCATTTACCCCACCCCAAAAAAGTGACCGTCTGCGATATCTCAGTAATTTCTCAACCGATTTTGATGAAATTTTGCACCGATTGTTCTTACATAATTTAGAAACGGGATCTGGTCCGACTTAGCGAATGCTTGATTTTTACGCGAGTTATGGGCAAAAATATACCCCTGGAAACGTATTTATATTTATAGCTAATTAATGGCGTATCGTAATGAAAAACGAATTGCACAAATTTTAGAGTAAATTTTTGTGCAAATTTTAAGGGTAGTATGATTAAAATCGGTTCATAAATGACAAAGTTTTTCCTATAAGAGGTGCAAAAAATTGGATGAAGCTTAAGGGGTGGTAAAAAACAAACGCCATTGACAACAACTAATGGAATGAATATATGAGTTCTACATACTCGAGTTATGTGGCAAAATATTTGCAAACTACATGCAAAATTATATTTCGGGCATGCGTGGTGTTTAGTATCTAAATAACTCAATTACAAGTATTAAATAAACAAGCCCCCAAAAAAGGGAAATCTTAGTGAGGCTGGGTGCAGCTATCAATATTAAATAAATTTTTCGGAACATCATTTGCATCACCACTCTTAAAACTATCTATTCGCACATTAATTTGTATTGATCAGAATATGGATTCATGTTGTCTTCATTCGAAATCTTTAGTTCAATATATTTAATTGCAGTAATTTGTTAATAATTATGTAATTAAGTCCGTCCTGATGACGATCGCAACCGAGATCGAAAACTTGACACCATTAAAAAACAATAAAGTTTGTCATTGTTATTCAATTTGTACATCTACAATGTACGTAATCAATAATTCTACCAGTAATTAAATCATCTAGGCTAAAATAGTTTGGAGAGTCGTGATTTAAATGCTGTTCCGAAAAATTTATTTAATATTGATAGCTGCACCCAGCCTCACTAAGATTTCCCTTTTTTGGGGGCTTGTTTATTGTATAATGCTCCCGTACTTACATAAGAAGCTAAAGAGGATACCCTGTCTACGTATAACGAAAAAAGTCTCTCGTTTATGCTTACCAAAATGCATGTGAAATATTTTTGAGCATTGAACGAAAATAATGACAGTCTTGATAGTATTTGTAATTGGCAGTTTAGCCTTAGCAAATATGCTGAGTTTTCGATGTCAAATATAATACAAATAGAAACACATAATAATACCAGAAAATAATAAATATGTAAATGAAACCAAACACTGAATTTAGAATTGATCACAGGTTTTATTTTGGTTTAACTCTACTATATATTTTACAATCATTAACTTGGGCATTCTTTACAAAATAAATACACACTTCTCTGTCTCGCGTTATCTTTACTTTGGTATTAACGAAACGATGTGATGTTTGAATTGCACCAAAATGAGTTTCATATTTAAAACTATTTCAACGCTGACTACATTAGCCCGACGGAGGTTACTTACATAATATCTCTGATGAAATAACAGGGTCAACTTAAAAATTACTATAATACAATTAGTGGTAAAATAAAAAGTTGACAAAAATCTAAAAGTAGTTCTCTAACTTCGTACAAGTCCAATAATTGGTTAAAAGGAATCGAGTTGCATATGTAAATACTCAATAAATGTTAGTGAGGGGTTACAGACTAGTATTAAACCATACATTTATCTCCACTATTATTGCCCAGCTTTAAATTCTTTTCGTGTTACATATTTAATACCCAGTTTCATTAAGTCCATGTCGCCCTATAGTTGTACATAAATATTTCCTGCTACTTTGTTTTTATTATAATATTTTTGCATACAACGCAAATACAAACAAAACAAACGAATAACTTATCACAACTGGAATAAATGATGGATTTTGTACATGACACAATTTTTAAATTCAATTCTTCTCGTTAATTAGCAAAACGTATGCTTCTTAACGAAATGAATGGAAAACTTAACGGCGACACGATGATACATATATTTAATAGTAATAAAATCTTAGATTAGTAAATTGTGAGATTTAATATTCACAGTGGTCAATCAATGTGACAATGACCTTGATTGGAAATAGGAATTGTTGCATGAACAATGCTACTTCTACTACAATTGGGTTGTGTTTGTGTGCAAGGAGGGGTAATAATGGTGGTTGTGGTGGTAATTGTTGTGACGCTTCCTGAATCATCATGGAACACTAAAAGCAAAACCAAACAAACTAAACACATGGTTGACATAAAACATAAAAAGGCAAAGTATAATATAAAGCGTAAGATAAAAGCATGAAAATAGAATCACAAAAACAACGTATGACGCTATGCTATAAGTTCTCTGCGAATGCAAAACTTAGATAATCTGATATGTTCAAATGCCTAATCGTTCTCAAAAGTTCAGCATGTTAATTCTTAACATGCTCTAAAATGTGCGACTATATGTACATATTTATTTACTGCTGTTTTTGACTAGAGACCACATTTGATTCTTTAAGAGAGAAATGGCGTAAGTGCTTGGCGAATTAGCCTTTTTGTACGTCGACAGAGACATATTCCATGTATGTAATTCGTTTAAGTAGGGACTAGCATTGGCTCTCTCTCATGAGCAAAACATTGAGATCTGTCAATCGAATGATTTCTACTTGAACATGGGATCGCCTTACATTTGTCCAAAGAAATGATTGAATTGCAGCTTTTGAGATTATCTCCATTCGTTGCAGCAGCAGCAACGGCTTCTTCAGCCTCCTCCTTCTTCTCAAGTTTTCTTAATTGGTACAGATCATACAAAAAGAGAGCTAGAGCTAAAAGTTTCAGTCCGGAGAGCATTCCAACGTATCTGGAGATAATTACAAAAAATGTTACGGTGAAATGAGAAACCTAAATTTAATGACATTTCCGTTACTTGTATCGAAAGTCAGCAATGTCGTAAAGGAGGCACCTCCCGCTAACCTAAATATTAATGAAGAAGTATGTTATTAAGCAAGGTCAAAAATGTACCAAAATCATGTAATCGTAACTCACTGCTGGAAGAAGTACGGAGCATCGTTTGATGCTCCAGAGCAGACATGCAGAGTCTATAACGCTGCCAAATACTATGGGACTTGGAATATAACCTAAAATATTGCATAATATCCACATATTTTTATACTTAGATATGATTATATTTATATTAAATATATATACCCAAAAGTCTAAAAATAACGAACTGCATCCCTAAAGCGAATGATCGTTCTTCGGGAGAAACGGACCTGAAAAATAAAAATACCAAACGACGTGAAATATTACTTCTCCCATTAAAGTTTTCTGACAAAATTAATTTTTACGAATTATAAGGCTCAATATTTATTCTAAAAACAAATAAACAATTTTTCGCACTCGACTCACCTTAAAACGATCATTAGAAGGGGCATTTGAGTCACACTAACAGTTGCGGTCATGAAGAACAGGACAATCATAAATGGCAAAAGTGTGTTGCATGGTGTGTCATGACATGCTCCAGATTCAACTGCATCTCCACCAGCACCTTCGAAGGGGAAATATTTATATTATAAATCAAATCCTAAATTATAATTCAGTATCACCTTGACCCGCCTTAAAAAAATTTCAGAGCGTAACTAAACTATACGGCGTAGTGCACTTACATGTACATTGAGTTAAATTCACAGAACACCCAGCATGACAGGGGCTGAAGTATGTGACCCCTGACTTTTCGTGGCAGACATATTGTGCGTCCAATGAAAAATCACAGTTGCAGTCAGAGTTGCAAGAACTGGTAAGATTGATGTCGAGAGGAGCATAATTTCTGAAAATTTCATTGATTTTCATATACATATATGCGACTAGAAGTGTAATCTAGGACATTCACATAACTAAACAGCGTCTTACGTGGGCAGTCCTGGATATGATACCGTGGCCCCAGCTGAATCAATTAATGAATCACATATTCAATTGTTCAGACATTATTCATACACCATTTCCCATTTACATAAGTCGTAGATTGTAATGAACTTAAATGTGAGTTGAACATACCTAAATTTGGATTGGAGCATCCCAGAAAGAAAAACAAAACGTATCCAGCCAGACAGAGTATGTTTGTAGTCACAACAAACTTGCAAGCGCCGGATGGCTTCATTTGCATTCTTTTCACTGCAAAGAAAAATTAATGTATTCCAGCTATTTACAACATATCACCGAGTGATAGATTAGATACGTCCACTTTCTTACCCAGCCATCCACCAAAGAAGATTCCCAGGCATGCTCCTACATAAGTGCAACCATACGTATGTAAACACAAACTTCAGCTTAACTAACTAGCAAAGGCATTTATGCAAACTTATCAACTGGAATGAGTAATACCAGGAATGGCAATGCCTCCGGTGTACAAAGAAGCTTTCGACTTTCCCATAGAGAATTGTGTTTCGAGATACTTTGGCAAGAAGACCACAAATCCAGAAACGATGTTCAGTTCCATGCATCCGCCTAAGCATGTTAACACGTAAGTGGGGTTCCTATAAAGATGAAGTAAATAATATTTTTTAATGAAAGTATACGAACATGTTACTAATATTTAATGTTATTCAGCTATATATTTGAATGAACGTGCTGTCAACTGTATAAGTTTTTAAACATTTCCTTTTCATGCTAAGCAAGTGCAGCCGCTTACGTAATTAGTCGCCAAATGGAACGAGGGATGTCTTTAATCGATTGTCCATAAGCTGCCGAGTCTAGAGCCTCCTGCTTTGAGCCGGAAATGGGTGATTCCTCAAGAGCTGGGCTCGACGGCGTTTCCTCTTCATTTTTGTTCCTCCTAGCAATCCTTGGAAATGTCAAAAATGGAAGCGCAGCCAAGAGTCTGTGGAAATTCATTTGATATTATAAAGCATTTATCCTTAGTGGGATAAGTTCCAAATAATATTTATTTTACAAAAGTCCGCCTGCAATGACGAATCCACCCCACCACAGTCCAATGAATCGAGCATCTATTCCAGGAAAGGAAATGGTATTAAATATATTGATGGTACTACATTTACTAACATCAAGCGTATCCTATAAATTGATAACTCACCCGGATTTGTTAAATGCGAGACTGACGATGGAATTGAGATCATCCAGGCACCTCCAATGAAGCCTGAGATTTTTTTAAAATCCAGTTAAAAGGGAAATACTGACTGATTACCAGAAAGTAAAGACAAACCTAGAACTGGGCCAAATGCTGCCATCGCATAGATGATACCTGACAAAAAATAACATGCACTTATCGTTGATTGAGCCCTATCGAGTAATAAAAATATCGTTGTACCAATGTAGACGGAGGATGAGTCGGCCGGAACATGATCGTCAACATACTAGAAATAATATAAAAGAAAATTATGGCTTTGTTTTGAGCTTGCATCCTCGAGGGGTAAAATAGTGAGTGGTACGCACAGTAACGCCCAGGGTAAAAAGAGGTGACCCCCCGCAACCCAGAAGGAGTTGAGCCAACATGAACAGAATGAGAGGATGACCATAACTCTCCTGCGATGGCTGGGTCGTCTTTGTGCCATCTTTCTCAATGACCTCCACTGAGCAACCAACGGACATCAGCTCCTGTCTCACCACGGACGGGAACTTTGATTCTCCATCTATTTGCATAGGATCATGGGTCATAGGGTGATAACCAATGAATACTTGTTGGTTTGGGTACGGAGGAGAAGTTGAAGTTTACAAGTAATCAAGGCAAAAGCACAACTTACCTGAGACAGTTTCGAGATCCAAATTAAGCCTGTGAGTTGATCCCTGAATAAAAGGAGATGATTGAGGCTTCACAGAATGGCAAATGGAATTTCTCCCTTGATGTTGCTTTTCCTTCACGTAACGACGTTGCTCTGGATCATCTTCATGAGAACCCTGTCGTAAGCTCACAAAACTCTCATTTCCGTATCCTTCTCCGGCTGGATAAGATTCGTTGTAATTGTTGTAGGTGTACAGGCTCCCATTGTTGCTGAGTCTTTCCATAGAAGACGAGTTGTAACCATCGCTGACGGAGTATGGATCATGGAAATTGGGTGAATAGCTACTTTGTTGTAAAACGTTGATGCCACCATTATCGTGATGGCTTAGAAAGTGAGGTAGAGTGAAAACGACGCAACCAACAACCATCACTAAAACCCCTGCAAAAACAACACATTGCGATTCAAATTACGAAATGAAACTAAAGTAGGACGCCATGATAGCAAAACTTGTGTTCAAATCCCATCCAAGTTCGTAGATGTTGAGAAAACTCGTTAAAACTTTCACTCATCCGTGAATTGGAGCGACTTTAGCATTTTTCCATCCACCTATTGACATTAATGACGGCCTACCCTGGATAACGTATACATATATCAATTCTGTCTAACGATATGTCATGAGCATATTCATACTCTGCATTCGAAATCACGAAAGGAGGTTGATCCATATATAAAAAGGGTTCCTTTTAGAGCTAGAACGGCTCAACTTTGTATGAGTGAAGAATAGGCTTCTAATATGTATCATAGTTGATAGTATGAAAAAATGCATTACTAAATTAATATTTACGAGAAACTCTGTGCTCTTTTATGACTTGGTAATGCAAACAGTACACTCTTCATAACATTACAGTTTGTATGAGGCTGGCAAAATTCGGATTTTTTTTAAAAACTAGGAGCTGAAATATTTCATTCTCAATGAGAATTTCTCATACAAAATCTTTATTTGGACGAGATTACATTTCTAGGTCAGCTTAAGCAAGTCCTAAAGTTTGCCTTAGCAAATTTAGGGTGAAATGCTTATAAATTTAACAGTGCGACTAAAAATGCGATTACTACTTTGGTAGATACTAAATGTATGTGTAAAATTTCAGCTCGATCGGATAAGTTTAAAGAGAGTTATCAAGGTTACGAACAGATACGATGGTGAAAATGCATCGCTTAGGAGTTCTGGTATAATCATATTTTTTAGCGATACAAATCCACGCAAAATGAACGTTTTTGCTTGAGAGCAAATTTTTAGATATGGTTCCGAACAGATATCTGGTGGTAACTTGATTAACATTGAATCTGATATCTGATCTGATATCTGGTCAATGTTAATCAAGTTACCATCAGATATCTGTTCGGAACCATATTTTTAGAAGCACGAATATGTAAGGGACGACACAACACAGCAGTGAAAGCTGTCTGTCATGTCAAGAGAACAAGTTGATGTTAAAATTTCCACCAAAAGTTGTCAGAATCCAATAGCTGTGAAAGGAAAACTAACTTTCAAGGTTGCCCTAATTTGAGCATTGCAGGAATAACTTTCATCAATCCCTGAGCATTCCCGGAAAATCAAGGGGGAGCGACAGAAAGTTGACTTTTCCTGAGCAAACGAATCGTTAACGTGGAAGGTGAAATTCAATCACTTCCGCTCCATGGGTCCAGTTCGTTTTATTTTGTAAAATAAGCATTTCTATTCCAATTATTTTTGCAAGAACATGAATATAAATCTAGAAATCCTGATATCACCATTATTATTCATAAAATATCGAAAGAGGGGATACTTTTATAACTAGATAATTTCCCGATCCACAATTTACACTGTACTAAAAAACAAAGTCAATGAAATTGTCAGTAAGTAAAATATTTTAACAAAGATAGTTTAAATAAAATTAAATAAAAATAAGATGGTTTAAATAAAATTGAATCCTGTTTCTGAAAGTACCCTATTTGCCATTTTAATGGTCACTTTTTCCACAAATTATTTTTTAACTGGTCAGCCTGCAACCAATGTTTGACTTTTACGATCGCTACGAATTATTATGTACATGTCATTCCCTTAAAAAGATTAGCAGACATATACTAAAGAAATTCAATCAGTCATATACTTATTCCCTCTTTCTCGACAAAAATGTTCATATTAACCACATATGTATATAGAGTTCATATCAAGGTTGAAAATGGATGAAACTGACTATATGGATAACACATTAAAGCGCAGGTGAGAATAAATTTGTCGGGACTCTTACCAGTTGCAATCCAGCTCGGGATGTGACGTTTGGCACCTGCAAAACGAATTAAGTATATAGACTCCAAAATGTTGGAAAGCCATTTTTGGCACAATTTCTATTTAATGTGAAAGGGTTCAAAGCGTGAAATACGGATTAATTGAAATCTCAATCAATCCATCAATGTTTTCTTTATTAACGACCTGGCCCAAGCCCTCCTAGCTCATACATAACTTAAAGTCGAACATAGGCCTTAATTGAAAACTCTGTTGGCCAGTTTGAACTAGCTAAAAAATGGGTCGGCATCGTGTGAAATATTTCACCTGACCTCTAAAACCAATAAAACCATCCAAGCGAGAGTCGCTCATATTTGCACAAATCATGAATTCTCTGCGTACGACAAATACTCAAGACTTTTATTTTAGAGCCTTACCCAAGTAACTGACAAAGAGGACCGTGACGACATTTCCCATTTCGTAGCTGGATGCAATTAAACCGGAAAAACGAGACGGTATTTCAAACCTCGTTTCAATAGTTGTAATGACCGAGTTGACATAACCGGAGGAGACGCCTTGCTGCAAGGTGACGAGGACAGCAAGTATGCAGACGAAAAACTCAATGTTGGCAAACCTGGAAAGGTGTGGAAGAAGACAATTACTATTGAATCCGAAATACAGAGTACATGCATACACCCCACACCGAATATGTACCTCTGGAAACATTGTGGAAGACGACACCGTCCAATTCCACATTCCATGGAGTGCAGGCCGTCGTCTCTGTCGTTCAGACTTTTCGCATTTTTCTTGAAGTCACCGACTTCATGATGGCCAAGACTTGACTTTCCCTTTGCCTCAGTTATTGTTCCGTCTGGCGATGTAGGTCTGTTACATTCTGAATGAGATAGAAACAAAGCATTAACGACCTGAAATTTGCATGCGTCATTCTCATTCTAAATTTTGCATTCCTCTTTTATGTGTACTAATCAGAAGAAATCTAATTTTGTGAAGGCACCTCGTTTAAATATTACCGGCAGCCGATTTTGTGCCCACAATTTGAATCTGATCATTTGTCCAAAATATTACAATTTCGTATCCTACAGATATTTTTTGAACGAACGAAGAAATTTATCATTTTTGGGAGATCTTACGGAACGAATAATGGTACCACGCTACATTGGAAGTAATTGACAACCGCATTTTAATTTCCCTACAATTTATGTTTCCATATAAAGAGAATAATCAATAAACCCGGTTAAACTTCAAAATAATTTATCACATCCAAAGAAAGAGGCTGAATAGTGCTAAATATTTGCGGCGCATTGAAAAAGTCTTTAGATAGGTTTTCTTAGTTTCATATACGGAAATGTATACATGTTTCACTAATTCTGGCCGCACTGTGTATTCATTATTCAACCTTTCAAATGAGATTGGTTGGCACATATGGACTTTTTCATGTAGGGAAAATGTAATTCTTGTGGCGAGAGGCATAAATACTGCAAACATGGATCGTTGACTGGTAGAGAAAGTGCATCTGTTTGAGATAACATGCGCGTATACGTAATTTGGGGACGGATGTAGAAAGTAATTGAAAGAATTCACCTTGAGGTGACCAACTGCGGACGAGAGCGACGGCTGTGAAGTGTGAACTGCTGTTGGTCGGAGCAGTGGTGTCCAAATCACGCAGTGAAGACCACGCTATGGCACCCACAGCACTCGGCAAACAGCCTGAAAGTGCTCGTCGATGTCCTTTCTGCAGTGCGGAACTTCCATGAGACGGTAATACGATTCTGTCAATAATGCATTAAACATGTCAGCTCGCATTGCATAGTCCAACCAGCCTTTCGCGTGAAATAATAATCTTCAAGCAAATTCATACATAAGCCGTCTGTTTGTTCTGCAATATTCTCTGGCTCACGTAAACTTGTGGGTTTTCTGGTTATCTTACCCCTGATCACGTACCAAACGAAATGATCAAGTGGGCAGGACAATCACAAATGGATTTAATTTCGCAAGCATATATAGGTTTGTGCTAATTTGCTATAAACTGAACAAGTAGAAATCACTGGAGAAAGCGTGGAGAATGCGTGGGTTTATTCATTTCTCAGAGTGGGATTAGTTCTTGGAAATGTATTTAAATATAACAAAGTTTGTGATTGAATATGAATTTTGTTCCTTATGATATAGATTTTCGGCTCGCTATAAATTTTGCGATTTAATGAAACACTAGTGAAAGCAATATATTTGCTCTCATTAAGTTAGTTGATCGGTAATTCATAACATGAATGACTTTTTACCCGTGATGTGTGTTTGGATGGGATGGCCTCGCCTCTAACTGGGAGTGGTGGATACCTGAGCTGGATGGACTCACAACTCCACCATACGAGTGACCTCGTTTATGACCACGGTGACCCTTGTAATTGGACGGTGGTGGCTGGTGAGCCATCGCATGGACTGCCGAAGTTCTTCCATTCCCTGATGATGTTGAGTTGTCCGATTGAACTTGGACGTGTTGCTGACCTCCGATGTCAAGTGCTGGCGCATGATTTCCCAATGCAGTATTATATCGCGAAATTGTTTGTCCAAGTCGAGATGACATCTGCATAAATAGAAAACCACATGTTGTGTTAAGTTTCACCTAAATAAGCTCTTCTCAACTTCTCAAACATTTTACATATCAGTTGACATTTTTTAAGCTTATTTAAAGAGTATGCATTTTTACTATCACTGCCTAAAGTGAGTTGATTATCAGCAGCATTAAGTAAATTCGGTACTTCATTCATTCATCAATACCACTTTGAATTTATCCATGATGTATTGATGTACGTACAGTACTATTATGCAGCTCATATCTTTCAATCCATTCACTTCAGATAAGCTTGTCTGTGTATATACATATGGTGTGTATATTGATTTTTGTATGTATGTATAGCTTACATCTTGTACGTGTAGAAAATCAAATGTTTGAGATCAAAAGTTGTGTGCAATTGACGGATTAACTGAAATCCATCCAGCCAGCCAGGTGAGCTCTGATTCAGCCGGAATGAACGACTCTGGACAGCGATTAGGGGGAACCGAAGATAAAAAGAACAGTTGAATGATTTCTTCGAGACGTCATTCGTTTGCCTTGAAACCTGCAAATATAACAATCAATATAGTCGACCCATTTCTTCAATAATGAATGGCTGAGCAGTAAATAAGTAAGGTTTCAAACATGACTGTGTTACAATGCAGCCTATTTCCTATTGTACACAAGTGAAAGAACTGTTCTAAGGACAGCTTTAAGAAATCTGCAAATGCTCTTGTTTCTCTTGAAACAGTAGATATCTGATACCGATAAGAACTCAAGTTGACGTTATTGTAAACAATACGAGGCCATGGTTCATGTTGTATTTTGAAAACGTCACTTAACTGCAGGCAATCAATAACGTGTCAATAACACCAGGGAGCTCATGCTCGAACGCGTCGTTAGCTTAGCGACGTCGTAAAAATTAGTGACACATGCTCAAAATAATTTTTAGCGATGTCGGTATTGCTAAGGACACCTTTGAGCATGTGTCCTTAGCACTTGTCGTTAGTAGCGACACCGACGTATGCTCAAAACTTTGATTGTCGGTAAGACCTTGGAATTTGTCGAAGTTTTCGACGCCTAAATAGCTGTCGAAACGAGATAAATTTGTCGTAATTTGCTGTTAATTAGGATCCGTTCATATATTATGTAAACATTTTATGGGGGGAGGGGGTCGAGATGCTATTGACGATTGTTGACGAGGGATTGGGTATGTTGGTTTGCATATGTTGATGCCAACTTTGTTTTGGGCAAATTGAGTCGCTGGATTGCGAAATTCTTAATGAGTTTCCGCAACTCAGCTCAAACTCATTATTGTTCAAATCACTCATTTTGAAACGAGTCGTTTGAAATGAATTGAATGAATGAAATGAATTGAATGAATGAAATGAATTGAATGAATGAAATGAATTGAATGAATGAAATGAATTGACTCAAACTCAATTCAACTCATCCTCAGCAACTCATGAGTCAAATGCGTTGACTCGAACAGTTCGAGTCGAACTCATTGGCAGTCCTAATCGAGAGAGATTGAAGGAAAAAAATATAATTATGCCGCGGTTACGTGCTTATCAAAAATGAGATTTATGAATTTTTAGATAATTCGCAATTTTTTCGCAATTCGCAATTTTTCACAGTAAATTTGCTCAAAAATTAATTGGCAAATTTTTTCAAAACGATTTTTTTAAAACGATTTGTTTATAGTATAAAAATTTAGCTTTAGATTAAAATATCAAAGTTGCATTTACCCTCAAATTAATTTAAAAACTAATTTTAAATTTTGTGCACTCAATATTAAGAGGACCCGTATTTTTGCATTTTTCTGAATACCCGTTTTAGTCCGTAACGGAATTTTCAAACAAATTTTAAGCTAAAATCTTGATTTTGTAAATTCTGTAACTTTTTAAATTATGACATAATTTTAAAAACTCGAAAACATGTCTGCTCACAATGACTTCCCCATTTTACTTCAGAATTTTCTTTGATAGTTTGACAAGTTATTACAAGTGGGTTGAAATTTTATCCCACTCCTACACCTAAAATAAAGTGGTAGTAGACGTAAGAACAAAACTCCTCAGTTACCAAGATCGTTGTGAACCACTCCCTTAATCGGAAATAGATTACAAATTTTAACGATTTTTTTCCGACAATGTCGTTAAACTCATAACGACAACATTTTCCGACGCCTTGACGACAAATGATGAGCATACGTCGTTATAATTTGTTGTTATTAAGGCGTCGTTAATTTACGACGTCGGTAAGTTAAGGACGCGTTCGAGCATGAGCTCCCAGGCATTTAATTAAGTGATGTCAAGAATTTCTATGTAAAACCCCATTTTATTTTTTGTTTTTACATTGTTCAGAGTCCCTCCCTACCAAATAATATTTATTATTGATAATACAAACAATTTATTATTAAATTTAACTTTAAATCTACTTTATTACTAGTTTATACTACGTCCTCATTGGACAAAGTATTAATTTTCTACAACAAAGGAATGTCAAGGGTGTTAAAACCTTTGTCTCCGGTTATTAGTTGTTGATATAGTGATTAGTACCTCATGCGAAATAATTTGTATGTAGAAGCATATACATTACATTTCCCACACTGTCTGTAACATTTAAATTTAAATTCATGATAATTATTCAAAGTTTATTCCATAGGATGATTTATTCATCTTATTCCAGTCTCGTCGGTCGAGAAATCTGCTCATTCACGATTCGCTGTTTGCATATTACATGGTTATTCATATTGCACTCACAGTGAGCATCGTGCTAAAGATCAGGTCACATTAGTTCTTTGTTAAATAATAGACACATTTAAGGTTCCGAAGCACACACTACATACACGTGCATTTTAAATAATGTGTTATTTAACTGTATGTAGGTGCACATGGTATAAATAATAATACGATCTAATAAGCACGGTCCCCTATGTAGGATCATTCGCTCTTAACTTTCCAGTGTAGAGAATTATTCGCTCATGGCTTGGCATTAATGTGTATTTATTTAGGTGGAAGGGTCCAAGTGCTGGGAACGAGCCTTGAATGCACTATTTTTGGTTCGCGTATGATCGCAACAGTGCATGGTTAGTCATTAATGGACCATTTAGTTTAGTGGACCCCCACCGAAGAAAAGAATGAGAGTATTAATATGAGTAGCAAATACACAAAACGGTAGCCTACAAATCCGACTCTTGGCCAACTTATTGCTCACAAAAAAAGTGAAATGCGCTGTCTTGTTTTAAAATAGATTCTTTACAATTTCCGAAAGCCTGTGACTGTTGATTCCTCTCTGCTGCATATATAGACTTGCTTAATGATATGAAAATTCATTGCGTTATGCTTATTTGCTTATTTACTTCGAGTTGATCAAATTAGAGTGCATAAATTCAGTAAAGTCGAATAAAATAATGTAATGCCTTTATGAATAGTGTATTATATCTTAGGATTATTTAATTATGCTTCGTTCTTTTACCATGAATTAGAAATTCAAGAACTATCATGAATATTATACACAGATTAATAAACTAATTAATTTAGGATAATTTGACATTTTCGCTTTCTCTTAGAAGAAGAAATTATTATTTCCAGTCGGAATAAAATTTAACGAAGGAATATCATGAATTTAGTTCTGACAAGCTCAAAAAATCAGATCTCCCTCAATTTTTATCTGATTTGAATAAATTATAGATAAATGATTATGGCCCTGATTTATTAAGACATATCCAGCCGTGTATGAGATATTTAATAAAAACCCACAAGCAGTGTTTTGAGAGATTCTAGAAAATTGAAGGTCTATCTGCAAAATGTTCGCCACACAAAATTGATGCTCGAAGTACAGGAAATTATTAAATGTTTTTATCACACATATAGGATCATCTAAGTTTTCAGTTTCTGCAGTATACTATCTGTAGGATACGTGTATTATTAATTAGCAGCAGTTTTCGTATCAATATTAAGTTAATTAATCAATCGTATTATGTCGTCGTAATTTTAGGTCAAAATATAATGAAGAAATAAAGAAAGATATAAAGAAATAAAAATTGTTTATTAACCGTCAGAAACTTTGTACGATGTAAATCAACATGTGAAGCAGATGAGGTTAATTTTCGTTTCAGTCAGATTTCTGTAATTTTTGTGTCATGAAACCGACAATCGACGAGGATGGGACTTAACGTAAGCATTATAATTTAAGAATTTTAATAATTGAAACTTAACTAGCAAGGAATATTAAAAATTAAGCAAGTAAGCTGGCATGACTTATAAAACTTCATCAGAAATTGTTAATCCTGTGCTCTCTATTTAATTTTCCAAGTATTTGAAATTACAAATTTGCAAAATGAATATTCAAATTGGAGAAATATATTTCATTCGTAGTCGAAAATCGCTATAACTTATGAGATATGATGACTAATGATACAAGTAGATGCACGCAGACAGAATACATATCTGCATATATACATACATACTTAATTAGGGACGATTGAATTTTATAAGTACAACGACAGATTCATCTCTGCTACTAATTGAGCGGAAATCCAAAATTCTAACTCCCCTGAAGATGAGTAATATTGCTATTGTCAATTGTGATTGAATTAATTTGTATATGTATGTAAGCTGAGTAAAGCACGCATCACTCCTCCGCATGCCATATGCCACCAACTTAATGAGTATCATGTGTATTATCAAGCTAGATACAGTAATGAGTTGTTGGATTGCTAACAGCAAAATTAAAGACAACTAATATACAGGAAAACAACTCCAACTAATCTCACGATTGCACTGTTCCGACTAAAGTTAATCTTCCAAAGTTCATGTGCTGGCCAGAGCTTTTATTCGAACATTGTCATATGCAAAAAATAATACGAATACAAAAGTTGTAAAAATAAATTGACATAAAACGTGTACCAGACTTGATAGTAAGTTTGTATATTTTATTATTTAAGTAGGCATGCATATTTACATAGACATGTAATTTTCAGTATGTGTGCTATAATATGCAAAGTTCCAACTCTCCCCATTTGTACACTTCGCAAATCCTGCATTATATTACTGCACGTAAATATTCGAATCCTATTTCAATAATCTGAGAAATTTATAAAATTCAGCTAACGATAATTTTTTCAACACTATTCATCTCATTGCATGGGTCTAACGAAGTACTTTGACTTTTTCGAGATTTGCTTATTCATTATTCTCATGTATTAGAATCGTACAAGTATATGCTCGAATCAAACACTGCATTCAATTTCCGCGTCCGTATGAGATGAATGGTGAAGAATGCATGCATAAAGGTTTGATTTTATTCTATTCTAAGTAAGTCTTCTAGAGTTCTAAATCCAAATAGTCACGACCAATCGGAATAAACCAACACTTTCTCATTCAAGAGAAGACTCTCGAATGAGTTCGTTTGTGAAATGCAAAATAAATTCATAATGTAAAAAAGAACCAAAATTTGTTTGCCACGACATGATAAATAAATTATTTACCATTTGTTTCATATTTCATTGATTTTATTTTATTTATAAATGGAATGGAATGCTTTGGTTCATCCTGCCAACTTAGAAAAGTAATTACTTCATGGAGACATTACCAATTTTGGCCCATTGTTTTGTCCACTTATTTAGAAGATGGAGTGCTAAAAAATCTGTTTCATTTAGCAAAATCTTGTTAGACAGTTTTTTCTTGATCCCCATTACATTGATACATTAAATGCAGAACAGTCTATAATGGAAGTAATGATCTGATGGTTATATGTGGAGTGATAATTGAAATTGCATTTCGTATTGGGATGACTTAACCATTGTCCAATATACTAATATGCATTACACACATTGGAAAGCTACATATGCACATGTAATATTTTTCTTCCTAGAACCTCGCAGAACAAGGCAAATTTGTGATATTACTAATTTGAGCTGCCAATATTAAGACCTCTAAACCATACGCACTAACCAAAGTACCCTTCAAGATGTCAAGTAAATTATTAGCTCTAAATTAAAAGAAACGTCGTTGTTCTTACATGGGATACGTACAAGATGGTGTTATTCCACAAATAGATTTTATTTTGCACTTCAATTTCCAATCCAATATTAGACGGGCAGAATGAATGATTGCTTATTTATAATCCGTGCAGTTGAATGATACAGCAAATGAACTTTAAATTTGTGCAACCACAACTCTTTGCATCCCGACTGGATTCATTTAAACCCCTAATTGTAGTATAGTTTAGTCTTCTATGCAGATAATAATTTAACCACCATCATTCCAAAACTGTCATTTAATTAGTTGTATTATTGCGTCAATTAAAATGGGAACGCACTCTCGTACTATCTTGTCATGCACTTGCACTAATATAAATATATTGCTTCAAGTAACTTGACACTCACTCTTAATAAGTTGTTGTTAGGACGAGTGCAATGGTTGGACAAGGAAGAACTAAGGTCTTTAACTTATGTATTTACTGGTTGGACTCGTGTCTTGTACTGAACTGAAGTTCAAATCATGGGAATGAAGCACAGCAAAAACTAAACATGAACCAACTGCATCGAATGGCTTCAAGTAACAGAACTTTAAGCAGATGATTTTATGAAATGAACACGGAATCCTTATTGCATGGCTCTGCTGCCGTAATACAAAAGTGGATGGAATAGCATTGCAGGTTCTTTTCGTGGAACAGTCGTCGTCGGTCTTCCTTTTCCTTCGAGTCTGACTGAGAGAGAACTCACAACGCCGTAGATATTTCACTAAAACCGAATCGTATAACTGGCAGCAGAACGTTGCAGATTAATGCGGACACACCAGAAAAATATGGCAAAATTCGGCTTGCTTGTGTAGCCATAACACAACTTGAACCGTTATGATATGCATGCATGGCAAGTAGCAAAATGTGTGTGTGCTTATTGTGTACATTCGTGGGTTTGAGGGACATTTATCATAATTGCATCTAAAAAATTTACATGCAGAAGGGAGAAAGCGAAATTGAGCTTTATGTGACTCAGAAACCATGCATCATTTGAACCCTATGTTGAAACAAGGAGAAGGAAAAGTCATCATAATGCGTACCTGTGCTAAAGATGGTAATGAGGACGTCGGTTTTATTACACGGGGCGCAATCAGTGGGGAAAGAGAAAAGAAAGTGGACAAAGTGTACATAAAGGAAGTTGAAGTGGCGATCGGTAAATTTATTGGCGAGGATCGAGCGCAGTTACCGGAGCGGAAAATAATGCTTCATGTCTCTTATTCAGCGACTCGATTGAACCATTTTCTGACAGGTTTGCCATTCTACCAGTCCAATCAAGGAGATTGATTTTTATTACCTCTGAACCATCATTACATTAGATGCATGGGTGAGCTCTGAGCACATCACCTCTCCAACCCCAGTCAACACCAAGGAAAGAACCACCTCAGCAAATTGTAGATACATGCACATTCGTATGTAATCATTTGTCCTGGCCATTTGTTTGTCTGTGTTCGTATTTCTTTGTATAAGGATATGATAAGGATACTGCGTCCGCAACGGCGTAGAATTGAAACAACAAAATAAGACTGCTTTCGATTTATGTATTTATCAAGCAGTTGAAACCCGTACTCGTAAATTTTATGTTGATGATCAGAATAAAACGATCACTGTTTCTTTTTCCATTTGTAACTGCTCTCTAGACGTGGTGACCGAAGCATGGGAGTCAGAACGGACTGGGATGGATGGCCTCAATATTTAAGTAATTCATAATTCCAGTACAAATTGCTAACCTTGTTCATCCCCTTGAGATGAACACATTTGATCCTACAATGGTTACACCCACGTTGTCAGTCGATACAATAAATTTCACATTAGCAAACTCATCATTATTTTTGAAAATACTTAAAGTAAGTCTAGATATTTGTGTGGGTATCAAAAAGTTAATTACTCGAAAAAATGAGCCTGTACGGAGAATGAAATAAAATATTTATGTAGGTGAGTCTCACCGTCAACCATGAGACTAATCCTAAGTAATCTGGCTAACACTTACATATTATTATTATTTCCAACTCTATGACCAAAACAAATTGTAAAAGCACATAACTGCACTAGTGCACTTATTCACTGTGCACAAGCAGGGGCGAGTTACATAATATTTAGGTTCGTGAGATAGTGCAACATGAAACATGCATATTATTCTTGAACTGACTCGCTGACTGACATTCTCGGTCGTTGGTTATCACTTATTTATGCACATTCATTATATCAAGCTCTGTGCGTGCAAATGCATCAAGACAGACCATCTTTTATTTAGCTTCTGCCTTTATTTGGTTTATAATAAAATGTATGTCATACATTTCATGATTAGAACTTTTTACTGCTTGTTTTCCAATGACAATATTTTTCTCAATATTTTGCCTTTTTAATTTAGACAAGTTTTTCATGTTTATTCTGCTAATTTAAAATATATATATTTTCTATTTTTACTAGTATCCGAGATATATTTTGTGGCTGTCGTTTGGAACAGTTAATGAACGGACAACGTCCTAATTGTATTTTGAAATCAGCGTTTAACATATGCATATTTTTGCAGAAACAACGACCGACATACATTTATTTATTATTATGATATAATCTCGAACATTAGCAATGTAATTTAAGTTTAAAAGTTATTCCATGTTTAAAATTTAAAACTACTAAATAATTTCTCACCTTACTAGTAAGGTGAGAAAATGATATATTTCCAAAAAGATTATGATACTGTGGGAATGTGAGATTTGAGGGTGCCATGCGCCACGGTGATCTTTCTCCTTTCTCCACTCACTCACGAGCAGAGCAGGTGGTGGCAACTCCTTCTCACTTTCTTCCTCTGCTGACTCCTCGAGCTTGGACAAGAAGGGAAAGCAACACTCGTTTTGAAATTGTCTCTAATTTCGAATTTACAATTAAAATCTGTACTTTTGTCGTGCTCTTTGGGCTTGGAACGTTAAAACACACGCGTTTGGTTGGTGAGAATCTAATTTGTATATTAAAAATAAGAAGGGTGTAGGCCCTACACTGTTGTAGGGTATGGGTATTCATAAACAAAACAATAAATAGTCATAGTTTAATATCAATCATGTTATTAATTCTTTGATTTGTATTTTGTTTAAGCTAGAATCTGTCAGTGAACCTGGAAGCTTTGTGGAGAAGACAAACCAGAGTGATTACTAAATAAATATTTCAAAATATTGGGCACCTCCCACCCGACCCAAAGTACTAAAATTCCATCACAACGGAAAAACACAATGGTGAGTGAGTAGTAATATGCAAATACTTAAGAACTACCTTTGACTTTAACGTTTTACAAGACAATTAATATGTAATTGCATTGAACACTAACCAATGATACGTTTATAATTTATAAATTATACAGAAAAGTAAATAACTTAATAATAATTGTGAATGCATTTTCTAGTCGTGTCAATCAGTTGTGAACGACTTTCTAAGTGGGCTTCCTTCCAAACATCCAGATAATTTTCAAAAATGGGTGATGGATGGACCCAAATCAAACGTTACTCGGAGGTATTGAGATTTATTTTATGTTCTTATGTTCCCACTATATATTTGCGTTCTTTATTTGCTTTGAAGGCCAGCATCTTATGTTCCCACTAAAGATATTCCTGCACAACAAGGTACACGGTGACAATACAAATTTTGTATAATTTTGAATTAATGACTAATTGAAGTCGTTATTCAGTGATTGTGACAGAAAAGACCAACATTCTTTTGCGCTACCTGCATCAGCAATTTGACAAAAAAAGCGGAAAGCACGGATCCAAACGCGACTCTTCAGTTTTGGAGGACGACACTTCGAGAAAACGGAGCAGATTCGAATGACATTATCATCTAAGTCATCATGAGGACGAAGAAGACGAAGACAGACCCCTAAATTTATCGACTACGTTTTGAAAGCCGTAACAATAAACAGCGGCTCACAAATAATGGATTAATACGAAAAACGAAGATCTGAAGATAACAAAAGAAGTCAACATAATACATACAATAAAATACGGTCTGTCAAAAAGATGCAAATGCAATCTATCTCCTCCTCCGTTCTCATGATGGCGAGACGAACTAAAAGTCATTTGCGTTTGCCAATTTTCTTTGTATGCTCTTTCATTATTTTGTGAATTATTTTTTAATATTCAAATACCAGTAATTATTTATCAAGTGTGTTTTACGTCTAGGTTTCTCATTGCACTATTCGCAATTGTATTTGTTAGTAGTTAGAAGTATTAATGTGCTAATTTTCTTGACGCTTTTAGATCCGCCGTTTGGCGGACTAAAAAAAGTGTCGTCGTCTAGACTCGAAAGTCCTCTACTAATTTTGAGTGAAATTCGTCTTACTTGCAAAGCACATTGATCCATGATAAGTATCCTTATTATTCCTTATTATGATGGCAATCTCTATCTCTCGTATAATTAATTATCTAAATATATAAAGTAAGTGGATGGATGCTATAATTAGCCTAAAATATGTAAAGCTTTATATATTGTGGTGATATATTACTTGAATAAGAAAGATACGCTGCTGTGTTCAGGAATTAAGTATACATTGATCTACAAATTTATTCATCATTCTCAGTTTATTTATTATGCCTTGGATTATACATCTACGATATACATATATATATTCACTATCTATGCAAACAAGAATATTTCTGGGAAAGGGATCATTGCTGGAGTATAGCCCCCTGTGGGAGGGAATGCATATCCTGAACATAGACATTAAAGATACTTCACATATTCTTTAATGCTATACTCGTGAGAGATTGTTTCTGTTATGTCAAACATTGTTCCCTTTCTACATACTGATTAATTGAACTAAAATGAATGTTCTTGCATGATGATAATATTCGATACTCGTCTTGTTCGGTTATCCATGGCTTATTTTAAAATTTTTAATTGACTAAATAGCACACACTAAGTAAGGAGAAGCTTTGCTAAATCAAACGGCGACTTGGATCGATGGCAGCAGAAGAGACCTCCATGTATTTGTTTTAATGATGATCATCTTCATAACCAGTTGGAAGTGGGTTAACGTGGGGGTTATGAAATAGCGACTTTTGACCTTCACCCCACGGAAATCGCTATAAATAAAAAAACACAAATTGAGTCCATTTATTACCAAGAGAATATTAACTAATTTGAAGGTCTTAGACATTATACCTTGTTGCGAATTCGCAAATGATCATAAGGTACGAATTCTGGACGCTCGTGACCGTGTTCTGCTTCTTGCGCCATGTGCATAAAGTTGTAGACGCTCACAATGGCGACGCACGGGAGAGCCAGAAACAGAGAAAAATTCTTCCATAGCTTCATCCCTCCTGATGTAACAAACAATAAAAGTTAGACAGTGTAATTTACACTGTGTAAACTGTAAACGTAGCATGGCAAATCAAATACTACAATAACAACATTTATACGAATTCGTCAAATACACTAATAAACGTATAAATTAACATATCGTGAGAAATTCGACATTTATTCCCCAAATCCAATACCCCAAAAAGTCTTATCTTAATCTAATATTCTTAATTTAAGAATCTTAAATATAAATATAATAGTTACCAACTAACCATCGTGACTGTGGGCGGCTGCAGTCCCTGCCATGCGCCTCGCCATGGCTAAAGTAGTCGTCGTCGTCTTTTTGAGCAACATACTCATCTCGAGGTTTTAAATAATTGTTCTTTCTATTATTTTGAAATCTTCCGAGAGAGATCCCAATATGGCCTCCGTCTGAATCGAGTCAAACCTTCGCAACGGAGAGGAGTGAATCTGCACAACGCAAGATTTAGTATTGTTCAACTCGCACAACTTCACATATACATGAATGAAACATGAGAGAGAACAAAAATTATGCATGCATCATCAAGGATTCTGGACCGCAAAAACAAATTTACGCTATTAATTAGTACAACAAAAAGTATATTCAAGTTTCGTGCCTTAACTTGAAATCAAGCGTGCATGATAAGCCAAGTAATTTTTTGGCTAGAGTTTGCTCGAGACGCACGACAAAATATTCCCTACATGTTCTCGTGCATGCATGCGAAAAACTCTCATGCTTCCGGTATGTCGAGCTCCAATTGACAATTTTCGTTAATAAAACTGACCAACTGCCTATGAGCAAACATGAATAATTAATGCGCACGTACAATAAAAAAGTTACATAGGTAAATAGAAAACGGTAATGAAAGTCAAAGTAATTTATTCAATTTAAATTGATAACAGATAAATGCATAGCACATTTTTGGCCTAATACTGGGTATTAGTTGCGTTATTTTATTGGAACCACTGCTGTGGCAAGTGAGAACAATAAGATTATTTCACTAACAGCTATTTTACTGTGTTCTGGCTGGACATTTAACTTTATTAGTGTATACTACTATATACGCAGGAAAGAAGGAGTTTTTTAGAGCTATGCAAGATGATGGACAATCAATCGTTAAAACGTATGCAGGCAAGAGGTGAAACCAAGTGCAAAAACACCAGGGTTGGCCAAGATATTTTGTTTCAAAGATACAAGATACAAAATATTTTGAACGAAACCCAAGATACAAGATACTAAATACAAATAATTAGAGTTACACAAGATACAAGATACAAGATAAATTTTATCTGCTGTGATCCCAGATACAAGATACAAGATATTTATTTGAAATAATTTTTTCAAGATACAAGATAAATTATTCGGAGCTTGCAAAAAAAAACACGAAATAACGAAGCACCACTTGATTTTTTGTATTGTAGCCGAGTACTTGTTAATAATGACAGTATACGACTCATAACTGGCATTGTAATTTATAATGCAAGTCCCTGTTTACAATTTATAAACAAATATGAGGATTTCATCTGTGGTGATCCATACTGATTTTTTAAAATTATTCTATGGAACTGAAATTATTATTACTAGTATATTCAGTTGAAATTTGGAATAATTGCTCTAATGGTGGTACAAATTAGGAATATAATGCAAATTACAAAATTTGCCAACGTGCGAGGGTTTATTTACTGTAGATAAATAAATATTACGACGTTATACAACAGAACCTTGCGTCCGGCTCGGCAAACCTGTACACTGAGGTTTTTAAATCTTCATAATTCCTAGTTTTAATACTACCAAATATGCAAGTTTCCCGGTTTTTCACTAAAAAAAAGTATCTTGTATCTTGACTAGTATTTCAAATAAAATATGATTGAAATAAATTCTCCAGATACAAGATACAAGATACAAAATACTATTTGAGAAACGTTCAGATACAAGATAAAAGATAAGATAAACTCCGTTACACAAGATACAGGATACAAGATATATCTTGTATCTTTTATCTGATATCTTGTATCTTGTTAAATTATCTTGGCCAACCCTGAAAAACACATACCATAAATTCGCATTGTTGACTGTCGCTTTGGAGTGCTGAGGATGCGCCACAGCGAACTAGGCATTTAATGTTCCTATTTATATAACGTCTACAATAACTGCCAAAACTAAAATTTCAATATATTTATTATAGTTTTGACCGTCACCAGGTCAGCGTAGGTCAAAATAACATATCCCGTTGCATAAACCCGTTCAAAATGCTATCAATTTGACCCACAAAACCACCACTCCACTGTTATTTAAAGTATTCTGAACTTTTGACCTTGAGTATCCAAATTCTAATCAGTTCTACCCATGGCTTGACACAATAAATTTGTGCTCTGCCTCTATCATTCCGTTGGCGAGTTATCGTTCCAAAAAGGACAGGCAGACAGACGGGTGGACATAACCAATCTAATAAAGGGTTTCACCCTTTAATAATGCGGTTCACCACACTTATATTTCGTTATTTGTGATAATGCATGTCTGTAGAAAATTACGAAATATTCTTACATCATTAGTAATTTCCTACTTATATGGCTCACATAAAATATTACTACCCTCTCTGCATAGTTAATTTAATATGTTCTCATTTATCGTGTTTGCTTTTACCCAGAGAGTGTGAATCTTTGAGACGCACAAAAAAGGAACAAAAAAGACAAACCATCCGTTCGCCATTTAGGGAGTTAGTTTGCACTGGGTTCACAAGTTTGCATGTTTGCATAAGTGATTGTTGATTGACGTACTTGAAGCTAACTAACGATAGAATGAGAAAAAGTTACTTGGTTCGGAGGTGTGATGCTGATGATGAAAGTGGACAACACGACGAGGGGGGATCCTCATCATGGGAAAAGGAGAGCAGTAAGCCTTTGCTGAATCTGTTCAAAGGGGTGCAACCAAAACGGACGACGAATTCCATCAGTTCTTCCATGGAAGATCGACTACGGGACAAGATGCGTGGGTGTTTAGTGGGGTCATTGGTGGGGGACTGCATCGGAACGTTATTTGAATGTGACTACACAGTCTCTTACTCGATCCTGGGCGATTTGTACCTTTCCTTGACTAATCTTAGCGAGGACGAAAAGTTAATGGACTTGCATGGGATTGATTTTTCCGTGGGACCTAAACTGGCGCAGCAGATGTTGGAACGAAAACGAGCTTCCATTGTTCCCATAATTCAAAGTGATGAGAACGGCGACAGCGACCATCATAATAATACTGCAAAGGGACCGATAATTCAAGCAGTAGTTCCACCAAAAAGACATTCCTCCTTTGAACGGAGAAGAGAATCATTTTCGAGGCCCATTGAAAAATTCTCTGACGACACGGTCATGATTCGCTCCGTGGTACGGTCCCTCATCCGGATGAGGGGGTTGGATCAAAGGGACATGGCCACACAGTTATTATACATAAATTCATTCATTACCTCAACACCTTCTACTGCACTATTTCCAAATTTGCTGAAAATTGACTTGAATCTTTCAGGCTTACGGACGATTACTTCCTTAATTTGTCACGAAAATATGGTAATAATAAATAATACTAACAATGCGATGGTGTGAAGTGTAACCCTCCGATTTGGCTGAAATTTTAAAATTAGGTGGTCCAAGCCAATACAACTAACGTTTCTTCAGGCAGTTTGTGCGATGGTGAGAGTTACTCAAAATATTTGAGGTCAAAGTTCAAAAAACGGCCGACTTTTTTCAGGCGGAGTGAGAAAACTCCACTTCCATTCTCTTCCCCTCGCTTTGATTTTCACTCCGAAAAATAATTCATTTCAACAATTTTAAATTTAATTTTTTATAGAAAAATATTAATTATTCATTCCACATGTGACTATATGATTATTTTCATAAAAGTCCACAAAACAATACGATAAACTGCACCAGCTGAATTTGATGAATGTGGGATTGCCACAATTCAGGTCGCAACTAATATTTTTTTCTCTAAAACAAACTTCGCTTACATTTTTAAACTCGGGCTTTTCGTCATCACCCCATGATCCGCTTGAGTACCAACAATATCGAATCACAGGAGCATTTAAAATATTAATATATAATTGGATATTAGAATAACCAACGCTTTCGAAATGGAAAGCAAGTTAAGTTTTTCCATGTTTATTTGCCGTTGGCGAATTTATAAATTAACTTTTATGTAAATTTGTACTAGAAATAAGTAAAAATCTCACTTATTTAATTATAAATTAAATTAAGTATGTATAATGCGTATTAATTGCTCTTTAAGCTATAATTAATAATGTTTATTTTTTATTATTTTGCATCAAAGCTTGTGCTTGAGCATGAAGGCGTATGCATGAGCGAGACGCCTGAATAAAATCAAAGCGAGGGGAAGAGAATGGAAGTGGAGTTTTCTCACTCCGCCTGAAAAAAGTCGGCCGTTTTTTGAACTTTGACCTCAAATATTTTGAGTAACTCTCACCATCGCACAAACTGCCTGAAGAAACGTTAGTTGTATTGGCTTGGACCACCTAATTTTAAAATTTAAGCCAAATCGGAGGGTTACACTTCACACCATCGCATTGTAAGTGAAAAAGTTGAAAGATGACTTTAGGTCACGTCCTAGAGCAGAATGACTAAATTGCATGCGAAATTTTACAGGAGCATTTTCTAGAGAGATATTCACACAAATAAGAAATAGTGGCTACTCTGACCCCGTCGCTCCTGCGAGAAAATCTGTCGGCAACATCGGGGCTCAAGGAAATGAAGGTGCTACCAGAGTGGCGCCTGTGGCGTTGTTTGGGTGGAATTTGGATTTCAATAATGTGGCAGAAATGGCAACCAAACTTACAAAAATTACAAACTACCATAAATCTGCGGTGATCGGAGCTGCATGTCAGGCATTATCTGTGCATAAGGCATTTAATTGGGATCTTAACCCTGATGGCAATACTATGCCTACTGTCACACGTGGCAGATTAGGTAGCAGATTGACGCCAACAATGAAAAGGAAGATTCCAAAGCAAGAAAATATTCCCATGAATGCTCACAGTGAAATGGATTTTGATTATAGAGAATTTTGTCAACAGCTTATAGAAGAAATTTCTCATGTGGAGAGTAAAAACGCGTCGTTCTTTGAAAATTTCAAGAGTTTAATGAGCTCACACAGGTGATTTATTTGTTTGTATTAAATATGTAACATTACAGTACATGCGTTCATAAACTAACGTATGAGTTTTTTACGGCATACAGGGAAATTGCCGAAATAGGTGAATCTGCCTATATCGCTAAAATTAACACTATCGTGGAATTCATGGATCGTTCTGACGCTCCATCCAGAGCTGAAGTTGTTGAGAAACTGGGGAACGCTGTCAAAGCCATCGACTCTGTTCCTACTGCATTGTTCTCATTTCTTATGTCTGCAACAAAGGCCAAATTTACTGAATTACCCGTCCACATAAAAAGTCCAGTTCTAAAGAGCATTTTTTATGCAATTTCTTTAGGAGGGGACAGTGACACCACTGCCTCAATGGCAGGGGCTATTTCCGGAGCATACTGGGGATATAATAGCATTCCTCAAGAAATTTTGAGAGTTTGTGAAGGTGCAAATGATGCAAAAAACTTGGCAGATGAGTTGTTCAATCATTGTCACAATAATAGCAATAATTAACAATAAGCAATGCAATATTGTACAAATAATGTATATATATATATATATATATAATATATGTATATATAATATGTTTGAGTTTTATAATTGGCTATGCATTATTATTGAAATATCGTACTTGTCCTATTTTTGTAGAGAATTTTACAAACAAATTTTACATAGAGGCAAATTTTATCAAATACTAAATAACAGTGTAGTAATTAATAATAAATACTAGGAGTTGGTTGTTTGGTTGTAAATAAAAGCCATCAGCTACAAATACCAAACTTGTGCATGTGTAGGAATTCAATATTAATCTAGAATGCGTCTTCGCTATTTAAAGTTTTCGTTTCAGTTAACTCCTTAAATCGGGCAATTAAGTCCGGTACTGACTGCTCTCCGAGTACTTTGTTGTCCCGAGTGCGTACATTAACAGTGCCCGCTGCCTTTTCTCGTTCGCCCAACACTGCGAGCACAAAATATTTCATATGCAGTTCTAGGTCATCATGTCATAATAATTACAATTTTTGAGCTTAATAAAATCAAAATTTTACTTAATCTCTCAAGTATTTACCTAGAATGAAATTGAACTGAGCAAGTTGTGCATTCCGAATTTTTTTGTTAAGTGTATCTCCCTGATCCAAATCCACTTCTGATTGGAATCCTGCATCAAAAAACTTTTTATGTATTTCCGCAGCGTAGTCATTCACGGCTGGTCCAACAGGAACGACGCAGACTTGACGAGGAGAGAGCCAAAATGGCCATTTTCCTGCACATGATTCGGTAAGAATAGCAACCATCCTTTCAACTGATCCCAAAATGGCTCTATGGATAATAACTGGTTTGTGCTTTCCTCCGTCATCAGCAATATAATTCAGGTCAAATCGGATGGGTAGTTGAAAGTCGAGCTGAATGGTTGCGCATTGATGATTTCTTCTCAAGGCATCTTGAATAGTTATGTCAATCTTAGGACCATAGAATGCTCCATCTCCTGGATTTTCACTCCATTTTCTACTCGACTTTTCACAGAAACGATTCAAACTATCAGCTAAAGATTTTTCAGCCTGATTCCATATCTCGATATCACCCAAATATTTCTCTGGCCGAGTAGACAGCTTCAAATCGAAAGTGAATCCAAAGATCCCGTAAATGTGGTTCAAAAAGTCCAAAGCTCCATCAATTTCCTGACCAATCTGATCTGGCAAACAAAAAATGTGTGCATCATCCTGTTGAAATCGACGAACGCGAGTTAACCCACTAAGGGCTCCAGATAGCTCATTTCGGTGCAAAACTCCAAAATCTGCTAAACGAAGCGGCAACTCCCTCCAACTTCTGGGACGGTGGGAAAACATTAAACAGTGCCCAGGGCAATTCATTGGCTTCAAGGCGAAAGTTTCCTTTTCGATTTCAATAGCAAACATGTTTTCTGCATAGTGTTGCCAATGTCCCGAAGTTTGCCAGAGCTTTGAGTTATAAATATTTGGACTGACAACTTCATTAAATCCACGCTTGCGATATTCTCCTTTGATGAGGGTTATGAGCTCTGAAATGAGGACCCACAAAAATGTATGTCAGTTATATTCTCATATTATTGCAACCATGGGATTGCTGATTGATATGGTCATACTTTCATGACTTTCACACACAAAACGTCGTCGTGGGGTGTCTCTCGCAAGCCCCGTATTAAAAAATTAATATGGGACTTATGTGGAAACCCGACGAGCGAGAGTGGCACCATTCATGGGATTGTGTGGATATTGTAATATTTTTACCGTTGTAGATATGAGCCCCTTTTGGTAGGAAAAAGCATGAGCCAGGAGAAAGTTCATGAAAAAAGAAAAGTTCTTGTTCTTTTCCCAATTTACGATGATCTCGCTTTGCGGCTTCTTCTTGAATAATTTTCCACTCTTTCAGTTGCTTTGGATCTGGGAATGATATTCCGTAAATACGTTGAAGGGATTCTGCATCTGACTTGCCCTCCCAATAAGTAGCAGAGTTCTTTAAGAGCGAAAAAAATCACAATGAATACGGTCATCTAGCTGTAAGCTGTTTACATTCAAAATATTTAAGAGTACACTGTCATGTGGTCACATATTTACCTTGGTGAGCGCAAGTGCTTTCACTTTGCCAGTATGGCGTACATGAGGTCCACGGCATAAGTCAATCAATGGTCCACACCGATAAACGGTAGTGGTTGGAGTGTCAACTTTCTCGTTCAAGATTCGGACTTTAAATAGATTGTAGCCAAACATTTCTAGCAACTGTTCTTTAGTAAGCTCCAAGCGTTCAAATGGTTGCTTTTCCTTCACGATGGATTTAATTGAGGTTTCTAGAGCTCCAAAATCTTGATTAGAAACCTGATCGTTTTCAATGTACATATCATAGTAAAATCCGTCTTGAATTGGTGGTCCATAACATAAGCATCCACCATAAATCTTCTCCATTGCCTCTCCCAAAATGTGAGCAGATGAATGCCAAAATACTGCCTGGGCTTCTTCATCGTCAAACTTTAGCAACTGAAGTTTACAAGCTACATGCAAATTAGAGTAATTAAATTTAGAATTTTAAGAATGAATAGATAATTGAAATATGCTAACATTGACAAGTTTAATAGCCCGGGTTTAATACACGTGTTTGAGATAATTTACAAAGACTTACATGCTTCCAAAGGTCTATCGAGATCCCACAGCTCCCCATCCACTTTCGAAATAACTGCAGCGTCCGCCAATCCAGGGCTGTCATCATCAAAATTATTAATTAATTACCATAATTCTCAACTATGACACTATACTAACAGTTCACAACATGACTAAAAATAATCTAACAAACCTGATTCCTTGTGCGATTTCATATGGCGTGGTTCGCCAAGATTGACCTTCAACCTCCTTTCCATCAGGCAAGGTTACACCGATCTTCTCTGGAGTTTTAGCAGCCAAACCTTGCTTATACTCTTCCTTGAATTTGTCCCACAACTTGATGCGATGCTATACAAAAGTAGAAAGTACAATTTCAGTTGCAATTGAAGTCGGGGAGTAATGACAGTTTATAATCAGGTAACTCACTTGGATAAACTCTGGGAGAGGAGTCAACTCCTTCCGTTTTTGTGCCTGAGTCTCGGGCATGTTTCTTCTTTCAAATTTCTTCTTGAGTGTTCTTGGCATATGCCTGTTTTGGGATTCAGCAGGTGCAGTTTGTTTACTCTGCAAATAAAGTATATATAGTAAATAAAGCAAGTAGTATATATTTATATGAAATGACGCTAAAATTATTAGCCATCTCTTAGAGAACTTACAAATGAAAACTTACGTAGAAACTCGCAGATTCTACTCAATTACAAAATACTTTAGATTCTTTGAAAAAATAACTTGATGCTTTATTAGAAGCTGTTCTTCTATGCTGTCATCAAACAATACTGCTAAACAATGTTTCCTGATGCCATTATTTTTAGAGAACATGCAATAGTAATATTTGTCCGAATTTCATCATTGAAAAAAAACAATAAACAACCAATAATAGAATGACGTAACGTAACACCTGCAACTACGCAATTTTTAAAATTTTTGCATGAGCAATGCCAAAAATGATTACAGTGTTTCACAATCCAGTGATAATTAATTGGGGGACAAGAGCTTACCGAAGCTTGCAGGTTCTTGCTTGATTGCAACCTGATTTGAATACTTGTAAACAACCGGTATTTTGGTTGCTGGAATTTTAGTAATACTTGTCTTTCTACAACGTTAGTAATCAGTTGGACGTGACGAACTGTCATCCCCTGACGAAGACAACACCTCCCGATGAGTTATCAGATCCGGCTTCGTATCCTGTCCAGATGTGACCACGAGTCGGAGAAGAAAAATTGATGACTGTTGTGTGAGCTGCAAAATCTCAAATAAGTTGAAAAACGCGAGCCATTCTAGATGTCGCGGGGGTAAACTCATGCGAATTATTCGCTTATGTGATTCATGCAAAATTCATGGAAAAAGTGAGACAAATGGACGAATGAATGGATAAAAAATAAAATTCATACAATTCATCATCATCAATTAAAGTGAAGCATTAGTTTATTTGAAATAATATGTCAGCGTGTCAGTGGAAGTTGTAGTCGTTGGAGTTAAATTTACGTAATTGAAGCCAGCAGCTGCTGAGACAGTAGGGGTTGAGGGCCGTGACGACCCCGCGGTGGTCAGTATACCTATTTTGTTGAATTCGTGTAAATTGATATTTTTTCGCTGGTAAAATTTGATTGAAAATGAATTAAATCGATTGCACCAATTAAAATTTATTGTACCAGGAGCCACATCCCGAGGCCCACACAGTCCCCTCCATGGCCTTCAACAGTTGAGCCATGTAGTTCCCCTCCACCGACTCCTTGACGCACACGACGCTCGCCTCGCGCTCCATCAACTCCCTGATTATCTGCACTACGTAATCTACTTGACATTCCAGGAGAAACACAACCGAGTTGTGACCCAGGCTCTGTGTGAGAGAGATGGAAATACTTCGAATTAGATAAAAATTCCACGTTTTGGTGCTAATACATAAAAATGATGTCGAACCGAGTTTGGTCCCAACAGGTGAAATAAGTTTGGAGCAGCTGAACAGCAAATGCCTTTATATGCCGCTGGCCCCTCTTTCTTCCACAATTGCATAAGGTCAACCCCATTTTTTACCTTGATTTCCAAAGGGAAAAAGAAATCTTGCACGTTGAAGCCGGTTGCCAAAATTAGCACCTTTGTCAGATAAATTTTACATAAACCCATTAATAAACTTTTATAATTTTGTATCCATTATTTGTAAAGGCCGCACATCGACTTTCTCCTCTTTTCCATCTTCTGTCACGATTGAATTTTCCTTAACTTTAGTGATTTCTCTGCGCACGACCTCCACGTGTGGGAGGGCCAGTGCAGGATAATATATATTGCTAGGTGTGATGCGTTTGCACCCAAATTCATAGTTGGGTTTGACTTTCTCCATAAGCTCAGGATTGTGACCAAGTTGATGATTTACAAAGAATTCCGACAGAATTTTTCCTGTGCATGGATTTATGACTTTAGTGGAATAAACTAATGGTCAAAAGTTGAGCAAAGGACTAATTACCAATTTTCTGAAAAAGCGACCCCTGTTTGAATGCAGGGTAAACGAATTCATGGTTTAAGAAAATGTAGGATCGGTAAAGCCCTCGCACACCGGGCAGCGACTCGAAAGACCACTTCAAAAACTCTGGAATCTTGAACTGCATACGTGGAACTACCCAAGCTGGATGCCTATTCGGTGTATATATTAATTAGTAAGTACACATTGTGGGAATAAACTAAATAAACTAATAAAATATGAGACCTTTGTAATTACTTTTACTTATTTATGTAATTACTGACATATATATTTACCTTTGATATACTACTAGCCTTTCCACCTTTTTAGCAATTGACGGGATAATCTGAACCGCAGACGCTCCACTTCCAACAATCGCCACTGACTTGCCCTCCAACTTGACTGAAGTGTCCCATTCTGCGGAATGCATTCTTGTTCCCTTGAAGGTCGCGAATTCATCTGGAATATTAGGAATACGAAGGCTTCCAATCCCGCTAATTCTATGTAATCATGAAGGCAAGTGATCAAGAAAAATGTTTGAATATATAGTTGGGCTCTTGGACTACTTGGATTGAGCTGTTTTTAGAATTTATAGTAAGCCTACAGAGATTGCTACGAATGCTATGATTACGGAATGGGTAAAATATATTACATGACATCGAAAATAACTTCGCTCTCCATTTTGCTGCGTTTGTTGTAAACCACAACCCTCCATTTGCTTATATTTTCTTCCCAGGTCAGCTTATTAACTTTATGGTTGAATTTGATGTTTCGGTAAAGGTCATGCTTTTTTGCAACTTTCTGTAAATATCTCAAAATTTCGGGCTGGGAGGAGTATTGCTGAGACCAATCTGCAGTACGCGATAATTTATATTTCGTATTTTAAATATTTATCCAAATTTTCATATTTTTACCCGACCTGTGTTTGGTTCAAAACTGAAGCTGTACAGATGTGACGCCACGTCACAAGCACAACTATCACAGTAATGACAATGTTCAATTATTCAAATTAACGCAAAACACCCAGTTGCATGCATACCCAGGATATTTGTTTACAAGCCAAGTGCCTCCTACATCCTCATTTTCATCAAACATAACAAAGTCCGTTAGTCCTAACTGTTTTCGAATCTGAATCGCTGCTGCCATTCCAGAAAATCTTAATTTAAAAAAAATATTTTCTAATATGTCAAACTTTCCGGAATTTACAAGTATCTAACAATGCGATGGTGTGAAGTGTAACCCTCCGATTTGGCTTAAATTTTAAAATTAGGTGGTCCAAGCCAATACAACTAACGTTTCTTCAGGCAGTTTGTGCGATGGTGAGAGTTACTCAAAATATTTGAGGTCAAAGTTCAAAAAACGGCCGACTTTTTTCAGGCGGAGTGAGAAAACTCCACTTCCATTCTCTTCCCCTCGCTTTGATTTTCACTCCGAAAAATAATTGATTTCAACAATTTTAAATTTAATTTTTTATAGAAAAATATTAATTATTCATTCCACATGTGACTATATGATTATTTTCATAAAAGTCCACAAAACAATACGATAAACTGCACCAGCTGAATTTGATGAATGTGGGATTGCCACAATTCAGGTCGCAACTAATATTTTTTTTCTCTAAAACAAACGTCGTTTACATTTTTAAACTCGGGCTTTTCGTCATCACCCCATAATCCGCTCGAGTACCAACAATATCGAATCATTGGAACAAACACAGGAGCACTTAAAATACAAATTAATTGGAATAACCAACGAAATGGAAAGCAAGTTACGTTTTTCCATGTTTATTTGCCGTTGGCGAATTTATAAATTAACTTTTATGTAAATTTGTACTAGAAATAAGTAAAAATCGCACTTATTTAATTATGAATTAAATTATGTATAATGCGTATTAATTGCTTTTTAAGCTGTAGTTAATAATGTTTATTTTTATTATTTTGCATCAAAGCCTGTGCTTGTGCATGAAGGCGTATGCGTGAGCGAGACACCTGCAAATCAAAGCGAGGGGAAGAGACTGGAAGTGGAGTTTTCTCACTCCGCCTGAAAAAAGTCGGCCGTTTTTTGAACTTTGACCTCAAATATTTTGAGTAACTCTCACCATCGCACAAACTGCCTGAAGAAACGTTAGTTGTATTGGCTTGGACCACCTAATTTTAAAATTTAAGCCAAATCGGAGGGTTACACTTCACACCATCGCATTGTAAGTATGAGAAAAATTTAAAATGGGTAGACATAATACCCTGCCCCAATTATACAAATTTTTGGACCCATGGTGGTTTGTTGAATATAAATATGCTCTGAAATCAAAATCACAAAGTTACCACTATTATAAAGTAAGGTTGAGAAAACTATACAATCAAAGAAACGGCCACTGCAAAGAGGTGTTGATTACTGAAAGAAATCCAGGACTGACTTGCACTTTTGTTAACTTTGCGTGTAGGCAGATTGCATAATAATACGTCAAGTAGTTGGCGTCGTATAATACTGTCAACTGTATTTTTCGCGACTAACTGACAGAGCTCGGTCAAGTTAACCCAGATTAGGGGTTAACTACTCCCTAATCCAAAAAATAATCATTAATCGAGGTATTTAAAATAAAATATAACAAAACAATCTCTTAAGCTTAATCCAAGAATAAATTAATCAGATTAGCTTCAAACTAATGGATACAAAATCTGATTTATATGTAAAGTTAATACTTGATATTCAAAAATACTTGATATTCAAAATGAAAGTGAAATTGCTTTAGAATATTTCTATCAAATTCTTTCATCCAGAAGGAACTAATGATGATTAAGTTTAAAATTTTGCGTTCATTGCATGTGTTTTGTTCAGACTAGACGAACAAATTTGAAAAAAAGTTATGAAATTTTAAAGTCTATTTCGCCACCTCCTCCCCACAAGGTCGAGCTCAAGTTTCAATAAGGTCACAAATATTGAGTTTTTGGTTTCGACCGTGTGGTGTGATTTCATAAATCGCCATCATTTCGTGCATGCGAGGTAGAAGTTAGAAAATGCCGAATTTTTACATAGTTTCGACCGTTTTAGACCCTTAGTTAACGGAATGGAACACAAGATACGGATATCCAATTTGGTTTCGTACATATTGCTACATTTCGTTTTTTCACGGCTTATGTATTTATTTTTAGAATGAATAAACAAATAATAAACCGTTGCAAACGAAATGTAGCAAAGGGGTGAAAACACACGGAATTGTCTTTGTGGCACGCCCACAACGTCTTTCTGCACTTTCCCGTCATTGTCTCACATCACCCCACGTCTCATTTTGCCCCGTTTTGACACCCCCACCCGCGTACTTCAAACGTACACGACAATACCTTTCAATAGACACCCCACATGACAAAAGTCATTTTTTCGACATTCGACACCTCCCACACGGTCATGGAGTCGTCGCACGTCGAAATGATGGCGATTTCTGAAATCCCCGCCCAAAACTACGTCTAATACGGTGGCAACAAAAACTTCGACAATTTTCGACTTTGGCGTCGTCTACACGGTCACACGGTCATCGCACGTCGAAACGATGGCGATTTCTGAAATCCCCGTCCCAAAATACGTCTAAAACACTGGAAACGAAAAATTCGACACCTTTGACCGTTGGAGTCGTCATCGTGGCGCCGTGACCTTATCACCTAGGACGCCCATCTTCGAACTCATCCATACTTCAAAAATTAGAAACACGTTGACGAAAACCGCATCCCGAAATACGAAACCATTCTAAAGTTATCGTGGATACAGACGGACGGACAGACGGACAGACGGACAGACAGACAAGACATTTCCATAAAGGGGTTTTCACCCCTTAATAACTAGTGAGTGATTTTATATTATTTTAAAATAATTAATCAAATACATATTGTTAAAAAAAGTGAATGTTAAAAATTTTATGAAGAAGGTGTCCATTGCTCCCGTTGTCTTAAATAATTATGCAGATGTAAATATGTATGAGATAATAATGTTATGTACTATCAAGTACATAAAAGCATAATTTAAATAATTTGATTTGGTCTTGTTCATTTGTTCACTCCCCGATGGCCATAAATTTGTTACGAGTGAAGGTTCTTCATTCGTTGAGACTTTTATGTAGTAAGAGCTAAGAATTGCGGTGGTTCCTGTAAGGAAAACATTGGCATGACGCACGATTCTACTTCTATTACGGAGAAGTCACAAATGGCAAAATCATGGACTGATTTCAGAGAGGAAAACTCGCTTAATTATAATGCGCCATATATGAGCGATCTTGTAAGGATTGCTATTCCATGATAATGCGCAAAAAAAGCCCGATCTTCTCCTTACGTTTAACTTTCTCCCCCCTATTTTCTTAAATGGAGGGTCTTTTCCGACGAAAGATTTTCAAAATTATAAGAGAATTAAGAATTCGCAACAATTATCGAAATTAGACAATCACATACATATATTGCGTAACAAACCCGAGCATCCACACCGACGTTTCATATAACAAACACATCCATAGTGCATGGATAACACGTTTTATTTTTTTAAAGTATATGAAAAGACAAATAGAGCAGAGCTATTATTTTGTGCAAATACTATGAAAATAGAGCTGAAAGTGGAGATGTTCGGAATCTTGGAATCTTGGAAAGTAGACGAACTTCCTTAAAAATATATATAAATACAATTTTCAAGTTTGTCTTAAAGAGAGAATGAAACTCCTTCCTTAATGGTACGAATCATGAAATTTGGAACATTCCGATTAAAGGCAAAGCTTTAATAATTCAACGCTTTACTAAAGTTTTCTCCAAATGATGCATGACACTAAATACTACTACAGTCAACAGTATGAAAGTCAACCCAGTTTCATACCTGGCCTAACAATACAAAAGTCTTTGCATTACACAACAGTATTTGTAAAATCTGTTTCATTACATCACTTGAATGGTACCATCGTCAAGATGACTCTTAAAGTCGTGTCACTATCAAAGTATGTAACTACTTATACATATGTATTTGTGCATATAAAAATAAAATACTGCGAAATCACTCTGCACCTAATTATCAGTTTGATAAAAAATACACCTTGAAAAGTTCCTAGTCATTTATTCAGTAAAATTTTGTGTATAACAGAATAGCTGTAGGTACCAAGATATAAATAAACAAAGAACAAGATGCGTAGGTATTCCAAGATTCTCATTCTCTGTGTATAATAATGTATATAATAATCGCGTAGTCTGAATTGCTATGTCTTTGATTATTTTTAAGTACGAACACACACCAGTTATTATGCACGAGCTGGTGCCTTCATAAGCACATATCAGCAGCAGTGAGACACTGTACATCCGCGTTTACTCGTCGCCATGGGAGTCATCCTCGTACTCGCTGTACGTCCGTTCTACATGACGTTTCTTTTGTCTTTTCCTCTTGAGGGCCTTTTTCCTCTTTTCTTTGTCGTTTTGCTGAGCGGTTGCCTCCCCGTCATTATTCGCACTCTCATCATTATTGTTAACCAACTCTTGCTTGTTGACTCGGCCTTTCCCAGCCAAAATGTAGGCTACATCTGGAGTGATCAAATCTACGTCATCATCACTTTCGACATCCTTGACCAACTTTTGTTTTTTTCCAAAGGTCTTGTCATTGGTAGATTTTTCCAAGTCGCTCATTCTAATACTTTCCGACTCTGAATTCCCATCCGAATTGTTGTCCTTGCTTTTTGAACTGTGAACACTGTCGTCTGATGTAGACCCTTCAAATTCGTCCTCTTCTTCTTCTTGCATTTTAGTCAAAATTAGCACCAGCTCTTGCCCTGTTGGAACTTTCACTCCATATTCGACTAAACCTTGAGGACTCGGAAGCGGCATTATCCGTTTCCTTATTCGAAAGGAAATTGCTGTAAAATAGAATACAACAGCACTTAAGGGAAAGATGAGACTCCTAGAAAGTATAATTAATTACTTATATAACTATAATTAAGTAATAATGCGATGTTCAGTTTTATGAGGAGGAAATTCAATATCTCATTTCGCATAAAAGCAGTAAAAATGCCCATAATCGTCATAAACTAATGATAACTAATTAAATTACCCTTTATACTTTTTTGGTTACCTATAATTTTGTAAAGTCATACCTGTGATTGCGGAAACGTCAAAAATGCCTTTGCCATCGAATGTCTTGATTGCACTTTGCTGGCCTGCTGTGGAACCATCACTATCGGATTTATTGTATTGTTGTTCAGCCTCGTGCAAGAGATATCCTCTGAAACGGGAAGCTGCAGCATCGGGTGATCCAATTAAGCTTCCCTAAAATAATTGAAAAAACAGAGGATGGCTTTATTTACTATTAACCCATTATGTTGAATTAGTTGTTATTAGTTCAAAGAAACTTGAGTAAAGATATGCAATGCAATACAAAAAGCATCGGATTATCAAATTAAACTTTATCTCAAATTCTCAAAATGCCCACGAGCCAGAAGTAACGACATGTATCAATAGTCGCTGGAACATTTCACAATTGCAGGTGTAGTGTGAAACTGCTATCTGGTGTGTAATACATAATAGTTTTCGTAGGTAATTTACCATCGCTTGAGATTTGATTGTATTGATTGTATTGTGATTCGATTTGACACTAAACTTTGTTGGAACTTTTTTGGAAGTCTTAAAGTATTAACTCATCGGTCGTTTTCACTTTTCACATACATATATGTGCAAAACCATTTATTTTGCAGGCTCTCCATATTCATGGACATATTCATGGAAAGTTATTCGTCGTCTGATGACTCGTAGTCGAGTATCATGATTTCCTTTAGATGAGCATCTAAGACTATACTCGATGTAATAATTTTTTACCCGCCTCTTGTTATGAACTTCAATTATTAAACGGATTGTTATAAAAATAAAGAGCATTGGTTTGTAGCACGAATTTTATTAATCATCCAAAGCTAGTCACTTACGAGCACTGCAATGCATTCCAGGGCCGCTTGTCTCACTCGCCGTGCCGGATGCATGACCACGAGGCATACCTAGAAATGTGTAGAAGCAATAATATTTATGAAATAACGAAAGGCCAGGTTGATTAGATTTTAGTATATGGTAAGGAACCATATACTTATATTGCTAGTACCCTAAACCACTTTAGGTAACCACTTTATTTTGTCTACAGGGCAATTAAGATAACAATTTATAATAAAACTTGGCTATGTGTTTGTGTGGTCTGGTCTTGTTTGTGGCCTTGTGGCGTGTGGCGGATTTATTGCATGAATTATTAAAGGTTATTTATACTATTGACGATACTAATAATGATATAATAGAAAATGTCCCTTGTGTTACACGTGGAATTCTTTATAACGACTTGCGTCATGCGATTTTACAATTGTTAGGTATGGGAATTTTCACTTTGTCAGTTATGGCGCCAATTTCCGGATTAGCATACGCACACATTATAAAATTACGGATGAATACACAGACAGATGAAAGCCATACCCATCTAGAAATTTCCTCCAAGTCATCAAACTCCTCCTTGGGGAAGGATAGCAGGGCGTAGGTGAGGGTATCCAGTGCAGCGGCCTTGGTTTTCGAGCCTTGTGAGCCCCTCCGATGCCCGACGCCATCGTTCTCCATCACGAGAAGAAAGTAAATAGGTCTCGTAATCAGCTCTGGGCCGGCAGCTTTCACCAGCTTCGCCAGCGTGAAACTCGCTTCCGGCTTCAGTTTGGACTCAGGGTCAGCACTCAACTTGCAGAGGATTCGTAGCAGCCAAGATAAGTCCATGTTTCTCAATGCCTTTTCCCCAGACGCCAACTTTACGTGGAGCAATCTCTCGCAAAGCACCCTCACCGCACTAATGAAACAAGTCAACATGTCAACAAGTCAACATTTTTTGAACAAACCTGAATTATCGTCTTAATCTTATCATTATATAACGCACGTTTGTGTGCTTATCACTGAAACTAATTCCATACATTTCATCCAATGTTTTTAATAAAAAAAACAACATACCTCAGGCTGGCAATCATAGTGGGCAGAGCATGTTCCGCCTTGCTCTTTCTGGACTTGACGAGCAACTGCGTTAGCAAGGGTATCACTTCACACACACAATTCTCAATCGTCTCAGTTTTAACGACGTGCAAATAGTGCGATAAGGTGGATGCTATTTCAGTTGAATTTTTCCACTTTCTTCGCTGAGAAGGGGAGTCGTCGTCTCGGCCTGATTCAGATTCTTCCTCACCAAGCTCAGAATTCTATAAAATCATCATGCATAAGTAGCCTTAATTTTTGAACCGGGTATGCCGGCGTATGTAATTATATGCATACACAGTTGGCATATCTTGTACGTAACTTCATCAACATCTTATTATTACATATTACTGCACAGTAGTGAGCCATGTTTGACGATTTCAGCCGTTTACGTGCTTAATGAGATTACAATCTCCATAAGCTATACCCTAGAAATATTGCATAATGGAAAGAAAGGCAGAATTTGTGGCAAGAAACGGAAATTCGATTTAGGTCACGCTGGAATAGAGTGAAATGTGATCGTTAAATAGATTGACTTTTGGCCTAATTCATATTTTCAATTATTCTCATCCCAAATCTAGTTCCAATAAGGAGCAATTCAACAAAATTATTATATTTACTAAATGCACCTAATTTCCGTGGATTGTTATTATTGTGCTTCACACCACAAATAGCATTACTCATTAAGATACATATGAATGATGACTGTGTACGTGTATGCAAGAAGGAGAGAAAACTAAGAATAAGTAAAATAAATCTGCACGAAAACTGTACAAAATATAGCTGTTCACGAGTTTTCGACATAGTAGCCTTTTCTACTTGTACTCAAGCAGTAGTGCTATAAATTGCATACAAATCATGTTTCTTATACGCTATGATCTACTCTCTTTGCAAATAGAGGCTCGCTCACGACTAGCCAACGACTTTGACCCAAATGAGTCAATGGCATGGGAAGGCTCAAAGAAGAATGTGAACAGCTTTCTCCGTCATGGTTTTCATATATGAAATCAAATTGTTCTTTTGCTCTGCTCGGGTGCAATTTAATCAAACAATGTGGTGTCAAGACGGAAATAATATGTCAATAAATCCAATTCAAAAAAATGCCATTAACTGCCCTTTTTAGTTGTATGCATTCTTGACCGTCGGAGGTCTATGCAATCAGCAATATTCGATTTTTGTGTTAATTTAGAGCATAAAAAAGAAAAATGAATGGGAAATGTCGTGGATTTATTATGTGACCTACATAATTCTAACTTTTACCTTGATTTTATACTTAGCATTATATTTATCAGTGTTTGTTACTACTTTTACTAACGCGACATTTCACCATGAAATCATTTTTTTCATACGTTTAGGTAGGTCGATTTTTTGTCTCAATTCCAAAATAATTTTTGAAAAATTACAGAAAAATTACCGGTTGGATACTATTAAAATTTGGCAAATCATTTTCATCTTCTCCTATCGGTCCCATCTCCTCCATTGATTGATCCGTTTGCAGTGAAGAATGTCGAGACATGGATGGACTTTTTGATCCTTGTGAGGAGAGTGAAAGGGAATCGTAATTACTTTTACTTATTTTAGGCGAAGTAGGTAGTAACATTTTGGAACTGGGTCTTTCTCCAGCTTCCTGGATGCGGTGTGAACTATTAGGCGAGTTGGTGTCCCTTGCTACGATGGGCAGTGAAACTGGATTTGCAGACGACGTAGATAAGGAGCTTGTGTCTCCTACTGATTTATTTCCTGCGCCCAAGGTGGACGCGTTATTACTACTCGAGCGATTAGGACTCTGCGACAGTTGGTTATTAGATTTTAACGAGGCTTTGCTACTGGGTCTATTACTTGGTGGTCGAGTCAATTCACTTTTACTATGCAAATATTTGGCTGAAGGAGTTCTGTTGGGGCTTTTGGAGTTCACTGGTGGAGATTCATTTGACACCCTTTTATCATTGAGTCTAGATGGTGTACCATTATTTGATACGGTTGGCGTCGAAATAGGTTTCGGAGAAGGACTACATTTTCTAGAAGTATTTGAACCTGCACTATTCAAACTTTTTAGAGAGCTTTGAGAATTTTGTTTGTCCAGTGGAACTTTCTCCTGGGCAGAACTCTTCATCTTGGCATCAAGCATGGCCATATAGCGGGCATTTGACTGTGCTGAGCTATGCTCGGAAATAGGAGACAATTGTTTTTGAGACATGTTGTCCTCAAACATGTCATTATCAGTGAACATAACCAATTCGGATGAACGAGCGGACAATGTTTTGTTGGGTGTTTTTTCAGACTCGTCCTCATCGGACACATGGACGGCGTCTTTCAGCTTTTTAGAAAGGACGGGGACTACAGGTGACATGTCAAGTTCAGACACCATGTCCTCCAAAATATGTTGAAATTTCTCATCTATTTCGTCTATGCTTTCCCTCCGTGTAGATTTCCAGTCTTCGATTAATTTATCTTTGGCCTGCTCAACAGCTTTCCTTTCCTCTGCAGTTTCTGCACTTGTTTTCTCATGTGTCCTGAAAATGTTGTCCTCTTCTTCCTCGCTGCTGTCCATCGAGTCAGGCGCATATACGGACAAATACTCTTCTTTATCGGGAGATTTTTTATTAGGAGAGGTTGGAGAATTTTCAGGTACATTTATTTGGCTAAGGACTGGAGCAACAGGGTTCACCTGTATCGACGACTGTTGACTTTCTCCAGTGGACATAGTTGGAGCCGACATTTTTTCAAGCTTTGGCTGTGCAGAATTTAAAGTTTCAACGGGTACATTCGAAACGTCTGCTTTGCTAGTGGCAATCACTGGGTTTGGCAAAGACGATTTTGGAGTTCCATGAACAATTACATTCGCAACTACAAGTGCAGTAGTAGGTACATCGAGGACAGATCCTGTTGCTGTACTTGGACTAGAAAGCGCTTTAATGGATTCTTCTCCAGATTTTTTTAATTCTCCAGAAATGGCTGATGCTTCATGATGTATCCGCTTGTCCAGCTCTTTGACTTGAGTCTTGACTGTGTTTTCAATCGGCACTACTCCGAACTGATCTTTCTCAACTTTTAAAACGTCCAGGCCTTGAGGAACGCCAGCCAAAACGTCACCCACATTGTCAGGCAGAATCTTCCCCTGTTCTCCAGTAGAAATAATTATATTCTCTTTAGAACCCACTGCACTAGACACGGCTCGTGTGACACCGGATACAACGGACTCGCCCAACCCTTTCACTTTCACCAAAGGGCTTGAAGTTTTACTTTCGCCCACTTGAGCTGCCAATTTCTCTCCCTCGGCTACAGCAATGGCTTCGGCTTCCAAGACTTTCTCCAATATGAGTTTCTCTTTGGATTTTTCTGAATCGTCAATAGCCGTACTTAATAACTCCATCATTTTCTCAGTTTCATCTTTCGGGGCCTCTTCTACAAGTGACTCAGTCTTGTGTTCTCCTTCCTTGTCGTCATGTCTTATAATTTTTGGGGTTTCAGTTTTAACACCGCTGTCTCTGTCCCTCGATATCTCGTCGTCTACTTCTTCCTCTTCCTCTTCTTCTTCATCGTCGTTGTCAACGTCTTCAGAATCAACATCACCTGCACCTGAATCCTCAGAGTCGGAACTATTGCTTTGATGCTCCGAGGATAAACTCGATTCACTTTCTTCCTCAATTTCATCATCCTCTACACTTTCACTTTCTTCCGATGAATCCTGCCGAGATTCATTGGAACTCGCATTTTCGCTATTTACGTCTACACTGACACCAGAAGCTGATACTTCATCTTCATCTTCATACTGTTCATACAGTTCGTCCAGGTCTTCTTCCACCTCAGAAGGTGGCTGAACACTTACTGTCACTTTCATTGCTTTCGTTGGATATGGCTTTTTCTCAACTTTCACCCGCATATTTATAAACTCATCGTCGTCTTCCTCTCTTCTACCTTCGCCGCTGGTGTATTCAGTCTCATCATCTACTTCGTCGATAGAAATGTTGTCAAATACTTGAATGTCCTCACTCTCCAGATCCATTACAACGCTTTCTATCGAGTACGATGGAGAAGCGGTTGCTCCACTTGCTGTTAATGATCTTGGGTTTAGATTTTCTCCAGCGCTGTCATTACTAGTCATCCCACTGGATGACAAATTTAACAAATCTGGCAGAGAAAGGTATGCCAATTGCTGGGAAGAAAATGCTCGTGAAGAAGAAGGAACAAACTTATAATCTTCAGACGAAATGTCAGTCTCAATTTCCTGTTCATTGATATGAAAACCAATTCGGCTCATAATATTGTGATCTTTTGCAGATTCGGTAATGTTGCGAGTTCTTGCACCGATTCCTTTTTCTCCGTCGGCGGAATCCTCTTCATCAATTTCGGATGTCGTAGATGTAGAGACAAATCTGTTGCGAGTACCGAATCCATCATTAGTTGTACTGTACTGACGACGGTATGGGTGAGTTTTAGGGTAAGGAACCGATTGAAGATAATTGTTCCTTATGCTCATTGTATCTCTTTTTTGTCCTAAACAATCGTTACGTTTCAATTAATTAGGGGTAGCCCAGAATCAACATGTTCACTACTCAATGAAGACAATGTGAAATGTAGAATTATTTTTTAATTCTGTTTAAAATTAGCATTTTTAAAGAAATTATATAAGAACGTGATCGCAAATGGTGAGTATTCTAGCCTGTTCCACTTACAAAATGTTACTGACGTTGAGGTTCAACGATAGACTAATTTCTAGGTCAAGTCGTGCTCGTAAGTGAGTGTAGTCCAGTACTAGGACTGTTACACTTTCACCGGGTTACATGCTCGTTTCTTCCACTCCAAATCACAAATCAAATACATGGAAATATATACATGTACGAGAATGAGAGGGGAAAAGCGGAGCAAATGGAACAGAGTTTCATTTCTGAGATTTATTGACCTGGCTGACCAAAGAAGGCTTTGGGGGCGGTTCGCTGGAGAAAGAGAAAGCTTTCCCAGAACTCGAGCCCTTGTTTTCTCCGCCACCGCATAGCTATTATCCACAACGTCGTATGTACATAAGTAGTACCCACGCCAGTGCTGGCAGCCTTTCGGCTAGTCTACGTTGAGTATGTGCATGTGCATGTATGTAGGCGTTTACTACCTACAACAAATACTATATACACTAATAAAAAAATAAGCAGCATTTTAAAATTAATTGAAACTTTTTACGAAATCAAGATACTTTTCAATCATAGTTTATTCTAAATTTAAATTTTCAACACTTCAAATAACATTATTAGGATGAATAAACAAGATGCCTGTCTCAATCTTATTGTCGACTAATTGTAAAACGCATTCGAATTCAAATTCGAATTCAAATTTTTTCAGAAGACCTTCTCTGTCACAATCACATGTTTTCTTAAGAATTAGCATATTACATATATTTGCAATTCATTAACTACCTCCTGTACATAATCACAGAACAGAACACATATAATCCCAAATCTGGAGGCACTGAGTTCTGACAAAGAGATACATTGTGCATAACACCAATGAACTACAGTTTGGTTAAAACTATGAGATCTAGTGATCTACGTGGTCGTTTGCGACCGGTATTACAATAATCTTTATATTCGAGGACGAGCATACGCCTATTTGCGTCAGTTATTATATGCGTATAGTGCACATAATACTTGTACATCTTGAAAATGTCAGCATTTACATACATGAAAATGCATTCAAGGTCCAATTTCGGGATGGAAAAATTTCCTAAAAGTGCTCTCCATCAGAAAGTCAACTCCATGGTCGATTGGCTTGACAATAAAGGGTATACTGGCCAGCCCAATGGCAGTTGTTGTCCATTTCCTCATCGGGAGACTTAATTTCTTGTTCTTACTTAAAAGAAACAACGACAGAGCGCAAAGTCGATTAATTGTAAATCCTGGGATTGCCACTGACGCGAGGGTCTGCCAAATCAGAGTGTCAGCAGCAGCGATTATTTTCCGTTTCTGATTCTGAATATAATAAACACATTTTAAGAATTAAACAAAAATTCAAACACTGTAAACTTCAAGCTGTACCATTTCTTTTTTTGTCTTGTCGTTGGTGTCTGCAAACACGTAGGCAAAGGCCACGCCATAACTAAGGCGAACAGCGTTGACATGCACCAAGGCTCGAAAGGACTCTCCCACCTCGTTCGCGTAACCTGGAATAGTGAACGTTTAATTAACTTCCCAGTCTACACAGTTAATGAACTTGTAAAATATCTTAATTTAGTTAAACTTGCTTACCTAATAATCTCACTGGGGTGTCTCTCCAGATGTCAATTTTGTTCTTTGGCGTGGTGTCAGGTTTTTCCGTCGACATTTTCAACAAAGAATTGTCCTCTTTCCAGAGAAAAATTGTATTATTTTAATCACCGTTAACATACGCTAATTCTCTGTCTAACAAAATGATTATAACAATTTTAAATGGAATTTATAATTAGTAATTGAGATTTGGAATTTAGAAAATAATCTTGAGCTATAGGACATACACTGATAAAGACATCTGATCAGGCAGAGCACGTGGATTTTTTGAGATACAATTTGAGCAATTTGAGCTTCGGGAGAAAGCAGAGAGTCGTGTTCCTCTTTCTTGGTTGGTGCATCATTGCATGAAACGTGTGCAAACTAAATTTCCTTGATTTTGGTTTGTTTGAACCTTTTGGTAAGCTGTTACAGGAAATTTTCTACCCCACAGAGCCGGATTATAGTATCGGAAACTCTCTTCAACGAATAAATTGCAGACTGCAATTTGCAGTAGAAAATGCATCTATTTTAAAATTTTAAATGTAGCAATAAAATTCAATGTAGAGATGAAAAAATCATTTTATAATCAAATTTGAACTCAAGATAATGTCATAATATATATTGGTAATTAAAACATTGAAACAGTATTTGCAAATCTCGCCAAATTGCTAGTTTTTTCTAGCTTCATCATTCCTTTTATCATACGATTCGAAAATTATTTTGATTAAGAAGTTCATGCTTCTAAGAACCTATTATATAAACCCTAACGGCTAACTCTCTTGGTGTATTGACAAGCTATGTACTTATGTGCTTATTTGTATTTATTTCCCGTAACAAACATGTCCAGTCGTGGCACCTGCCAACTCCAAATCTCAATAATATCTCAATTTCATTGGCAGGAGGTTTTGGCTCGAGAGGCGAGTAAACATCTGATGACGGTGAAGTATTTTGGTTTCATTATTTCATCCATTCCAGGCTTTCAATTTTTCGAAATATTTCCACTTTCCAACAACTCAAGGCCTTTCGCTACTACTAGTCGTCATCGTTGTCAGTTGTGAACTAGTGTTTACAGAGTTCGGCAGTATTCAATAATTGAATTTCAATTAATACTATAGAATTGACCTTGAAAAGCCATTAGGGGTTTATGTTTATTGTTTTCCATCATTACTATATTGGCGGAGACCAAATATCGGTACTATTTGAAAACGTTTGGTAAGGGCATAAATTATTGAAGGTTGATGTTTGTTGCATAAAAAACGTTTGAGCTTTCCAATTTGCACAAATCGTTTGCATAATCTCATATTGCAAATTTCAATATTAGAATATGAGATATTTGTACTTTTGAGAGTTCCAAATTATGTTCTAATTTGTGGTTTATGTTCAAAATTTGATAGGTAGTATCAACTCTGAGCCGGCGTTGTCTACTGCTTGGTTTAATTAAAAAAGAATCGACTGAAATCAAACCCCTAGGAAAGATGCTTCGGTGCCATTATATCGCAGGTGTGTTCATATTGTTGGAACTTAGTTGTTGGGGCCAGATAACGTCTGCAGTAGCAACGTCATCAGTTGAAAGCTTTTCACACAATAACGATGTTGACCAATTCACGTTGATCAATCGGCGGATTCGTGAAAGTGGGACCAAGCAAGACGACAGTGGATCAGCGAGCACAAATTCAACCATCAATGTCAAACCGTCGACGGAACCCCCACGTGAAGGTGTTATGATTATCAAGGCAAAACCACCAGATGTTAATTATAGTAAGTATATTTACATATTATTCATTTTAATACAACCTAAGTGGCATTAAAAAAAATAATTTTATATTTAGCCAAGAAGGCTCCAATTCCCTATGAAGCATATGACAATGAGTCAGATGAGAACACTCCCGGATACCCCTCTGGTCAACCAAAGTTTGATGAAAAAGCGTACGAATTGGTTTATTCTATTTCTCACAAATGGTTTAGTACTCTGATGGGCTGAAAATGAGAATTTTTGTTTCATTCATACAGGATCCAGCGAGCCCTTATTGTCGTTGCTGTTCTCGCTTTCATTCTTCTTGGCTATCTCGGGGCAAAATTTATGTTGTACGTGGTTTCTACTCAATTATGAAGTCTGAATTGAATAGTGATTAGATTATTTTTAACTATACATATTAACCATTTCAGAACGAAGAAAAGGAAAGTGGACAAAAGATATGGCCGCATTGAATCTGAGATTGATCTCCTTGAAGAAATGGAAACTGCGGAATCCGACGAAGAAGAAGAATTATTTGATGTCAACATGACACGAAGATCTAACTTTTGATATGTGATTAAGGGATGATGCAATCCAGTGATGAATATAAAATTCCAGAGTATGTCGCAACTCTCCTGAAATTACAATTAATTACATATTCAAATTAATGAAATTTAGCTCAACTCGTTTTTGCGAGTGGATTATCACAAGTTACTATCGAGGAATGTATGCATATAGTAACCTAGTCTTTTTTATTGTCAATAATAGTGCTGAATATATATAGTACTTGAAAAAATTGAAATTCTCATATAATAAGTGGTAGCGGTTCTATAATATTCAACAAATGCCTTACCGACCGGGTTCCGCAACGCTTAATCGTTGATCCTACATTTATACAACCAATTCATAAATGGTTTATTATTTAATGATTCAGCCTGTTGACCTCAATGAAACAGTTTTATAAGTGCACTCTAGAACCAAGAGCTATTTATGTATGTATATATCCGTTGTTGCCAACTTACGAATGATACGCGAGTATTTTCTAAAGATTGTGATACTAGCAGAATATTTATTTTCCAGCTTAAACGGCCCAAACAAGTAAAATTATTTTACGGAATAATTTAACTGTAAAATTATAAGTCAATTAAATATTGTATTAACGAAATAGATAATTAATGTATTATTTTAGGACCGAGAATAATTCAAGCTACATAATGCGAAAGCTAAAATTAACTATCTTTTCTTGAAGTGTTACTACTACTACTGTCATTATTGTCTTTGTAATAAGTGTCTATGGCCCTTCGCTGCTGAGGTCCTAACAGTATGTGGGATCTGCAAGACCTCATGTGGTGAATAGCTTCAGCAGGAGTCCATTTATTTTGCTGTAATTTAAATTGTTTTTAACACTTATTATTAATCTGATTTAATAAAATACTATATACATGTTCAATACCTCGATCAAATAACATGCTACCAATGTTGCACTGCGCGTTCTTCCAGCTTTACAATGTACGTAAACGGTGCCTTCATCTTTCAAGGTCTTAATAAAATCAACCCCCTCTTTCAACTTGGATTGACACGGAGCTTCGAAAATGTCCCTGGTGGGTAGTTGTAGAAATTTTATGTTGTTTTTATTCCATCCCTGTATTCAGTAATCAAAAATATCAATCACGAACCTGAGACAACGAGGATATTTTAAATACGTAGGAAAATGTACAAATGTGTACCTCTTTATTGTGTGAAAATAACCAAAGCTCATAATTCTCGTTGAGGGAAACAATTCCTTTGACATTTTCCTTTCTAAGGGCATCCACCATGCCTCGAAATGGCAGGGCACCCAGGATAACATGATTGTCAATTCGATTGTACCACTTTCTACTGGATACCCTGGCCATCGCAATGTTGTACATCAAGGTGGGATAGAATGATGCTCGGGCAAACATCTTGATGCCAAATATTTGAAGGGGACTCCGCTCACTTCCTATTGAAGGACCAAGAAACCAAAGAAAAATATTGAATACAAAATCAACAATTTCCTCCATATTATTTCGGCAGGTTTGTCTATCTTTGTTTGAGCCACCTACATAGCCTAGTGCAATTTTATTCCATCTTTCTTTGATAACTGGAAAAACACGAAATACCATTCGCGAAACCAGTCCTAATGTCAATGTAATAAAATATATTAACATTTAAACATGTCCATTCGTCCAGCATCAAAGTCAATCAGATAGAACTATGATACGGTATAATAGTTCCCTATCCCTAGACTCTAATAGATATAATTTATATGATACGAATTATATCTATTTCAGAAAAGTGATGCAATCCCACGGTACGTTCTTCATCAAATCAAGAATCTTGACTCAAGATTAGATGAATAGGGATTATAATGAAATATTTCTCACATGTTGCAAAACAAACGAAAGAATTTTTGGGTGAGATACGTTGATTGAAATTGAGAGATGTATTATACATCTCTGTTATATATACATCATGTATATATAACAGACAAGTATGTACAAGTTTTACTAGTCAGTTTGATTTTGATATGCGAAATTATAAATACCTTTTCCTTGAATATTATGAAACCTTTCTTAAACCATGTAGGAAAATCGTTGCACTAAGAAACTTTGGAAAAGGCCTGACAAGTGGAACAATTAAAGTTGATTATATGTGAGATTACCAAGTCCCATCTGACGTGGCGTTGAGCGAGGAATTCGTGAGGAAGTTATGAAGAAACTTGGCCCTAGGGAAGAAGAGATTCAACAATTCAACTTCATTCTTCACATCGTCATGTTCACCATTTCTACGCACGATATTATATTTACACAATGTAACGTTAAAAAGACTTGTATAGTAGTTTACTCCTGTACTGCTTTGAAAATTAATTTCTGTGGTCAACCTTTCCGCTGATCCGAATATTTACATATGCATATGCTGCTTCCCGGTAGCCCGACTCAATTTGTTTCATATCGGATGTCTCATTTCATGGTGTAGTAGTGGCGTCAGTTAATTTAACCTTTAATCTTCAATCTATGCATTATATTTGTATCTGTAGTTATTCTGTACATATAACTTTATCAACAAGTGCGATTGCTTGATTATTGTATGATTTTAGAGTGAATAATTACTCGGTCAAACAAATAGTTACATACATTTTACAAATTGTAAATTATATTCACAAATAACTATTATGTCTCAAATTAACTTTAGTCAGAATATAATTCTAATAAAATTCCAAAAGATCGTCAATATTATTCATCATTGACACGTATCCCAAAGTGTCGTCTCCAGTAATAGGACATCGATGATAGCGTTTTTCACAAGGAGAGGTAGCATTCAACATTCCTCCTTCAACGCCCAACTCGCTGCTGCCCCCAATTCTAACCGCAGTTTCGTACAGAGCAATCACATCGTCATCGCTTTTGTCGATGCCTGGAAGCTCTAAATTTTGCAAACTCTCGAAATCTGCAAGGTCTCCAGTTTCAGATGTGAACAATAATTCCCCCCTTTCTCGTTTCTTTGTAACTCTAGAAAATTAATAAAATTGCACAAGATCACTTTGAAATTGACCCTAGGAAAAGATGGTCGTTTTTCTTGAATTCGTACTGTTTCAATCCAGTAAGAACTGATGTGATGCTTGGGGGCAGGTTGACAACATTATTTAAAGACGGAAACTTTGTGAAGGATTCCAGTTGGCAAATTGCTTTGAAACTACATTCATCCTGATCCAGTTTTTTCATGAGCTGCAAAAGCAGAGAAAAACGTCAAAGTAATGTAATGTTTGTGATCAATTAGTTATAATTGATATCTGACATAAACCTTCAAGAGTTGACTTGCAATATCTCGTTTCCGCTGTGATACATGAAAAGTGTCGCGTTTCTTTCGTCCATTTGGCATACCCCCAACCAGAGCAGTCAGGTTCAATGGAAAAATTCCCAATAAGTTTAGAACTGCAAACTAAATTGTGTATATTAGGTAGGAATACGAACGGATGAAAAATGGTGATGTACGATAATAATATGCAACAAACCTGAGTGAGGATAATTCCCAAAAAGAATGCTTCGAAAGGAGTAATTGCAAAATACCACCTCCACGTAGCTGTAATGACACATTATCATCACTGCGTTACTTACTGTTTGGCTAGAAGTGTATAAATTCATGTAATACTACGACCTATTGTGGCTGAAAGTTAAAGTAAACTACAATCGTTAAACATGGGTTCAGGATTTTTTTAAATGTGTTATGCATCATTCGAGTAGCAAGATTAATTTTTTTCTTACGCTCGTGCGAAAAATTTGTAAAGATTCCAGCACTTAGATCAGGAGTCGCTGTCAGTAAAAATAATAGTTTAGGTGTCAAATAAAAAAATTGTGAAGAAATTGGTTCATGAAATGCGCTAAAATCTTGAAAATTTGAGAACGTCATCTTTAATGTAAAATTGCACTTATTATTTTAGGAACGTTGTTTCTCTTTGTTCTCTTTAGACTAATTACTAAATTGCAATTTTATGCAGTTCATCATCATCATTACTGTTGGTAAAACGGTTTCTGCCGAGTTTGCAATTTTTAGCCATTTAAAATTATGGCAAAGTTTTCAGTGCATCCGATTGGCATGACCATTTAAATATGCACATATCTTTGTCTTCGATTTTAGAGGTTGATATCCGGCGCTGGTTAATTAAATCAAATTAGCTATATGTACTTTCTAGGTATGTGTATTTACTATTGTATTTGTGCATAATGTAGAGTTTAATGCAATGTGGTTAGGTCACTAACTAACCAATAACTTCCTTTAAATATTTTGCCATTCATTCATGTAAGCGTAAACTTACATATTTATCTTAGTATTTATACATACGCCATTTAGTACATTAATCTTAATGCCTTTTTCTCTACCCAAATGCAAAAATGCATCAGTGCAATATTATTCAAATTGTGTTTGTGTGTAATTTTTTTATTTTAATAAACCAATCTGCAGCATCATTTATTGATACACATCATCCAATCATAATATCGGACGGAACTAGCAATAATGATGAGAAAACCTACTTTGGATACTCAATAGTCGGATTCTCATCATCTGCTTCGAACAGGCACCACACCTCACTCACAATAATTGTAGATCAAACGTACTTAAATTTAAGTTGTTGGTAAATTATTGTCAACAGAGTGTCAGTTTACATTGGGGCCCCGAAATCTCAACGACGTACGCTGAGAGGTACTACCGTGGATACTGGGGATGTCTGGGAGTGCCAAGTAAATCTAGCTGAAGATGCAAACGCACCAAACCGCAAGATTAGTATTAGTTGTACACCATGGAACGGATTAAGCAAATCCTCGTCAACCCAGCGTGCGCAGTTATTAAATAGATAAATACCGATATGTAGGTTAAGTGTTATGTCCCAATAATAATTACAACTGTACAAATATGTAGGTTGCTGCGGGACTCAAACGCGATGTGTCACCGAATACACGAGTGGAATGTGGCTTGGTGGATCATTAGCTGCAATTGATGAAAACAGTTTCCTAGCTTGCGCGCCGAGATGGGCTACTCAGAAAAATAAGGACCGTGCAGGTACTTCCAACAACATTTTGGATCATTAAAGACTTTTTTAAGATCAATTAGGCGTTTTCGATGATTTATTTTTATGAATAAATAGTTCATGGGTTTTGCTATCGTGCTCAAACCGGGAATGGAAATGTTCAAGGATTGGAACCACCATTACAATATTGTACCGTAAAGTATATTTAATGTTTAATAATGATGTGGTCAATTCCCTGTTATTTTTCATGCAGGGGACCAACTTACAAATTCAGGTACCCTTATTTGGTTCTATGGTCAAACAGGATTCTCGTCGGCTGTGGATCATTCTAAGACATTAATGCTAGCGGGTGCCCCTGGGTACTTGGGATGGCGTGGTACGAGAAAAATAAGTCCAAATATATATTTTCCTAATATTTCAACCCTAATCTAATATTTTCGAGCATTATTCGCAGGTAACGCCATTCTGTACAATCTGGACGAAATGTCACAATTACAATCTTGTCAGCCTGCAAGTCAATTTAACACGGTATTTAAAGTTAATTCGAGAAGAGGCACAAGTGGGGACTCTGCAGACTACTTTGGTATTCTCAAAACCTTATTTGTAAAACGAAACACAAAGTGTCAACTGTAAAATATGTAAGATAAATTATTCAATCTCTGCAGGGTATCATGTCGCCTCGGGACAAAACAGCTTTGGCCAGGCCACAATTTTTGGCGTGGGTGCTCCAAGGGGAAACGGGGAAAAGGACAGGCACTTGGCTGGGTTTGCATCCCTCATTTCTGTTACTCGCAGAAACATTCACGGTGCACCGTTAATGGGGATACACGACGTTGTTCTTGGTGAACAATTGGGTTCGTATTTTGGAGCAGTAGTTGCATTTGTCGACGTAAACGGAAATGGAGAGGACGAAATGTTTGTTGGTGCGCCATTCTACACGGTTGGGCATAGTTCAGAATCATACGATGAGGGATGCGTTTTCGTATACTCAAAAAGCATCCTGGTAAAAAGTTAAATAACTTTAGTTCATTATCAATTATCGCACACGATTTTACAACAATCAATTTGAATAACTGGAAGGTGGAAAAACTGTGCCCAAGTTCTGAGTCTGGGAGCCGCTTTGGTTCTGCGATTGCCAGTCTTGGAGACATTGACCATGATGGCTTTATAGGCAATTAAATACTTATTATATTATGTAACTTAATACTTTTGCGACACATCAAATCAACTCAAATTACGTAAGTTTCGAGTAGATGTTGCAATCGGTTCACCTGGCTCTGCTAACAGACGGGGGGAAGTGTATATCTACTACGGTCACCCAAATTTTCCAAATTCTCGAGAAAGTAGTCCCCAGATAATTCGAGCACCTGAAATTAATGACAACAACTTCAAAGGATTTGGCTCTACACTGTTTGGGAACATAGATTTGGATAAAAATGGAACCCCAGGTTTGTTGCACGAAATCATTATGATTTGAAGGATGGAAGAACCTTATAATGAGTGAAAGAACGATGCAAATAGATCTTTTAATCGGTGCTGCGTCCACAAACCAAATTGTCATTTACCGCACTCGGCCACGCCTAAAGCTTCAGCCGGTGGTCACAAACTTCCAAATGCGAGCAGACTCTCTAGCGATTTACAAGTTGAAAAGAGAAGATTTGTCATTCCGACTTCTTTTCTGCATATCGTCACAGATTCAACCAAAAAACGATGGAAAATTAGGTATGCAAAATTATCTGACATGTTCACTCTTCAGCCCTATTTATTACACAAAAAATGTTGACAGAGATTCAAGTAGAAGCAAAATTTGATTCATCGGAAGAGCGATATCAATTTAACAATAAATTGAAAATCTTAAAGTTTTCACTCCAAGTAACTACCAATGCAGCACCAAATTGTACCAATGTCCATGTTAATCGCGTGAAGGTGATGGAATAAAACCCCAAGGAATAGATTGCTTGTTTAATTCCCAATAATACATATTTGTTTTCTGGTAGGAAGTGGAAATTCAAAATCCAGCTTCAATTAAGATAGGATGGAAAATGAGCTACAATAACACAATCAGCGAGATTTTTGAAATTTCAAAACTATCCGTCACGTCAAATGCACAGGGACGACATTCCCTTGGTTAGATGCTTCAAATTATTAATTAAAAGATGCCAAGACTGAAAATCACAAAATAATCGCATATAATAATAATAGGAGATGCAATATTCTGTACTTGGTGCCCGAAAAGCATGGAACAATTTCATGATCATTTTCTTCCTGTTGCGATTGATAACTGCGATGAGGATGGGAATGAAATTTGTAACTCTAAACTAAAAGTGGTGGCAAGTCTTCGGCCAATTAATGGGATTGACAACGAGTATTAACCACTACAGTCTACACAAACTTAATAATAATTATGATACATACACATATTCAATGTACAATTTACTTATTATCCATTGTAACAGTAAATTGAACGAGTACACAATTGGACCTCATGGACCTCGATTCCTTGACGTGTATATTGAAAATCATGGCGAAACTGCTTATTCTCCTAACGTGGTTGTGAACGTTTCGTTCTCAAATCCGACTCTGTCAAACAGTTTTATTATACGACCAACCTTGGACGGGAATCATAAGTGTTACTTGAATAATAACAAAGTTGTTTGCAGAGATCCTTTGCACAAGGGCCAAAAGGTAATATACATGGTTATCCACAGTTATCATCACTTACACTATTAGCATTAGCTGGTTTTTGATATTTAACATATCTTCTTTTCCTTCAGGAACATCTCAGTTTCATTATTACAATAAGTCAAACTTTAGCAGCACTGAAAAATGAGGAAACTATTGAAATTATAATTACGGCTTACCCTGGTCCATATCCTGAACAAATGGAAATGTCAAATCCCGTGAAGTTCAAATTGATTTCTGATGTTAAGTTGACATTAACTGCACTAAACGCTGAACGCAAAGATATCAGCATTAATGATGCAAATGCAGTCTTCAGGAGCTCTTACGAGGTACATACAAACATACCATACTATATGTAATGCAAATAAAACGTAAATCATAATTAACTTTGCGCGTATGTTTTTTTATTGTGTAGATAATCAATTCTGGACTATCACCAGTAAATAATCTCCATTTCAAGTTTCAAATCCCTGTTACGTATGTCCGAAATGATGAAGAACAACAGGCGGTTATCGTTTACATGCCAAAACCATACAACGTAAAACATACATATAATAAAAATCCCGTATGTGTATAACACTAACGACTTATGTTTGTACATTAAATAGAGAATCTCATGTGTACCACCTAATTCACAAGGATTTCCTCCACTTCCTGCAATTGACATAAAGAACACACCTCCATTGATGGACTTTCCAAACGCAACAAATGATGAAGTGACCCCTAATATCGGAATTTCTCGACGGAGACGCCAAACGCAGAATGAAAGAGGACAAACTGATGTACGAAAATCTGTCACAGGGAATAACAATAATAACGCTATGCTTGATGTGGACTGTGTTACAGTTCCCCAATGGAAATGTGTCGACGTCGTTTGTTCCCTAACTTCGCCACTGCTATTCAGAGAACCATTAATCATTGAACTGATTCTAAAATTTAGTAAAAATGCCACAAGTATGCTTGCAATATATTATATAAAATTATTATAAATAAGCAGGTGCTAAATTATTCTCGATTGACGTAGATAACAACAATATCATACCTTCAGAGTCAACCGTACTTGTTACAACTTTTGCAAAGGTGTGGACATTTGATGACAACTTCAATCCCCTGAATGCCTCCGCGGTTACCGTCCTTCAATCAGAGTCTTATGGAGATTTGCCAGCTTATCTGATATTCGTGTCGGGTATTGGTGGGCTGATAATCTTTCTTTTGATTGCATTTCTCATGTTCAAGGTAACTCTTATTTTTTTACCGTAACTCAAGTATCATTAAATCCATTCAACTATGTGAGATGTTTTTATTAAAATATTAAGGCAATTTATCATTTATTTATTCAAGTGTGGATTTTTTCGGAGGAAGACCAAAGAAAATTTAGCAAATTTAAAGGCTCAAGCAGAGGTAATTAATTAATGAAATAATAATAAATTTTGAGTACTTAGATAGAAAAAATAGTACATAAACCTTACAAATTATATAAACTTACATTACAGCAAGCAGATCTTCTGGCAGAAAATTTTCATATTCCACCCGATGATCCAAATGACGAATAAAATAATAATTGTAATTTATTTGGAAGACAACATTGATTAGAAAAATATCACTTGTCATTTACTTAATTTTTTTAACTATATGCACCATTACTCGACATAAATTATGTTCTCCCCACAAATCATAAGTAACATATGTGATTGTCATTTATGGTCTATAAACATTATCAACTTTCTTGATTTTTCTTGTCTTTGTCAATTTCTTCAATTAATTTCACGAGCTTTTTCTCCTCGGCGTCTTTTTTCCGAGAACTTGGAGATTCGTCACAAGCACCTTCGTTATCATATTTTTCATGAGTCCTTCGTCGAGACGAAACCTGGTCGTGTCCACTACGGTCGTCGACGATAGAATCCGAGCTGTCATCACTGTCGTCCTCCATCTCCTGCTGAGAAATGAAGGCGAGATTAACCTCCACCATAGGCTCAGTACTGGACTTGGCTTCGTCGTTATTCTCAATTGACACTGCAGATGGGTTTTCTTCAACTTGAAGTCTCAATTTTTCATTCTCCGTTTTTATCATGGGGATAAATTCCTTCACTCTGCTTAAAATTGACGAAGGTCCCACTTTGACCGTTTTTCTGACACCAGAAGCAGGATCTCCTTCATGCGGCGTGGGGACTTTCTCTTTCATCAATTTCTCCACTAAAACTTGTTTTCGAAGTAGAATTAAAGCTTCCGAAGGAGACTCAAGTTTTACTGGGAGTTTAGTAGATGATGCTTTGGGGGGCTGGGTGTCACTTCCGCCGTCAGAATGCATCCTGACCTCTTGTTGAAGATTGTGATTTAATGTGTTACTATTTGGGACAATAACAAATTACATTTAAGAAGCTTTCTCCACGTTAGTTGCAAAATTCTATCAGAAAAAATCGATATTCAATAGACACGAAATAAAAATATTAATCTGAGAAAACCTTACCAATTTGTTCTGAAAATTACACCGATTATAAATCTAAGAGGAACAAACAAGCACGTGAAATCGATACTTCTATGAAAATAAATATGATTGCCGCCTACTTCTTCGATCTTCAGTCTCACCATCTCGCACAATCAACAATTGGAAAATGGTACAAGTTTTTATTTCACTTAAATGCTGTGATTTTCACCTGTCGAAATAGACTATTATGGTCGAATCAGAATTAGAGACCGCATGCTTCAGGAACAAATCAATCAAAAAGGTACTGATGCGCTTGTTATTGGTTATATTATATTGGGAGGATGAACATATAAACGTTCCAAATCCTCAGAGGACCAGAAACATGAGTGCATCACAGACAGATAAATTTGATCTAGTTTCAGGATGTATTTATTATGATGGAAAAGTTAAGTTGAGAAGAATAGGAATTGGGCATTTTATCTTCAGAAAAGTATTGGTCCTCAAAATTAGGCTTAAAATTACTAATTATTTGATAAATCTCTTGAACCACAAAGCCGCGTGAATAACTCCGTCAATTCGGACAGGGATTGTAGATAGTGGATGACAGTCTGGATATACTCGAATCCTAATTGTAAACGTGTATTAAATTTTAGTTTAATAATTGGCCATTATTATGCTAAATATAGTGTCAGTGTTTTACTCTGCAGTTTTTCCATAAGCTTTCAAGGCACGGTAAAAACTGATTCCCTGCGATGCTGGAACACGGAGATCTTCAGTTCCAACACACAAGAGCGTTGCAGCTTTAACCTAGATAGAAAAATTGTTAAAAAATTGTTAAAAATTGAAGGGCTTGAAGACTAGAGACGTTATGGATTGAACAACTACTTCCTCCTAACCCAAGCCTCTAGTGTAAAGCTTGGAACAATAAAATTTCTAAAAACGTCAACCATGAAACTCGTTCAAAACTCACTACGTCTACATCAAATTTGTAGCGAATTTAATCGGTTGGAAAATTGTCAAATAACTTATTGTTACGCTTTTACCACTTTTACTAATAGACATTCTACAGCACTATTACAATAGCATTACTCCGAGTCATCTCAAGTACTTTTTGATACAACAAAAAATTACCTTTGACACATAAGATATTGGAGACGCCTTGAACAATCGTTCTGTTTCTTCAATAGATTTGGCTGCTGGGACGAACCCCGTTTGAACAGACGTTAGAAATGGGATCCCTGTTTCAGCATATACCCTGCGTATATATAGCCACAAGCACATATTAGGTTTTATGTTGCCTATAATTGTTATTATTGTGCATTAACCAATCTGAGATATCTGAGGTTCCTATCATAACGTTTAAATCACACACGGGGTTTCGTGTAACGGCAGCTTTGTAAAATTCCTAAAAGCAAAAATATACAAATATTATTTTACATATACAAAATTATTACATAATATACGTACAAGTGATTTGTATTTAAATTATTGACTCACTGGATACTGAGCAATTAAATGGCATGTAAGAAAACCCCCATGCGAGCCGCCCCAAATCCCAATTTTTTCAGAATCAATGCATGGAAATTTCTTGATTGCTTGTTGAACAATACTTTGCGAATCTTGAACGTCCAATGTCCCAATTTTTCCCAGAAGATCATCGGTTTCATCTCGAGCTGAAGCACCAGTGCTTCCAATATAATTTACTTTGAGAAAGGCGTATCCTACATATTGATTCATATAAATTAGTGCTATTGATAATACGGTTTGTAGATCATCATGATATCTTTATTTGATATATTTTATACCCATGCGAGTAAAAAATGTGGCTTCAGGCACAAAACTGTCCACAAAACATGCATGGGGGCCCCCATGAACCCATACCTAATGATGAAAAAATCTATACAAAATCTAAATTTAATAATGAATGAAATGTTACTTAAAAATAACCATACGATTAGTGGTACACTATTCGGTTTACATTCTTCAGGGCCAACATAGAAAGACGGAATTGACGCTTGTCCATACAACTTTGCGGTGAGTGTCGAAGCCGGCATCGAATTGTGCACCTTGGACAACGCAGCTCTTCGATTATCTCCGACAGTCTCCATCAGCTCAATGTATGGCCCACATAAGCTTGAGCTACGGGCGAGCAGGATATAGTTTTGCCCTATCCATAAGATGTTATCAATCCCTGGAGATGACGTGGAAATGAATTTTGTCTCAACTTGGCCTTAGGAAATGAGAATAATTAGGTTTGAGTAATTTTAATTATCGTATGCTTCATACTATCACTAAATAATATTTAGTAATAATATTATTATACCGACCGTTTTTTGGACTAGCAGAAATTAGCGACAGTGTTCCATCACTTATTGCAATGACAAGGAAAGAACTACCATCAAGAGCCCAGCATTGTTTCGGAAAATTATCATAAATAGGCAAATTTGGTGGAATAGATTCATAGAGGCAATTTGGGATAGCCTGAAAAATAAGTTTCATAGGTTGGATGGAAGTACATATTTAGGACCTACATCAATTTACAACAAAGTGAGATATCGACTTCAACATGTAAATATGTACCTGATCACTAATTGATGTTCCCATAATATTTCTTGCACGATTATGAGGTTCGTCAACGGCTCTTTCTTGCCAAATTACAAATTTTCCATCCGGTCGAACTCTTGGACAGAATGCTGCACGTCCGGAAGCACTTAGAAAGCCTGAAATATTTTACCTTACAATGTATTGGTAGTCGAGATGTAGGATTTAATTATAAAAATGTACGTAAATTGCTTCCGTCCACATTAATTTGAAAAATTTGACTTTCTCGATTTGTGCAATAAATCAATCCAAGTCGCCAATCCTTAATTGCATACGAAGTGCCAATGATAGAGTTGTTGTCAACCCACTGTAGGTCTGTGGGGAACTGGTCATTGGGCATTTCAATAACGTTGAACTTGTCAGTCTCCACGTGCAAAATGACAATTACAGAAAAGTGCATGTCATGCATTTGTTCTCCCCAACTTTGCTTGAGTGCATATTCTTCTCCCTTATTTTCAAAAATGACAATGAATAAGCAAGCTATGTTTAAAGTGTGGATATATAAGATTTTGAAATTTGTAAGATTATCCATACTCTAGGACCCTTAGTATCTTTCCCAGATAAATCATTGCTCATCTCATCAGGAACGTCTGAAGAAAAGAATGGTCGAGGTTTTGGAAATTTCTTTTCTGCCAGGTAAGCTAAAATTTCCCCACTTTCATTCCACACCATGGTTGACCCAAAGTCGGCTACATACATTTCATCAATCAATATAAGGATTAAGGCTTGATGTCACCCCTCCTGATCTTGACTACGAACACTTTGGTAAAGTGGAAATAAATAATACCGAAAGTATAGACCGATTTATGCTTATCAAGCGCTGATAAATCATAGGATTTCAGTAGAGTATCGCTGTTCCAAATTTGAATAAACTGAATTTTTGCATCTTTTCCAGACCCATTAGGTTTTTCGATTAATATTGCTTTGCGAGATCCATCTCTCGAAATACAAATTGTTTTTCTATGAATAAAATAAATATATTACTCGGTGAATTTTTACAAATTTTTCAAGTATGACAGATCGCATTCATTCGCACCCATCAATTGGAGTTGCTGCAGTTTCATTCATTATTAGATTTTCCTTTTCAATAAATGTGGCTCCATTGTTCCAGGACACACTCTTTTTGAGAACACTGGCGTTCCTTTGAAATCGAACAGCCTCTTTTTTCCCAGGATCGACAACGGACCAGGTTGTGGACACATTTATGAAGTTATCATCTTCCGTAAAGTGACCACTTGCGGGAATGGGCGTTTTTAAGACATCCACCCACATGTTGACCACATGGTCAATGACCTCTGTCGGAAGGTCACACGATGAGCTGTTCGTTTCCATTAGATAATACGCTCACTCTATGAAAAGGATAAAAATGGTATGTACAAATTGTGGATAGATAGTGGCCAACTTGAAATTGATTCGAAATATAATTATATGACTTGATTTGTATAGAGTATCTATCTACTGTACTGTACTGTACACCATTGAACATTGTACACATCAAGTCACTCACTGAGTTACAGAACAGTCACATAATTTAGAAGATTTTCTTGAATACTTTAAGGCTAGTAATATTTACCGTTGATATTGTCAGCTCACACAATGTAAAAAAATTGATAACTGAATTGTTATCAAAATGTTAAATTGACATTGGCTTTTATAACGAGCAACAAACAGCAGAGTTGAGATTTTCAGCCTAGTGTATTTTGCATGATTTGCTTTCACCCGGTTTTGGACATGCTTGAAGTCAAGCTACACTCCACAGATATGTACATGTACAAGTTACCAGAATAAAAAAAAATGAATTCATACAGTTATGAATAGTTGGATAGTTTATGGATAGTTTATTTCAGGTGATACAATGTTACGAAAAATATAATGTAGGTCGATGGATGAAAAACATTCATGCGGATGAATGTTCTTTTTTAATTGCATGCATTCGGGTAGTATTATAATAATAAATAATGTACTCGTTTGTAGTAAGAAATGAAAGTGATGCTTTAATCATTTCATCTCTCGGCCAAGTCTGGCTAGTTGTTCCAAAAATTCACTTCCGTTGTATAAACAGCTTGCACCATAAATGATCCTTTTCGTAGGTCCACCGGATGGTCCCCCCATTCCACTGTTTGAGATGCCCCCACCAACTCCACCTCCTCCAACATCTTTTTTCCTAAAGCAATCCATCATATTCTGGTATTCAATATAATTTCCTCCTCCAACCACAAATACAATGCATTCATTAAATGCGAGGGGCTGAGTTGGTTTTGTCGACGATTGTTTGAGCTGTTTTGGATCGAAATATCTAAAATTGTCTTCAACCTCTCGCCCTTCCATCAAATCGAGTGTAATTTTTGTCAAAGGAAGATTCTGAAAATTTATAAACCAACTTATAAGAAAGAAATTATTAGACATGTTGAAGTTAAAAGGGTAAGGAATAAATGATATTACCTGTCGTTTAAATACTAAATTTCTAACGCCCTCCATGAGGAAGGAAGACCCACTCACGAGTTTATTTAACATTGATGATGATTGTCCACCACGTTGGAGGCCCAAATTATAAGATGGATTGACAACACTGGCTGCCATTTTACTGTATGATCTGCAATTAAAGTCACATTTCAATTAAGACCAGGAGTCTATAAATATGCAAGGGGGTTAATGGGAAAGTGGTAGTCTCACATCCACTTTTTAACGAATTCAACTGCATCTAGCAAGGCTTCTTCTCGTTCACTCATGGCTACGGAAGATAAACTTTGAAGAAATTGTTCTAGTTCACTATGAGATACACTGCCATTGTTCATGAGGTAGTATATCAAATAGAGACGCATTTTATCTTCAAATGTTCCCATGTTTGGTGTTAATAGAATGTTGTTAATTTGCACGGCCTCCGATTTTGTCAAAAGCTTTGATTCCATTTCATAATATGTATCAAGTGATCTTGATTTAATTTGAGATAAAATTGCTGCAAGTAAAGAATTGTATTTGAGGAGACACCTTCTCAATATTGATACATATATGTGCATAAATGTATAATGTAATTCTGCTCACCTGTGGCAATGCTAGTGTGACCGTCAAGAACTCGTTTTTTCTCTAATAGTTGCGGCAAATCCTTTATGGCATTGGTTAATTTAGTGGTGTTGTCGCTAACGTCAAACTCCATCAAATCTGGATTTTCCAACCCCATTGTCTGCTTTAATTTCTTCACGTCATCCTCGGACTTGCGGTACTCTTCCAGCTCATTTTGAATGGCCTCAGCCACTGTAGGAAATGGTGAACCCCTGTGCGTGCTCCAAAATGGATCACGGCGAGTGTCTACAGAATATGTTTTCTGGGAAGGAGGCTTTCCAGTTTGTTCTTCAACAAATTTAACTTGATTTTGAGTGTTCTCCAAGACATCGTGAGTTAACGATTGATAGGTCCATGGATGAGCAAGAGGAGTAGCCAAGTCCATATTCCTATCAAGAATCACTAGCAGCGGACGAGAATTGGCGTAATAATTTGACCTGAAATAGTGAATTGGATTTATTGTATTAACTTATTCACCAGCATGTTTTGTATAGCAGTAACACTGTTAGCATAAGAATTTGCAACTTACCCAAAAGAATCTCCAGAATTAACCATTGAACCAGACTGATTAAACAAGGATGCTCGTGGATCCTGTAAATTATCTCGAATCTTTTTATCTAATTTCTCCCCAATCTGTTCGGCCGCATTTCCTTTGGGTGTACGGATTATGGGAACTTGACCATAAGTGACAAGCACTGAAAACAGGCTATCCACAACGCCACTAATCATGGCGTTCATTTCACTATCCGTTATGCTTGGTCTATTTAACGCTAAATAAATAGAATAACGGGTATATGTAGAACGATACTGATACACGAAAACAATAGATTGTGTTTTATACATAGGTGCTCACCATAAAATTCTTCGCTGCTCTTATTTCCAGAGTTTAAAACAAAAAATTCATCCTCCAAACAAACAAAATCTACATATTGATCATATACTTTGTTGACACACTTCGTGTCACCAGAATTCAAAACAGCACTCGCAACTTCTTCAATTTTTGAGCGCGGTATTGGGCGAATAAAATTAAGGAAGAAAGTTCCATAAAGGTTGGACTGTACATCACGACATATCCTGTCAACATTTTCATCGTTTGGAAGAGCAAAATATATTGCAGGGACATCCGGAATGCTACTCGACGATGAAACTGTTCTTTCCGGGGAATGAAGCGGTCTGTTGTAAAAAAAACATACAAAATCAGTTGTGAATAAAAAAGATTCCAATGAAAAAAATCACTTGAATGGAATTGTCAAACATTCCAACCTACATATGCAATGTAATTCCGTTCTGACGAAGCTCTTGTACCGTGAATAGCGGCGTCAAGATGTCCATTCCGACTCGATCATAAATCAAAACTTTCCAGATTGGTTCCTTTGGAACAGAGCCGCCGCTACTGCTGTTAGCTTGAGTCTCGTTCAGATTTAGCATTTGGAGAACGGAAACTAAAGCAGTAATGAATATATATATCACTTAAAACTACCACATACATTACATAATAATTTTATACCTATTTGCCGGTCTCGGAGAGACATAATTTGTCCAGATACAGCCATATTTTCTAGCCGATATCATTCAAAGAATTTATTTATTGATCAGCAAAACTTCAAGTATGAAGGGTTCGCAAAACTTGGAACGTCAGTGTCAACTGTCAACTACAAATGTAGTCCAATGACAAAATCAATTCATTGATGTTGGAGGTCAATTTGATGGTCAATCAGACACAGATAAGCAGCTGTTGTTCAGTGGTGTTGTATGTGTTAGGCCTCCTTACAAAATAAATAAAATAAAATTGCTTTTCATTTGTATGAGAAAGAAAAACGTGAGTAATTACAAATTAATTCAAGACGTATTGTGTATTGTATTCACCTTGAAGCTAAGAATTATATGCAACTAAAATTTCTGAGCACACGATTAGCTTCGTTATAGCTAATCCAACTACCCTAATTCTTTCCTCGTATACGTATATATTAATATTCAATATTGATATTGGCCGTCAATTTATGTGTGTTGCCGTGTTCGAGCGATTTAGATTTTTGCAAGTTGAGAATTCTGCTACGTGGCTAATATTCAATCCCGTCGTTCACATCTAACCTTTTCGTCGGGGTTGTGAGAGATTGTGATTTGATTGCCTTATTTAATACTAAAAGGTAAAAATAACGATAATATCGGGATCCACGAATTAATTCGGGGATATCAAAAATATTTAGGCCCTAGGCACTTTAATTATGTTCTAAATTACACCATCCTGAAGTTGACATGAGATATTCATAAATTGATTTCCTCTTGCAGAATTGATCTTTGCACAACCATACATGTCTCACACGACCTACGTGCTTATCGTGATGGGCCCTTGTGGCTGCGGAAAATCAGAAGTTGGTCAAAAGGTTGCCAATCTTTACAAGTCTACCTTCGTTGATGCAGATGCCTTTCATCCGAAGGAAAACGTCAAGAAAATGGGAGATGGGATTCCACTCACAGACGAGGACCGCATTCCCTGGTTGATGAAGGTGCGAACAGAATTTTTGAAGTTTGCGACAAACCCTTCATCTTCGGAGAAGAACAAGGTGGCTGCCGTCGTGGGATGCTCCGCTCTAAAGAACAAGTACCGGGACATCCTTCGAGGGGAAATCCCCCATCCTGCCGTTTCTTCTTCGGATGATAGTACCAATAATGCTGCCACTACTGGGGACGTCAAGCTGCATTTTATTCTGCTTAACTGCTCCCGGGCCATCCTCGAACAGAGGTTGACTCAAAGGTCAGGTCATTTCATGAAGTCCGGCATGTTGGAGAGTCAACTCAACACTTTGGAATATCCAGAGGGGCAAGAATTACAGAGTTTTTCAGTGGTAAATGGAGACCTTGAGTTGGTTGACGTGGTCGAGGAGATTGAGACAAAATTAAAACATATTATATAAGCTGTTCAATAACAAAAGCAAAAATAAAATCAATCGGAAAACTTGAGACTATTTTATACGGTTGACGGTACTTTTACTTGCACAAGAGTCTCAACTTGAGACTGCGACCTGAGTAAAATGGGGAGTCGTGAAACAACACAAGTGGACGCGAAAGAAAGCATGGGTTGTTGCTTGTCTGCCTCTCCACGTGTCGGCAAATTGGTTTACATATTTCATATTATTTATATTTTGGTAAGTTATTTCGTATTTTAGAATTAAGAACTACGGTTGGGTGAAAGCGCAAAGTGAATGTTTCTTAAATCTTGGGTTTGTTTATTTAGAAGTTTTCGCAGGATGGTATTTGTTGACTCCGATATGGAAGACGATAGCCAGTCAGGTTCTGAAGAAGATATGTCTAACCAGAGTGATGACCTGGAAGAAGAAGACGACGACGACGACGACCAATCAGTTTCTGAAGTTGTTGAGGTCAGCGATGACGAAGTAAAATTAGACTCAGATGAAAATGAAGACGGGAACATGGAAAACGAAGTAGAAGAATCAAGAAAGGACAAAAAGAAGAAACGGAAAAGACCAATGAATAAAAAGGACAAGAAAAAAATATCCAGTGAAGAAGCTAAAGATTTGCGAGACAAGGAACACACCTACTCGTCCAATTTGTATCGAGTCCAGGTAGTTTATGTTTGATTTTGAGTACGAATCAATATGTACAAAACCGGATAAATTATGCTTTAATATTGTTTAGATTGAAGAACTCCTGAAAGAAATAAGTCTTACGGATAAAATACAAAAAGAAGCCCAAAAGTGGTTTATTGATTTCAGAAATTATCTTTTATCTTGTAAACCATCAAAACCCCATGCGGTACGCACAATCTACATGCTACACACAAAATACTGTATTGGACCTGATTTTAATTTGGTGAAATTTTTAGATAACTGATTTTGAGGTGTTGTTGAAAGGAATTCCTTTGCCACTTCCGGCTGATATAACAGTTCTGGAAGACTCGAATGAAAAAATTACTTGGGTGCAACCTTCTGAAATTGTAATGATTGGATCCTGGCAAATACAAGCAGCAGTTAATAAGATTAGTTGTGTAGATATCGCGTTAGAGTTGCCTATGGTATGAATCTATTTTTATTTTTCTGTTAATGTAGTTTTACTTAATATTTATGTTTATGCAACAGGAATTTTACAGAAAAAAAGACTTCCTTAATCATCGTTACCACATAAAGCGTGCAATATACTTGGCATATCTGGCCAGATTACTGTCTGAGCGAGGAGATGTTGTTCAATTCACTCTTCAGCAAGGAAATCCCACAAAGCCTGCACTTCTGATAACTTGTAGCCATTTTAAAGTAAAGATTATAACGTCAGTATCAAAATTGTTTAAGGCTAGTCGGTTTTCTCCAACAATCAACAATCTAAGATTTAACCATTACTTTCAACATCAACAAAAAGCACTGCCAGATAATGGTGAGTGTGTTACATATTATACTAAATTTTATCAGACGGTAATGAATGTACTAATCACAAATTAAAAAAAATTAGAACCGGAAGTTGCTACACCCAACTACAATTTCTCAATATTGACCGATGTTCTTATTTTGGATTCTCAAACATCTGTACACTCTGTCTTGCGTAGTTGCGAAAGTTATACAAATGCAACTAAGCTTATAAAGGTTTGGCTTCACCAGAGGGGCATTGATAAGGTGAGAATAAATTCTTACACATTATCATACATACTGATGCTTCAAAATGATGGTAATAATATCTGCATTGTGTTATAATATAATTTTCAGGGATATGGAGGATTTACAGGATTTATTGCCTCTGCTTTCATCGTGTATTTATCGTTGACTGAAAAAATTGACCGATTAATGACTTCATACGATGTTCTAAGGACCTTCTTTTCTAATTTGGCACATTTGGATTTAACCTCTAATGGAATAGGGTTGTTTTGTGCTAATAATCCATCAGATATTTCTATCGCAGACTGGCATCTCCAATTTGACGTTGTATTTTTGGATTCTTCTGGAAAATTAAATTACACTGCAGATATGTCAGAATTCACATTTAAAAGAGTTCAGCGAGAGGCTCAGAGAGCCGTTGAAATTTTAGGACGAAACAAAATAGAGGGAGTTCAAGCTTTGTTCTTGACACCTGTATTATTTATTCGAAATTTTGACCACATACTCCAGTAAGTAAAAGTGTAAAGAAAACTCTAGTTCAAACACGATCTCACATTCCATTTAGGATTTTAATTACTATTTACTGTTACTTTTGAAATATAGGTTAAAGTCATGTGATATCCAAACTCTCCTCAAAGATGGCAAAGAACAACTATTTTTGAACCACAGCGGATTTCAATACCCAATCATAATTTCAGTGTTTGGCCCTATAATTGAACAATGTTTGGGAGCACGAGTTCAGCTTGTGGACAATGAACTTATTCCTGATCCTGTTTGGAGTATTTTCAGTAAACCTCCCAATGCAAACAACAACGTTGTTAGATTTGGCTTCGTGATTAATCGGGATACGGCATATAAGCTCATTGAGAAATGTGATGCAGAAAACAGTTTTCGTGTAAAGTCATTCAAGGATTTATGGGGTGATAAATCGCATTTACGGTGAATTTTTGTTAGTTACATTGTTACTGTATTATAATAGGAATGAATTTTGTATAATCTTATGTTTCTTATATCAATACAGACGATTCAAGGATGGAACCATGTGCGAAACTGTTGTTTTTGAAGATAAACACCAACTTTTATACCAGATGCTGTCCTATATATTTCAAGCACAATTTGATTTGAAAAGCGAAATGCCAGGGTTGAGTTACTTTGACTGTCAAGTTGAAAATGTGGTGGAGAAAGATTTTAATGTGACAAAGAAGCTAACCAAGCCTAAACAAGTGACTTATGTCAAAGGTAAACGAAAAAAGTCATCCGTGACGGATTTCCAACAACTTGTCCCACGCCAGCTGGATACAATCTGCAGCGACGCCTCACTTGTATTTGATGATTTATCTAAGGTTCTGCGATCCTTAGAAGGGCTGCCCCTAGAAGTCAGTTCGGTTCAAGGGACATCTTCTATTTTAAGATTTACAAGTGTTCATCCTACTCCAGCACAACATTTCCAATCTTCAAAGTGCTGGGGAGGAATAATTCCAACTCGTGTAAATGGAAAAATTATGACACTCAATAAGGAACACGCGTTGTCAAAAGTCCCAAAAGTAGTGGAACCGATCAGTGTGGTGCTGCATCTGGAGACCAGTGGAAAGTGGCCTGATGATGTTGAAGCTGTGGACAGATTAAAATGTGCATTTTTGACCAGAATTGGAAAACTTCTAACTGATCAGTTTGGCCTTACCGTTCAAATATATCCGCGATGTCTGGACGTTGAGAAAGTATAATATATATCTTGATCGCACAGTATATTTACAATATTCATGTAAAGCTTCAATTAATTATCTACATACATAATTTTGATTTTCTTGTTGCAGGATGGATTCATATTCCGGATAAAACTTACGCACTATCGTGAGCTCATCATGTTGAAACAACGCCTTGGAGTAGATGGAGTTTTAAAAGTTCGTGATAGTGCAGAATCCATGAGACTGGAGAAAGAGACTCTGCTCCTTCCACAACTTACCACCACACTCCATTCCTTCTGTCGGCAATTTGAAGCCTTTGGAAAGACAGTCCGATTGGCCAAACGATGGATTGCTTCACAGCTATTACTCGCATCCCCTTTGAAATATGGCAGTATTGGAGATCATCCGGATTGCAGATTCACTGAAGAATGTGTGGAACTCCTCGTGGCTCATATTTTCATGTCATTCTCTCCTTACCTGTCCCATCCAAATGAGGCTCAAGTTGGATTTTTACGATTCCTTTCCCTTTTATCCAGTTGTGATTGGAAGTCTACGCCTTTTGTGCTGAATTTTCACGACAAACTCTCAAAGGAGGAATTATCTGCGATTGAACTCGATTTTGTAAGAAGACGCAGCCAACTCCCCTTATTGTTTATTGTTACTCCGGAAGACACGTGTACATCTGTTTGGACAAAACATCTCGCACCAGTCTTTCTGTATCGGATACAACTGTTGGCTACAGAAGCATTGTCAATACTTGAAACCTGTTGGAAATCTGACACTTTAGACTACATGACTCAAATTAAAAAGGTGTTCCGTACAGACACGCAAGAATTTGACATATTAATTCACTTAAAAAAATCAATGAATCCTCATTCTTGTGATAATATCGATGCCAAAAACGCAGCTCAGTTTCACGAGTACGTCAAATCTGCAAAAGTGAGCCTCCCCATAATTGATTTTGACCCTGTTCAAACGTACCTCTCCGAGCTACGACGTTCGTTTGGGCATGTAGCTTTGTTTCTTCATAATACTTTTGGTGGAAGCGTTATTGCTGTTGTTTGGAAGCCTGAATCCTTTAAAGAACAAGATTTTGCTGTTAGTTCAGTTACAATTTATATTAATTACAAATTTAAACTCATTAATTTCTCAATTATATTTTCTTCTTTTAGGTTTCTACTATAAATGCAAAACGGATTTTTGAAGAGACTAGCGTGGTCCCCGATGTTGATGAAATTATTGAATCGTTTGAAATTTTGGGACAAGGACTTGTAGAGAACATTGAAAGACTATCATAGTTTTAAACTTACCATTTGTACAGCTTTGTTGGCATTATTAAATAACATATTATTAAGGCGGAATAGCATGCTGGCTGATGCGGGGTTTTTTGTTTGAATTGTTGTGTCTCAACTTTCCCTTCCTCCATGTTTTCAAATGGCGATTTTGAAAAATGTTCACCGCTTTTCGTTTTTAATAATATGAAGATATTAATGCACCTAAAAATCGGTAATTTTAAGGCTTACATAGTTAGGAGATAAAAATTTTGATTTTTTTCTTCAACAAGAAGATAAATATAAAATAGATGAAAAATAATCAATAAAATTTAAATATTTCCTCATTGAAGAAAAAAATCAAAATTTTTATCTCCTAACTATGTAAGCCTTAAAATTACCGATTTTTAGGTGCATTAATATCTTCATATTGTTAAAAACGAAAGGCGGTGAACATTTTTCAAAATCGCCATTTGAATACATGGAGGAAGGGAAAGTTGAGACACAACAATTCAAACAAAAAACACGTGATACAATGCCACGTTAATATCTAATTTTCCTACTTGTATTTTAAATTTTAAATCAATTAAATTTATTATGCTTAAAAATGCATTTTCTTTGTCTCAGAAAATTATCATCAAGCCCATGAAACTCCATCAACTGTCTCACCGCCAACCATTTCGGGCAAACGATTAGCAAACGATTTTCATTCAGCAGAGCGTATTTATAAGCGGAGCTGCAAGCTTCTCTTTCTCTGTTGTCTGTCTTGCTCGCTGTATTACTCGAAAAGTTATAATTTTAAAGAATAGAATAAATTGTTTTTCTTTCTATATTACAGGCCTGACTAAAAATTTACTTATACGTTTCGGATTTACTATTTTTTCAATTTTTACTAATTCGATTTTTTGTTTTCAAAGTTTAAAGTTGATTGCAATAATTCATATCGTAATTTCGGCATGAATGAATCTGTCTGTCACCTACAGTAGTAGAAAAGAAGGAGGTAAGTGTGAAGTGTAATATAATTATATTACGCTAAGTTAGTTAACGGGGAAGCTATATTACAAGTTGTAATATAACTATGACTTATGTGTATGCATGATTGTGTATCACTAGGAATTTAATTTAAATTAGCATTCGTTACTTTCACAGATTCTGCCGCTGAACTCTTCCTATTCGGTCAGCAGGCTGACCATAGCTGAATAGATATGTCGGAATTGTCAGGTTCGAATGAGGACCTTGATAACGACAATCCGAGGAGCAGTATTTTAGACGATGAGTTTACCACTGAGGAGGATTTGCTATCACTGTCGAATTCTCCTGATAGCAATAGCTCAGAAGAACTGCCATCATTGTCAAATTCAGAAACCAATGAAGAAAATGTTTTCCAGCCATCTCCCTCTTCAGGAGGAGGGAGGGACCTTTCAGTATCCGATCATACCTCAGATAATATATTAAGTCAAGACTCTTCGCCGGATACAGAAGAATTGGTGCAAGAGCAGCCATCCACAAGTCGTGGGACAACTATTCGGAGTTTCAAGACAAGAATTGATGAAAATGGCGAAACTATTTTCGAGTTTGCGTCTGATGATGATGAACCTGTTTCTGAACAAGAAAATGAAGAAGGGGGGCTTGGCCACCAACCACCATCAAATCAACCAAGTTGGGAAGGTCAACTTGAAACTATAAGGCGTGTGCAAGGTACCCACTATCAAGCAGCAATTATTAATAGCAATCAACATGGAGTTGGAACAAATTCGGACTGGGGGTCAGAAGACTCAGAAGATGATCCAGACTATTCACCAGCCAGTACTGACGCATCAGCAACAAGTATTGCACAAAGAGCTGCAGCACGTCGAAATCTTGCGTCAGTAGCAGGTCATATTTTAGGGCCACAGCAGTCGCAACGTGTACTAACTCATTTAGGAACAGTACGACAAGTTCAACTTGGTGGTACAGCAAGAACTCGAACTACAACTGCAACGAGACGACCAAGAAAAAAGAAGAGAGCAAGAAAAAAGAAAATCTCAGTGAAAAAACCTGCCGTTCAAAGGGTTCCTAAACCAGTGAAGCCATTACTTCCAAAAACCATATTTCATGATGAAAACGGCAACGAAACTGCAAAGCTGTATAGATCGCAAATATCAAGTAGTATTAATCATAGAACGAACATTAAATTTACTACAGAAGGCTCAAATGAAAATGGAAATCAAATTAGTTCATATTGTAAGGTGGGCGAGGTGTTCTTACAGATGACGAATCCTGACGATGAACTGCGAATACTGAACTGTGAAATGTTACTGAGTAATTTTCCAGGGTTAAAGCAAGTCATTTTACATTCTGCTGACTACCGAGATGTGGCTTTAATGGAATTAAAAACTGAACAGACATTATCTGAAGAAGAGGCAGTTCGGCAACCAAAACCAAAACTCAACAAGTCGGATAAAAGAAGAACTCTAATATTTGTCGCCAGAAAAATGTATTTGTTTCCTTGTCACATTGAGGGATTTGGCACAAAACTATTCACTTCTAAAGGTTAGCTATTATTTTGTTTATTAACGATTATTTTCAAAATAATATTTTGTATCCATTTAGTAAGCATTCTATTTTTTATTTCAGGGTTTGGCAATAAGAAAGTATTTCTTCTCGAGTTTGTTGGCCTTTGTGAAGAACGTAAACGAGTCAAAATAAACATTCTATTAAACAAAACGTTTATAATTGGGCCACACACCTTGAACGACATTCCATATTCTAAGAACAAAATACTTGCAGACAGTTTAAACTCTCTGTTTAATGTCCAACCCCAACCTCCTCCACATTATGGTATAAAATATCCCTTCGTAAGTAATTCCTATAACCTCTAAAGTATATTTATTTTCACAATAACTAGAACCGATCCATGATAACGATGAAGCACAGACTCTCGAACTCCAGACGAAGGAAGACATTCCTTGGTTTTATGGACAAATCAAAAAATATCATGATAGAGAAGTATTGCCTTCTCCCACGTTTTCGCTTCAACCTAAGATTCTTGGTCCCACTCTTAGACAATATCAAAGGAATGCTGTTCAATGGATGCTTTACAGAGAAGGGGCATTGACAACAAATTCACAATCGACAGAACTAACCCCTAAATTGGACATTAAAACATCGTTTATCAACAAAATGTACGTTCCAATCTCGATCGAGGGAAAACAGGCGTTCTACAACCCACATATTGGATATATGTGCTGGGAGGTACCTCTTTTAGATGGTTTACCCTCTGGAGGTATATTGGCAGGTTAGGAAGGAGATAATTTTTACCATTTATTTAACTCGTTTTTATGGAATTAAATATTGCACCATGTACTAATATGATTATATATGCAGATGAAATGGGATTAGGCAAAACAGTGGAAGTGATTTCTCTAGTACTACTCAACCCAAAACCAATGGAGGAATCCAAAGAAAATCAAAGTGACGTGGACGACGAAGAATCAATTTATGAAGATGATGATGATAATTCTCCTCAAAGTGGCTCCAACTTCAACAGTGGTGAGGATGATAATATTGACGAAAGTTCGTCAGAATCATGGCATCCACCCCAAAAAAGAAAAAGAACTTTTGGTGTGAACAATATAAGGGAATCATCTCGAACATATTCAAAACTAGTTAACAGTAAACATGACTCGCAAGCGCCTGTGCACCCCAAGTTCAAAGGAAAACGCAACACTTCTCCATGTACTTTTGTAACAATAGGATGTCCAACTAATGATTCGGATGAAAAATCCTCGGTTGTGAATGACTCCGGTGATGATTCTGTCGAAAACGAAATTATTCCTTCCTCATCTTCTTCAACTTCAAGTCATAAACAAATTAAACGGCAAGCGACTGAGGCTGTTGATGTCAAAGCTGACCTTCCTAAAAAAATATTGAAAACTTCGGTGCGAACTACAACATTTTCAAGATGTAAAGCAGTGTATGAAGCAGAATTGTTAAATTACAGCGAAGTGCATAATGTTTCGCGAGTAAAATTTAATGGAACGTTCTTTGAGACAAAAATTGCAAGAATTTCAAGATTCGAGTGCATTTGTGGAGGTAGCAGTGGTAATGACAAGAACGAGGTAATATAATGAAGACAGTTTTATAAGTATTGATAGACTAAAAAAAGTAATTGACTTAATTATTAAAGGAAGCTAATTATGCCTTTCAGATTGTTATTTGCAGTATATGTCATAGTTCGCAGCACAGTCGTTGTGTTGGTCATGAGAAATACTTGCTTCGTCGCTCTTCAAATAATAAATATATTTGCCCGCATTGTACAACAATTGAGCCACCTGTTCCTGCCAAGACCACACTTATTGTAACTCCAAATACTATAAGCCATCAATGGATCAACGAACTCAAACGTCATGTGAATAAAGATAATATGAGCATCATGTTCTACAAGTAAGTGTTATTCTAATTATTACAGTTAATGTAGTAGTAACTGCAGACAGGTTTCAACTTATTTACATCTTAAAATTATATTTCTTACCAGGGGAGTTACAAATCACGGCTATGTTCCTCCTACCAAGCTTGCAGAATTTGACATTGTGATTACAACCTACAACACATTGGCAAATGAATTGAACTACGTTGACCTGCCTCACACTAATAGCGAGGACGGGCGGAGATTCCGTAATGCAAAACGCTTCATGACAATTCCCTCGCCGCTGCCAAGCGTGTACTGGTATCGAGTTTGTTTAGATGAGGCTCAACTCGTTGAAGGAATTTCTACCAAAATGTCCATGATGGCCTTGAAATTTAAGGCTCATCACCGATGGTGCGTCACTGGTACCCCAATAAATGAAGGCCTTCGGGGTAAAAAATTTATTTCAATAGAACGCATTATATAGATACATATAATTAATCAACTTATAGTAATTCGTGCATGTTATGTAAATATTTAATTTAAATTCATTGTTGTTTTTTAAATTTGTAGATCTATTTGGGCTGTTCGCCTTTTTGAGTGTTGAACCGGTTGCGTTAGATTTTTGGTGGCAGAAACTTGTTCAAGAACCGTTCCATCGGAAAGACGTTTCTCTTTTGTACGAACTGTTTGGTCAGGTCATATGGAGGACAGGAAAAACAGACGTCTTGGGCCAGGTATTCACATTTTATTTATTTTAGTTGAAATAATCTATTTGTACTTTATATTTAGGGTATTTAGATGAAAATATAAAACATGACAGTTAATTATTTAATCTAAAAAATTAATTTTATCTATTAGCTTGGTATTCCTCCACAAACTTCTGTGCATCAATGGTTGACATTTTCAGCTGTCGAAACTCATTTCTATAAACAACAATATGAAATTTGCTCAAAGAAAATTTTGGAGAAAATTTCAAGATTACGACAAATAAACAGCAACATATTAGAGACAAGACTTTCGATATTGGATCGTCAAATCCTACAATCAGTAAGTTATAGCGTTATTTATACTACAGTGGTAGGTAGTTTAATTTTTACTTCCCCACTTTCAGCTTCTACTACCATTTTTAGAATTACGGAAAGCCTGCTGCCATCCACAGGTACGCTCGTAATATAAATTAGCAATACAAGATAATCATTATTATTAAACCACAGATGGTGAAAGGTCATTCATTCTCTCTTCAAAAAGACGCAATGACGATGGAAGAATTACTGGCCCAATTAATCAAGAAAACAAGTGTTCAATGTGCTGACGATCATCGTCAGATTGTGGCATCTTTAAATGGTTGGTTAATGCATGGTCATATTGTTATTACTAATACTACTGTGTGTGTGTGTAATATGTCTAATTGGTTTCGTCATATATTATATTGATAAATAAGTTGATGCTATATATGTATTTATATTTTTTACAGGAATGGCGGGTATACATATGATCAAAGAAAATTGGCTTTCTGCTTCTGAAATGTATCGAGAGGTTTTACAATCATCGGAAAAGAACGACAAGCATTTTACAACGGATTCACTTCAGGTATGAAACACAAACACGACAGCTTATTAAAGTCATTTCATTTCTAATAACATTACCATAAAATGTATTATCCACTCTTGTATCCATTAGCTGTATCATACAAAGGAAAATTTGGCCGATTTATTGGACCGACATCATGATGGCATTCCATATACTTTGAGAGATAGTTCATTGCGAACTGAAGCTGAAGAGCTAAAGAAAAAATACCTTCAAAAATATTCCAACAGTGTAAAAGCAGCACAAATGGTGGTCAAACCATTGTCCAAAGTAATTGAAGATTTGCCAGCAGAATTCAAATGTCACAACTCATCTTGGTGGTCAATAGCCTTAACAAAAGCATCAAAAATTGGCAAAATTGATGAATTTGTTAAACGCATCAAGGATGAACTATCAGGAGGTCCGGATGTTAAACAAATGAAAAATTTTATTTCGCTAGCAAATAGGTAAACTTGCTGTTTTTGTATTCCATAATGTATTCTCAAATATTGTTACAGTAAATTATTACTTCTTGTTTGAACTGCGTAGATTTAACGATGCAAATGGACTGGAACGGGTCCTTGTTGAAAACATTCTAGAAATTGACAAGTTACGTAAATCTGCATTGAAAGGGTTGGATAAATTACAACAAGAAGGTGCAAACTCATTTGTACATGCGGCAATAAGTTGTCATTTACGTAAGAAGGCACAATTGTACTACAAAGAAAGTGATGAACTAGGATTCCGTTGTCAGCTTTGCCAATATCATGACTTGTTCTTGCAATATGAGTCGGCATTATTTAAAGAGAAAAAAAGAAAGAAAATTGTCCGGACGGGTAGACAATGGCAACAACATAAGATACTAGGAGATGTTACATCGGATTTGACTGAAGACGAACGAAACTTGGTATTATTAAGGGAAGAAGAAGAATTGATAGAGTCACTGGAGCATTGTAACGTTGGCCTTAGTGATGCCCAACGTCAGGGAACATGGGGCGATTCCGATACTGAAAAAATCTTAAAGTTAATCAACAACTTTGCAAGAATTAATGGACTACGGGGCGGTAATTCATCAAATATTAATCCATAGGTTATTTAAGTTGGCACATATCAATTAATGTACTTTCAAAGATAAAGTATGTATATATTATTTTATATACATCCTATCCTGTGCTATTTACCAACACAAGAACTATTCGAAATATAAAAACAAAGACGTTGGACATATTAAAGTATAACTTATTGATTTTGTTTAGATGTTCGAGATGATGGGACAACTCATATTAAGCTATTTGATGCCATGAAGAAAGAATTTAGATTTTTGCGTATTCTTTGGAGACAAATCTACGACGAAGTTTCTGCTTATGATGAACTTAGTCAAGCCACAACTCGACTTTGCCTGAAATATAACGTCGAGGTGAACAGTAGCAGCGTCGTTGACAATCAAGTTGCCAGTACAAGTACCGGAGGGGGTGGAAGCAGTCGTAGGAAAAAGAAACCACCAGTAAAGGAATTGCAATCTGGACAAATTGAGCAAGATCAAAGAATACAAAATATCAACTTGCTTGAACCTCATGAGTTGGAAACAAAGGTAGCACAAATGCAACTCGAATTGGAATTAGGAAAAGCAAATCTCTCAGTTCATATGGGACAGTTATTATATTTGGAGACATTGAAGAAAAAAGACTATGGAAAACGGGGTACCGTTAACTCTGAAGATTGCCCGGTCTGTCAGTGTCCGCTGAATTATGAATGGAGCGTACTATGTTGTGGTAACTCTAAATAAATTATTTTTGGTTGTTTTAAGAATTTGTAAAAAACTTAATGAATAATTTAAAATACTTCTAGGCCATTCATTCTGCTTGGACTGCATAAAACAAATGTGCCCTAATGTATCGCAAAGTTTCTTTTGTCCACTCTGTCGAACGTCTGTAAAGTATTCGGATGTATCATTCGTGGATACTAAAGGGTGAGGCCTTACGTTACTACTATGTACTTGTCAATTTACTACGCAACGCTTCGCTGGCCAGAATCTAACTATTTTTATTTTCACCAGTACTGAAGTTAGCAGTCCTTCCAAACGTTCAACGAAAACAAAACATATTAAAGGGAGTCATTCTACTAAGGTTGAGGCAGTAGTAGAAACTTTACTACGACTTCAAGACTCACATCCAAGCGAGAAAGCTATAATTTTTTCTACGGTACGTGGTACACCGCTTAGTTTCAAGTTAACCACATAAAAACAATTGTGTTGAAGTAGTGCGATCAATAATTTATTTTACTTTTTATTTTGATGCACAGTGGGTGGACGTATTAGAAATTATTTCAAAGGCTCTTGCACAAAATGATATCAGGAGCTGTCTGTTGAACCAATTAGGAAAGAAATTTGAAACCGAGTTGCAGCGATTCAAGGTTTGTGTCCAAGAAACTTTAGCGAGTCAACTGAGTTGTTTTTAATTATCCGTATAGCACAATTAATTATTCATTACTTTGCTCCTTTAGCAAACTGAGGACATCCAAGTGTTACTAATGCCACTTGCTTCTGGGTCGAAAGGTTTAAATATCATTGAAGCAACGCATATTATTTTAGGTATGTCAAGTAAAATGAGTTACTCGTAATTACTTTTGTATGATGGACGGTATTACTTTTTAGTTGAACCCATCCTGAGTCTTGCCAGTGAGTTGCAAGCAATTGGCAGAATTCATCGAATTGGACAGACAAAGCCAACATTTGTTCACCGATTATATGTAAGACGACATTTTTCAACTTCAATTCTTTCGGTTGCGATTTTATTGTTACAAAAAATAAGCATATTAAGAAATACTTATAATGCGTACTTGGCGAATTTAGGTAAAGGATACTATAGAGGAGCAGCTATTCGAGGTATTGAAGGGGCATGACGTTTCTTCTGATGCTGAAGGAGCTTTAACAGTAGCAGATTTGCAAAGTCTAATTAAAGACGGAAAGAATTACTCTGGTCCTAACACGGTGACGTTAGATTAAGATTCACCGCTCCCTACGTATTTGCATGCACACACAAGTGCATGCCTATTAATTGTCTACTTTAATAAAGTAAATTGCTGAACTTATTGTACATATAGTATAATATGTAGCTCGTTAAATTTTTTGTTGTTGAATGAATTATCGGTAATTACGTTATGTTTATGAAATTGTTGCACTAAAACAGTTAAGTAGTTTTAGTTTTATAAGGGTCAACTTGATACATAAGCTCATTTATCAATAAATGACAATTATAAAACTATTCGTGTTAATTAATCCCGTGTTTGATTTTCTTCAACAAATCTTTGGCATGATGTTCTTCCCTGGAATACATGTCAGTTACTGCAGCTGCCCCTTCTAGGATATCGTCTACCTTCTTAAGAATTAAAAAAAAACATTAGTTAGTATTGCATTGCTCATTGTTGATAAATCTTATGATGTATGTAATATTCGGAGGTATTTAACCTACAGTTACAACGTCCAGATATCTCTCAATCAATGGATTATTGAAGGATTGAAACCTTTCAAAGTCAGTCCCCCGTACGCCAAAGTAACGCCGCATATTTTGAAAGGAGTTGGTTTCTTCCACATCCGGTGGAGTGGGCGGAGCCGAAAAAAGATTCTCGAACTTGTGCTTAGGTTTACTGAAGAGCATACTCAGTCCAGCGTCAGGTGGAATTTGTTTGTTGATGTGTCGCTGGTAATGTCTTGCAACGTAGGCCTGACGTTCCAGTTCTTTGGCCATAAGATAAACTCTGTCTCTCGCCGTTTGTCGAAACAACGCTTGTTCCTGCCGTTTCGCCTCTTCGCGTTCCAACTGTGCTCGTCGTCTCCGAAAGCTTGCTGCTTGTCGCTCTCTTTCATTACTGAGACTACTTAACATTTGAGAAATGTTTTCTGCTCGGCCTAGTTATTAATTGAATATATAAAATTAATAACATGATATTCTGTCACAATTTATTTAGTATTTATGCATACGAGCTAAATGAATAGGTAGATTTGTAAATATGTAATATGTATGCATACTCTGATACGAAGTAACACTGGCGTCGGAGCCCCTTGTCATCTCATAACGATTAATTTCTTCATTGTCATTTTCATACAAAACTCGCATCATTTTCTCGTGACCAACCTCTTTGGCACGTTTTTCTCGAAGGCGTAGCTTAGCCCTGGCTATTTTTCCTTCAAGTTTTTCCTCCTCTGCGATTAGCTCTTCTGACGGTATCCAGTATCCACCTTTCTTGTGCAGATGCTTGAAGAATTTATCTCCGTCAAATTCATAAGGCTCCACCGGACTAATCTTGCCCTGTATTGTCGGAGCCAGAAATCCCTTGTCGTGTTGGTCTAGTCGTTTCAACATTGTGTTCACTCTGTGTTATAATACTTTGACTTAGGTATGTAAATATCACGAATAGGTTTTTATATAGTTAACAATTCATACTTGAACACTGGGTGATTTTTTAAATATGCCATGTCTGCTGGAGGGACCATTTTCCCCTCAATTACTAGTGATTTCACCCTATCTTTTTCGGCTTGTTCTCTTTCCACTGTTGTATTCTTGAGGCCTTTGGACTCTTCTTCGATGAGTTTATCATAAACTTTGTCCATAAATTCGGGCTCGTTCAAGAGAACGTTTGTGCTGTGCATCAAGTACTGCAGTCGAACCGCAGCTCGAAGCGGATATTCAACTCTAATTAAACAACAAGATGAAAGCGGTCACAAAAGAATGGTGTGTCGTTGGTCTATTGGGGTCACACTTGTATTTGATCATTTCTTTCGACTCAATCTTTCCAAGTTGTACGTGAATAGTTTTCCTCTGAGGCCTATTTCTGGTGGGATTGCGACCTGTTTCAGTTGCGGTGGGCGGCAGCCTTTGCCCCTTCGTGGTGCACGGCATTGAGTCCAAGTTCTTGCTACAAAAGAGTCCATTTTTGCATTGAAGATTTGCGAGTATTCTTTCTTGGAAATTTGTATTCTCAAATGGATGATCCAGATAAGTACTTAGATACTGTTTTGCGGAAGCTAGAGAACGTGAATTTCGAGATTTGTGTAAGTCCATGATATTAGAAAATTAGGTAAATAGAGTTAGACAAGTGTAATTCATTCATTCATTTTTTCGGATAGTTCAAAATAATGCGACAAGTAAATAATACAATAAATAAAGCACAATACATTTTGCACCAACTTTTTCTCGTGATAAAAAATGTTATGAGGAATGTAGAATTATTTAACCGTAATGTAACCAAGCGTCACGATTAACTGACATCGTTTCTATGGGGTGGTGCCCCATACGGTTGCGACAAATGAATTATTTCGAAATAAAATTTTCATTTTTAAATCGCTGGTCCGAAAGTCCTCTTATCCGGACCAACTAGTTTAACCTTGAATAACTTTTGAACAGGCAGACATAGAGACTTAATTCTTGAGGATGAAATCATCCTAATTTTTAGCTTGATTTTTTAAGCTAAAAATCTCGAGTGTACTATTTCGAAAATTAAAACGTTTATTTTGAAGAAAATCGCCAAAATATAAGTTTTTCAGGAATTTCACAGCCAATTCTTATCTCACAAAATTCTATAATATACCAAAGTGATCGTATGATCTAGACCGATCGATTGACACCCCACTGGAGGGTGTGAGATCACTTGATCCGGACTTGACCTAGGGGGCCATCTCAATCTTCTAACTTAGCAACGGTCCACTTACACCATTTTTTCAGTACATAATAATTAAAATTTAATTTCTTCAAAAATGAAAATTTGTGTTGGAAACAATTCATTTGTCGCAACATGTATAGAATGATAAAGTGTCAAATAATATTGACCAAGCGTCAAATGAAGAATTAACTCAATTTAATCAAGCCAAAATTTTTTTGGTCCTTGGTCACCAGTGAAAGTTGAAAGTTGACATTCACAAAAGCTGGACTCACATGCGGAACGATAGTATCTAATTCATGGGTATCACCCTTTAAACAATTAAGCCAATTAACTGATGAGTATCTGCATACATGTATGTGTAGATCCCTAACGTCGTATTTCATCGATGGAGAAGTCTTACATTCTTACATTAAGGATACTTTGTTCTACATAAAAAATTTTTGCATGCATTATATTATTTATTATTTTGAATAATGCAGTCGTGCATTTTTACATGCTTGTTATGATAAGTCATCTGGGCCACGAATCATGGGAACATAAATTTCTTCGACATTAGGATTTATTCATGTATGTAATTTATTCTTGTAAGTGTAAACGTCTACAGGAGTAAAATGTAATTGATACATGCAGGTGCAGTTGTGATATATTATGCTCTTCTGTAATTATTTCATTTAAGTCAGTTAATAATAGTTATTGTGTAACGAATATTCTGGAATCCATTTAAATAGGCATATAATATCAATTACAACATACCTACAAATGTATAGTTTTGTTGGATACGAAAATATTTACATATTAAGTATTTGTATTGTATAGATAAAAATCGACGAGTTTTCAGTTAAAGCTTGCAATTTCATTTGACAATATTGTTTGTTGATTGGTTCTCTCCTAACGCCACACAGTTCGTCCGTTGTACATTTTAATAACACCGAGCACAGGTGAAGGGTCATACAGAACTATAAAGTATAGCAATGTTCCATTATATTTCTGCGAATGCAGAACGCTTTGTGATTTGGTTTCGACCGGATAATTCTAAATTGATAAACCGAAGTTGATAAATGTACTAGTTTAAAACTCTATATAAAATATAGTGAATTCAACAAAACCATCAAAAACTAAGATTACAATGTTCACTGCCTACTTCAGCTTACTTACTACAAAAGCCATCAGTAATTAAAAATTCACACGCACTTGAAATTAGCTAGCAAATTAGCAATATATATAATTGCGTAAATATTAGTTTCAACTAGGTCACTTCAAACGGTCCCCACGAGTTTCTAATTTTGAATCGATAACATGAAAATCTGTACATTTCGTAAATACATACAATTGTTGTTGCTTAAAAATAGTTTCGTCCGTAGTTTGTAGATACATGTATATGTTTTAGACCAATGGGGATCGAATAGTTATCTTTACGTCACCATCGTTCAGCTTTTTCATAAAATTCCATGCTTCAGTTCTTGACTTTGACGACATATTGATGCCGTTAATTGATACGATGAGATCACCCAGCTTTAGTTCACCGCTTTTCTCGGCAGGTCCACCTTTGAAAAATTAAATATATAAATATAAATAATTTACGAACGTCAGACTTATATAATTGCACAATTTTTTTTACTGTCAACCGCTAAATGGGCCGGCGAACATACCAATAAATATTTTCTTGACCGTGAGTGGTTTGTCTCCTTGGATGGATCCTTTGCCTCCTTCCAAGCTAAACCCTAATCCGGCACCGTCCTTTACGAGAGTTGCAGTTTTCAACGATCCTAAGTGTAATGAAGTGTTTTTATTAAAGTTAATCGTAAAAATTTGGTTTTGACCATAGAAAACAAATAAGTTAAGTTCCAGAGGATTGACTCACTCCATTCCACTCCAATATTTATTAAATATAAAATGTTTCTGGTTATATTAAATGCATAAATTCATAACTCACCCCATTTATAACATGTATCGTCATCATTCTCAATCACTAAATTTCCGTTTAGTAAAGGTTCTATCGCTCTGTCCAGAGCGGACGTTTCCGAAATTGTTTGGAATCCATTTGCTGTTCTACCTCGAGAAACTACAAGAACCACTAGAAACAAACAAAGCAAAACGATTAATTCCGCCTTGCACACATTGTTTGTCATTTTGTAAAGAATCATATTTTATACCTTCTGTTCTTGGAGACTGCATTCATGAAAATATAAAATAAATGTTTTTACCAATATTAGCAGCCCTTAAATTATTATTGTAGCATATTTGCAGTTTAATCGGATTTGTATACCTTGAGCAAATTCAATGCCTCTCTATGTGTTAATCCTTTTGTGCTTTTTCCATTTATGGATAGAATTCGGTCGCATCGGTGAATTCGTCCATCTCGGTCTGCAATGCTGGAGGTGAGGACTTTATGAACCTGAAAATTTGGCGAAATTTTAATGAAAACGACGCGCAAAGTAGAATTTTGTGTCCAAGTTTTGTGTGAGGTACTTACAGTAATCTCTTTTGTCTCATAATCAGCTCCACCAGCCAGCGTTATTCCAAGGCTTCCGCAACTAATTTCTCGGTGCAATATTACCTTTAAAAAGATTAACAATTACTGTTGATTCAAAATTAATATGCAGTAGAAAATCTGAAAGGTTATTTGGCGGATAATTGGTTTCCATCACTCGATTTTATTTTAAAATGCATTATTTTCCAATTTTCATCCGAATTTCATCTGCAGAGATGAAACATTTACAGAGTTGGATTATTATTTGCTGAGGTGGATTATTGTTTTCAGAGGTGGATTATCATTGGCAGAGGTGAATTATCATTTATTGTAGATTATCATGATTTGAAATTACTTTAGCCTTTTACTACAGATGGGAAAAGCGAAAGATATTCCATTTGACAAAAAACGAGATATTGTCAAATTGTACAACATTTTCAAGGACGACAAGAACTATTTTCAGAATATAAAGGTATGTATTGGAAATGTATGTATGTATTGCAATCATTGAAAATGATTTATATGGATAATGCTGATTGTTTTTAATGATAGGAACAATGAGAGGAAGCTACTTTCACCCAGCTCAACGTGTCTCAAAAGCCCTGAATGTCAGTGAAAGAACTGTGTACAATGTCGCAAATGAGGAAAGAACTGGCCAACTATTAAATCCTTCAGAAAACCGAAAGCGTTGCGGTAGGAAAGCAGTCGTGATCGATAGTTTTACTGAAGGCGTGATAAGAAGAGCTGTCCTTCAATCATACGCTGAGAAAAAGTTTCCAACTCTTACTGCTCTTCATGCAACGCTTTCATCGGATCCTAACTTTCCCGAAATGAAAAGAACAACTCTTCGAAATATAATGAAAAATACTCTAAAATTTAAATACGTCAAAACTCAAGGAAAGCCTGTTCCAATGGAAAGAGTGGATATTGCTGCTTCAAGAGCTGATTATCTAACGGCCGTATTCTGAATGCAAAATTTCCAACCTGAGTGTGAGTGGCCACTCCCACTCCCCATGTTAAAGAATACAAAATGTGAGTGGCCACTCACACTCAGGTTGGAAATTTTGCATTCAGAATACGACCGTAAGAAAAGTAAAGTACTACAGGCGAAACGGATATTCTATATTTTATCAGGACGAGACATGGATTAACGAGCATGCGTGCAAAACAAAAGCTTGGCACATTCCGGAAAAAGAGATCCTTTCGATGTCCAATTCGCGACCACACGTGGATATTTGGTTAAAAGGAGTTGGACACCGTTTTGCTGATGGATTAATAGGTGGTTTCTCCGATTGGCCATCCGGGGCAGGTAGACGGATCATCATTGTTCATCTGGGAAGTGAGAACGGGTTCTTGAGGGGTGCTGGGAGGGTTTTCAGTAATACCCAGAAAAAACCCAAAGATGTACCCGAAACAACCGATGATTATCACGCAGACATGAGCACGGATTATTTCGTAGCCTGGATAAAAGAAATTGTAGACTTTCTTCCGGAGAAATCAGTTCTTGTTCTTGATCAAGCCAGCTATCATAAAACCATCGAAGAATCCTCGAAAAATCCTCGCAGTAATTGGAGAAAGGCTAAAATAATTGCATGGTTGGAAAATAAAAAAGCACAACTGCCAAGCCACTATCCTTCATTCGAGAAAATGACAATACCTCTCCTACGACAACTTGCGAAAAAGTATCATGAAGACGAAGAAATCATTGTTGAAAGAATTGTGAAAACTGTGAAAAAGATATAAAAATTTTATGGCTACCTGTCGCTCATTGCGAATTAAATCCGATTGAACTGGTTTGGTCTCAATTAAAGTTTCAAATAATCAAGCGCAACCAAAATCCCAAGTTAAAAGAAGTTGAAATGCTAACAAAAACTGTCCTGGAAGAAATGGAGGCGGATAAGAACCTTTGGGAAAAGTGTGTGGAACACGTGATAAGATTGGAAGATTTGCTAATGGAGAAAGAAAATCTTGTGGACGATTTTATGGAACGAATCATAACTCCCATTATTATTCCTGTATGTGAAGGGGACAGTACTGAAGAATCTTCAGACGAAGAGAGTGATTCAGAAAGCGAGTCGAATGGTTCTGAGAGCGAGTTGAATGTATAAAAGTTCGCATTTCATAAATATTTAAAGAAGTACATAAAGTGGACATTGGTGTTGGAATTTCATTGCAATTTAAGCAAAATTGTTTGTTAATGTGAAATTATGATGGTGGAATAAATGAATAGTTAAAATATGTTGAGAAAAAAATTGAATAAATGTGCATAGTTAAATCGTTGTCAACGACAATCAGCAACTTACGCCATTTAACCTTTCAAAAAATTTTGAGGGGTTTACTGCATATTAATTTTGAACGAACAGTAGTTACAGAAACTTAATAAACAAATGAACCCTTGTACAAATAAAAATAGAACTTACCACGGAAACTTCATGTGAAGGTGTGCCTGCTTCCTCTAGTGACTGATTTGCTGTAGGGTTTAAAATTATTGAATAAAATACAATCCTCTTTCCACAGAGTGAATATTTTTATGAATTACTGCCAGAACATTGCTACATATATTGTCCAAATAATCGAACATCTAAGTATCTATTCCTACACGCACCAAAGTCATGAATTTTCAAGAAATGTGAACAGCCAGAGAAAAAATGCTCCTTCGCAGTTAAGAAAAGATGCGTCTTTTAATTTTAAATGTTATCTATCAATCTACATAGATAAAAACTGTGCTAGTTGTTGTTGCTGGTTAGTTCTACAATTTTTGAAAATGTTATTTTGCATCTTTTATTTTACTGCATTTTCATTTTATTTTTGAGAGTTTTAAAAAGTCAGCAGAGTTGTTGTTTGTTGTCACTCGCACTGTAAAATGGCTGTACCTATTCCTATTTGATAAAATATTAGCTGTTAGTTTGGGGTTAAAAAATTAACCAATAGTCGCAATTCGATTAAACTGAATTTATCGTTGTATTCTGTGGTTACCCGTTTAAACTCTTCTCAATTAATGAATTTCAAAACAAACTGTTTACCATACGGCATTGGCGATTAAAATAAAATCATACCTTCATCAATAAGCTGTTGGAGTTCCTGTAACATTCACAATAATCATAAGTATTAGCACTACTATAATTTGATTATACGTTTCAAAGACGAAAAAAATTCTACATTAAAATTCCATGAATGCATTAATGTACATATGTATCTAAATATAAAAAGTCTAAGCATAATATTTTTGCCACCCGAGGTGACTTTTTTTTGTTGGTAATTTTTCATGTTAACTTGCCAAGTGCGTCTGTACATGCATTATATTTTACATGCAATCTATGTATGTATTTACCTACTACAATTGAGACGACCACTTGGATGATGTCTCATTAGAAACAATTCCATTTCAATCACTATTGCATAACAAAGAAACGGCTAAAATCAAATAGCATAATCCTAAGAAGAAGAAAAAGTAGTAGGAGAATGTAGTGAATCGATTCGGCCAATTACATGGTAAATTTTACACAAATTTTCACAAGTGCTACATGCAAAAGTCGTGTGAAAAGAATTGGTGTGAATGAAACACAATTTCTGCACAATTTCACCGTGGCATTTGAAGGCCAAATTGTGTCATAAGCCATGCCGTACATATGCAATTGCAAACTTTATAAAGCTTTCTTGCAAAAGCACAGGGACATAAAACTTGCCACTTTGTATTCCAAAGAAGACGCACAGAGAAGATGTGTGTATGAAGTTGCATTAATGGACTGAATTAACTAAATAAAAAATTGTCCGAAAAGACTTGTGGTGTCATAAAAAGCACTGCGTTGTGGAACGAAAGTACACAACGGAACCTAAATATGTAAACATGAATTACATTTTGTCATGCTGTGAGAACGGTATAAAGGTGAGTACATATGTATGTATGTATATCATGCTGTTAAATAAAATTAAAAGTTTCATACACAGATACACGTGAACAATGAGAAGTTCAATGTCATAAAAAAATACGTACTAAAGATCAAAAGAAAATTTATAAATACTATGTAAATATGCATAATATCAGGATGGAGATATTTTTATGCGGGCTACTAAAATTATCCTTCAAGGATGTTTTACTAAAATAAAATGCAGATTGGTGAAATGATTGTGGAAAACAGCTGAAGACTTATCGGTAAAAAAATATTGGGCCAACCTGTGGAGAAATGAGGCTGGTGGAGGACGCCAGGGACGTAATGCTGCCGTATGGATCCTTGGGGGCCGAGCTAACGAGGCTGTTTGAGGACCCGTACATTCCGGCGGGTGTGGGGGCACCGCTCTCCTCACTTGTCGTGCTGTTAAAATAGTTCGTATTATTATCTCGGAATGTAGGATTAGTCTTGCTTTAATTGATATTCTAGTGGCCCATGTATGCGATAATGTGTCATAAATGCGGCTCAAAATCGTATTAGAATTACAACATGCATACCTATCGAAGGAACTGACTCTAAAATGCGCTGCGGGTAAAGTGAGGCCCCCATCCTTATTTTTTCCAGTCCCCTCTTCCGTGGGGCTACCTCCCTCTCGACCATTGTACGAGTTCACAGCAATCTCTGCCTTCTCAAATGCCTTGCGAATGTCGTTCACACTGACGGATCGCTTTGTCCCAGCACCCGAGCCAGTTGACGTCACCCGTTGTTGCTGGGGTTCGCTCTCGCTTTTGCATTTCTCAGCGGCCCAAGCCTTATCTGCTTCCATTGCCTCAAGTTTAGCCTGCATGATCCGAGCCGAGTCGTCCCGTGAACTGGATGAGAGTCCTGATGGGGTTCTGGTCACAGTTTGTGGTATGGTATTTTCTCTGGGTGGGAATTTCAAATCTGAAATGCTACTTTTTACTGGAGATGGAGCGGATGGCTTAGATAAGATGCTGGGTGTGGTTGACGGGGGAGTAGCCAGTTGAGGTCTGCTTGGTGCGGGTGATGAAACACTGGAGGATTCAATTGACTGCCACTTTTCAGCGATGGACTTGAAGTCATTGCGACCTCTGGGTATGCTCGGATTTGTCTTTTTGAGAATTCCATCCGTGCTGGATTTTTCGATAATTTTCTCAATCTTCTTTTCCACCACTTCGCTAGCACCAGTGCTACAATCTATAAGCATAGTAATATAATAATGAAGTCTTCATTATTGTTATAGATGAAGAGTACCGTTGAAAGATGTTAATCAACGTAAATTAAAAACGACATGTATAACGACACGGTCACATACACAAATATTAAGTGGAGATGAGTGTTGGAGTGGATATTTCACACGGAAAATGGCTAATTCTTATAACATGGTTGCCAGCTCACCGTTCAAGTCAAGTTGAGACTTGTTCGGATCCAGCTTATAGTAATATGTGATGGGTGGAGCAGCCGCCGAACTGTCGTTCACCCAACTACTAACAAGTGTCTCATTTGATGAGTGGCCTTCAAGCAGAGACGACCTCTGAACTCTTTCTTCTCCAGAATTCAGAATTTAACAAATTTGCATTCTTTTCCGTCGGTGCAACTTCATTTCATCAAGTATTCAGTTTTTTTTAAGTTTAATTTAATTTAATTAAAATATTAGTTTTGACCATAATCAGTCTATTTGGTTTTATAAATTACATTCTGAATACTTTTTGCAGGTTAGCGAAGTTACCGAAGTTGGTGTGAAACGGTTGGCTTTAAGTGGTTGGTTTTACGGTGATCCTGCTCCAAGGCCCAAAATTGAGTTTCCCAAGGATCATTATTTATCATTGGTGAGTACAGACCATGTAATTATTTTGAAACATTGAAATTGTAGCTCAATTAATTCTTTCCTCCCTGTCTAATTAATATTATTATATACTTTTCAGTTTAACAATGGACAATTCACCAGTGGTAGTGGATTTGGTGTCATCTGAGGAGGAGGACGATGACTTAGTGATGCGGCCAGTATTACTAGGAAAACGTTCTCATGTAATCAGCAGCAGCAGTAACTCGGAAGAGGAGAGAGATGAAGGTAAATGGTTTTTTTTATTAATAAATCTCAAATTAATTATTTCTTCTCACGCTTTAAAGTTGAAACTGGAGCTAAACGGCTTTCAAGACCGGCTCGAGATCAGAGAGGTCAACAACAAAGGACCCGGAGTCCACCACCAACTCGTGCGCCAACATCAGGTCCAGCGATTGCTGCAGCGAGTGGGAGTGGACAAGCCGTAACGTAAGTTTCTCAATATTTTTATAGTTGACCCTCGTTTATTGGGATAAACAAAACAGTTTTATTTTTAATTATTTCAGGATTCGTGTTGTCAGACAGTATAGAAGAGTCAACAGTAAGAGGTCAACGTTGCCGGAAAAATTCTGGTGCAAATTTTGTGGCGCTGGTTTTCCAAGACAAAACGCACTGAACAAGCATGTAAAGATACATGAGGGGAAGTTTAAAGGAAAATCGTAAGTCACATAAAATTAATGGATTAGTGGTTAATGTCATAATTATTGTGCATAATAAATTATTATTAATAATTTATGAATATGTTCAAAATTACAGTTATAAGAACAAGAAGGGGGCTTATCCATGCCCGTATTGCAATGTGGTGTCTTCTTTCAGCACCAATCTGTCGAAGCATATCAAAGAGACGCATGTCGTTCCATCCCAACAAACCATGTAAGTATTTATATACAACTGTTATGAAATAATATGGGCAAAGTATGTAACTTTGTTTTTTGAACAGGACTCTGAATGAAATGAAGACTATAAATCCTTTGACTCACAATTCAGCGTTGAAGAATAGAGGTGAGGATCCGTTGGACCCAAACAACGAACAATTTGAAGTGGACGTTGAACATATGCTCGAATGGGTGAAGGAGTTTGCTGCCACTCAACAGCGAAGAATTGACCTCCGCCCAGCATCGGTCTACCTGGCTGCGTCACTCGGCCCAAATTTTGACCCAAAAATTCACAAACCATTCGAGTTTGTCAGGAACGGAGATGAAGGGATCCGATTTTATATTGGCTTTGACTCTAAAACAATTGGACTTAATAACCATCATCTCTGTTATCCCGATATTTCGCCGCTTGGGAAAGCTGACAAGTCTGGAGAAACGTGTGTCCTCCTAAAAACTTGGGGATTTGAGGTGGGGAGTCATGTCGAGAAAGTCAACGCTTCTCGTGCTTTGGAGGCATCCTTAATAGTGAGTTTCAATTTTTGTAAAATATTCAACTGTCATTTCCGTTGTATGCATCAAAATTTACTTGTATTTGACTGTTTATTTTTGTTATTTTCAGGAATTTGCCCTTACTTACCAAGAATTTAAATCTCATGATGGGAGGGAGTGCAACTTCCACAACCAACATCGGGAATTGGTTGCGTTCTTTGAATGCTGCAGTGAGGAACAGCGGAGGACGTCGCTGGAGAAAGCAGTGAAAGGGGTACCATTCATATGCTGTCAAGAGGACTGTCAATGCGAGGCGATTGCACATTTGAAGAGTGGCGAGTGTACTCCAATCAAGTTCCCTCTCAAAGAAAAGAGTGTCGTCAATCCGTTAAGCATCGGCTCCGCCACAAAAACATCCTCCAAGACGAAAGTGGACAAGAAGATCAAGAAGAATAGCCCTCTGGTCACCCCTGCCGAAATCAAAGTTGAAGTCGACCGTCGTCTGAAAGACCTTCAAGAAAGGAGGCGACAAGATCCCGACCACGAACACCATGTTTACATTACCATTTTGGCAAGAAAACGAGATTTTCCTGGACTCCGAACCGCCCGGGATGTATGTAGCGCAATCAACAATGGTGGACATGCCCAGGCCGTGATTTTATATTACGTGGGAAAAGGAGAGCGTGATGGGATGAACAAATATCACAAACATCGTCCTGACCTCAGTGCCGTTGCAAAGAAAGCATCTGGTGGTGACTATTGGGTCACACAAATTGCAACCTTTAAGTGTTCCAGTTTGGAGGAAGCAGAGAAGTTGGAAGCAAAGTTGTTGGTAAGATCATAGTTTTGCTTTGTAATAAAAATTATGTTTAATAAATGTACATGCATACTTATTATTATTTGCATCTTTTTGCAGATGTATTGCTTATTGCAAGCTCGGAAGAAGATGACCGGAACAAATTTCAACCCAATTAATGAAGCCATGCCATGGTGTGCTTTCAACAAATTAACAGAGGACGAGAAACTGCAATCTGTCCGAATGGGAGTTGCTGGAGTTCCTCCGATAACTTTGCAAGGAGTTGTTCCACATTTCACAATGGGAAAAATCTCATTTCCCGTCAACTTGGGCCACGCAATCAAGAAAAATAATGTTTTGGATGTCACCAGCGTTGCCCCATCTGAGGATTAATATTTTACATTGTACGTTGTTTTTCATTTACGTTATACGACTGTCACACTCATTTCCTCTTCTACTTAATATTTGCCTACTTCAACGTCTCATTATATGAAATTGGATGTAATTTTATACAAGTAATACATATTTTTTTGTTGTGTATACCATTGTTCGTTATTATGTAACATAGTAATACATATAAGACAAACTTCAAAAAATAAAAAGGGAACGGGAAATGAACATATGAATCAAAAAATCATACTCATCATAAAGTTGAAACAAATAAACCACACTCACTCTTTACTATCTTTGGAACGGATGTTGCTGGGGTTAGACCTTGCGGTGTTTGTGGTATTTGTGGTTCTACTTTACTTCCAAGGCTGTTGACGGAAGTCATACTTCTAGAATATTTCTTTTCTAGCATGGACCACCGTTCTGTGTCTGTGCCATTGTTACTGCTGGTTTCTCTGCTTAACGACTTATGATTATTATGCTGGCTTCCTACAGACACATTGCTGGAGAAATCGGATTCATTTCCCGAGCTACTTCGGTTTCGTGCTCTACGTTCCGTAATAGAAGCACTGTCTTCAGGGTCTATTGTTCTTTTGTGTTCAATTGGTTGCTCGATTACTGTGGCTTCAGAATCTCGACGAGAAAAGTAGCGTGACGGGAGATCTGATCGTCCTCGCTCGTTCAAAGCGTCACAAACTTCATTAATGTATGCCATCTTTACCTCAATGTCGTAAATTGCTTGGAGGGGCGACTCGGTCATTTCTGTAAATTCCATGTTCACCGCACTTTGTTGTGCTGGTTCGTCATCATCGTCATCGTCATCATCTTCTGTCTCAACCTTAGAGTCTCTTTGATCATGGGTCATCATCGTTACCCGGCTGCTGGTAGTCTCAATTAGGCGTCGACTATTTCCACTCCCTTCCAGTTCGGAGCATGAAGATTCAGTATCCTCAGTTTCAGCATCTGCATAACTGGCTTCGTCATCATCACTGCGACGATTTTTTCCATTGCTGCTGCTGAAACTGCTATCGTCGCCTTTTGTGGCCTGACCAAGACCACCACCGCTGCTGAACTTTGCACTTTTTAATACATTCTTACGATTTATTGCTTCAACGCTAGTGGGCTTCAGAACTCGCCAGCTCTCATCCATATTCATCATGACCTCTTCGTTCTTTTGATCATCACTCCCCAAATCAGGGTCTGGTGTTGCTGCAGTTGATTCTCCAGGGGTTGGAGAGTTGGGTGGTGACAATCCATGAGATATTGAGGATCTACTCGAACTTACAGCAGAGTCATTATCACTATCTTCCAGCTTTCCTGATTTCCCATTTACTACTTTTAGATTATTGTTGGTTTTCACTGTCTGCTCCTTCCCCACCTTAATTTCAACAGGTTTCTCCATACTTTTCACCCCTCCAGTTGGGGGAGTATTTTTTTGGCGTTGATGGTTTTGCTGCTGTTGGGAAACAGACGACGAAAATTCAAAGCTCGAATCCGATTTCGGGGAAGTAAGACTTTCGAGACTTTTAGGTTCGGGTGTAGTTCCGGGCGTTTGCTTATTTGTAGTAGGAGGTGAAATTTTAGAAGGTAGAGTTGTAGTCGTGGACGGCTGATAAGTCGACAAACCCCTTCTTTTAAACGCTGGAGAATACTTGGGCAATATATTTGGGAACCCGTTGGACGTGTATTCTGTTTGTTGAAGGGCACTATTGGTTTTGGCACTTTGGTTGTCATTATTATTATTATTATTATTATTATTCGAGCAGTTCGTCTTTGTGAAAGAACTGGTTGTCTCAATTGACGACGAGAACCGATCCAAGGATTCTGTTCGTGAAATTGATTTCTTGAGCTGGGAATTGTCGGTGGCAGGATACAATGATGCTGGTTTAATGGTTGGCAAGTCCATTACTGAAGCACAAGTTCTGGTTCTCATACTTCCACTCTCTGCTGCACTATTAGTGCCGTCCGTAGGCCCATCAGGGATCACAAGCCCTCTCAACTTGGTCATGCACTTTCTCCTCTGTTCCATCATGTTGGACACCACGACTGGCTTTCCTAGGGTGCTACTACCATACTGGTTGCTGGTGTAGGGTTGGCTTTGGTTTACTGAATTTTGGTAACTTGCATTTTTTCCACCGAGGTCAGCGCCTCCAACATCAACCATACTTTGTGACCTCTCGTATAAACTCAGGGGTTTCGCAGTGCTGTTGGGTGTGACTCGAGTCATAGTAGCGTACAAAGGAACGGGAGGAGTTGTGTCACGGTGGGCTGCCAGACTCAAATCAACTGAACCTTTCCTCCCCGTCGTCGTCGTCCCCAACAAGTTTTCAGAGCTTTTGCTAAACCCATTCGAGTTAGGAATATGCACAGTACTTTTGGACAGACTAGAAGACACGTGGTTGGAAATTTTCTTTGGAAGTATGGACTGCAAAGAATCTGAATCTTCACTGGAATTACTTCGACTGGAAAACATTGCAATTTTATCTTTCACTGTATGACACGGAAGGGCAGGTTGAACAGCAACATTTTTCTTGCTGGGTTCTTCACTCGGTTTTGCTGGGTAAGTGAAACCGTTGGTATTTATCATGTCTTTTGCAGAGGAGGGTGAACTCTCAAACAATTTTTTCCTGTCGTCAAAACTGTATCTTTGTGCAGCTGCCATTTTCTTTGGTGGCACCGGTGGTACTGTATTCGGGAGGGGTGGAAATTCTATGGGGTCCTCCTTGGGAGGCTCTGAAGTGGGCAGAGGTGGGGGACTGCCTGGCTCAGATGAGGGTTTAGATGATGTTCCAACCGAATACTCGTTGCGAAATTGACATTTGTCGTCCCCACTGAATTGAATTATCTTTTCATCCGACCAGTAATTATTTGGGAACTCGTGCCCGTCGGGCGGCAGTCGGGAGAATGTGGGTGGTGGAAACTGGTGATGACTATGAAGTACTTCAGTGGAATCCATTCTTTTTGGGGGCAAAGTTATCTGTTCTGCTGCTTGGTCGCCTGTTGTGACTCCTGCAACAAAAATATAAAAAATCCAGTTAATACTTGCTATCATAAATTCCTTGAACTCTAATAAGCTTATCAAAATGCAAAATATGGCAGCTCATACTGATATCTACAAAGTCAAGGTCTTGAAGCGTAATAAAAGTTCTGGAACAAATAATTCAAGCCCCAATAAATTATTTATATTTAGAATAAATTTGTAAACAATGGCTTAATCATCTTGCTTGATTAATTTATTACGTGATAAATTAATCGGACAATCTGATGTAATAAAGTAGACAAAATTGTCTTACAGAATGTGCATACATACATATTTGTACATGGTGTATGCGCATATATGTATGTACATTGAAAATCATTATTAAACTTGGTTGGTATTTGCATATCTTTGTATCACAATACAAACATATCAACTTGATAATTGATCTAATTTTTGTAGTAAATTCTACTGTCCCTGAATTGGTCGTTTTTTGAGAGCTTTGTTCATAAATACCTAATTTGCAAACCAAATCTGCTACCTAATTCTAAAGCATGCAATCTATGTGCCCACAAACGTTCGCTTTCTGAACGTGTTGAGTAGATACACAACCCAAAAATGCATCAAAGGAGGATGGAATAAACTCGCTGCTTGCAAATTATATTTCTACTTCATGCTAACCTAAAGTAATAAAATGAGCAATTGTACTGTACAAACAACATTTACGAGAATTTGGGTCAAACTCGTAAAAAAACCCTCCAAAATAAAAGTAAACGGTTTTATGTAGAGAATTATCTCATTTCGATTTTGAAGAGTGAGTGATCAAGCTCCAACCAGACTGACTTTTATAAATAAATAAATACATAGTACCACTCCTACAAGATTTACTTTTCTAGCACTACATAATATAGGGAAGTACTTGCTTGACATGCAGGAGTAGTAGCAGTGAGTAGGGGGTCATAAACACGCCACAACGGCTACTACGTCTAATTTTCACGATGAAAGTGAAATTCTGAATTGAAAAGATTATCTTTGTTTTACGATATGGCTGCATTGTTCGAGTTAGAGAACTTTCCGATTATCAGTTACCAGTGAATTAGGAGAATGCATGAACTGGCTGAGCATCAATTTTTTTAAAATTAAATAACAAACCCCACAAATGTTTAATGACCAATCCGGGTAATGACATGTAGTACATATGTAGATACTTATTATGCATGTGATTTCAAACCATAAAAGATGTATTAATGGCAGCTCGGTTATTGACTTACGCCTCAGGATTTCGAGAATAAGTTTTGACGAATGTAACATTTTTGTTAAAGTTTCTAAAAAAGGTCACATATAGCTCTGTCACTTTTTGTTCAATCACTTATCAATAATACACGTAACAACGAAAATTTGGAGCCCAGGGGGACGCACTTTTCATTTCCAATAAGCACCATCACAATTGTACTATTTTTAATTTACCAAGCTTAAATTTTCGATCGGATTTTGAGGCTATGCATGTCTGTCAGGTTTTCAAGATGTTCACATTTTTAGTTGGTGAATGGCCTGGGACTATGTGCTTATGTACATAGTGTAGGACGTTTGTGACTATAACGCCCCCTCTTTATTGACGTACTAACAACAATTACGGTACTTCACAAATAGTTAACATCTATTATAATGCACTAATTAGTATTTAGTTTCTTAACAAACCACGTAATTTAAGCCACAAACTTCCACACAACATATTTCCTGAAATATCGCTCAAACACTAACTGAACTAAAAATAATGTACGACTAACCGTTACAAAGAATGAATAACACACGTAATAATAGAAATGAGAATTAACACTAATAACGACTCATATTTTCCGCAAGCATGGCACGTTGAAGCAAAGAGTCAACTCGTAATTTAAATGTGTTTTAATAAAACAATGAAAATAGATAAACAAAGGAATCGAAAGTTTGAATGAATTTACATCATATTTTATGAATTTTAGCGTGGATTCAGATATGTGCATATATACGTATGAAGTGAGTAAGATAATGAGTTCACCCTACCGGAAAAGGTTAATTTTTACGAGGACCAAACCCTCGATCAGGGGATTTTGGTATTAACTAAGTAAATGCAAGATCCTCTCAAGTGTGTAAATTAATTCTGCAGTGCAGTACTCCTCTCACTTATTAAATACTGCCTCATGTCCTATTTTGTTATAAATCATTGTTGAATATGGCGTGTAATAATAACGCACACTTGTAAAACTACGCATCTCTTTCAGCCAATATGAACTTCAGGAACTTTGTAAATACACGATCGTCTCAAAAATTTTGATTTAAGGCTTACCCTCAAGCTCGGAGGAGTGAGTTGGGTTTGGAGCAATATCCCAGTTTCAACCTTCTCTCTCGCTTTGCAGAATACATTGTAGTGCCTATCTCGAAACTTCGCATCGACCCTGTGGGGGGGAGGAGTCGACCTCAGGGTTCATAATAGTGGAATATGTTGCACTCGTCTTTCTGCGTCTGATGGTATTTTTTTCAAATTTTTTGGACTCGCGCGAGGGGCTGCAAATGGTTTACCAGTCTACATAAGGTTACATTACTTGATGGTATCCTATATCCTCCCCCCCACAGGGTCGATGCGAAGTTTCGAGATAGGCACTACAATGCATTACGCAAAGCGAGAGAGAAGGTTGAAACTGGGGTATTGCTCCAAACCCGATTCACTCCTCCGAGCTTGAGGGTAAGCCTTAAATAATGCGTCGAGATGCCTAAATTAATTTATCTCATGTATTTACTGGATAGAAAATATAATTCCCGTTGCATTCAAAATTAATGGTCCCACCGTACAAACATTGTTAAATGCGAAGTACCCTAAATATATTTGCAAAAAGTTTTTTTGGGACCACACATAAAAATCGAACCTCAAACATAGAGGTCATTTTTGCAAACTCTCGCACTAATTCTATTTAGGCAATTTAGGTGGTCTTGGTTCACTTTTTCATACATACATGTATGCATGCAGATGATCTTTAAACCATGGCTATACGTTTACACAGAGTAAAACAATTGTATTATTACATACATATGTATATACAGTAAAACTAAAAAGTACTTGCACTCACTATGTTTAAATTTACAAAGCAATTTTTATATTTAGTGTTACATTTGAACAAAAGACTCGCCAATATAAATAGGTTTGAATCATTTTAATTTAGAGTAAAAATGATTACAATAAAATTCTACAGTAATCGCCTATCACGAACGGAAACTAAATCCGACCGTCTTGATCGTTTACGTGTATTATTTCACTTTAATTGTGTTATCCAATAAATACATGTAACCACCGTTCTGAAAGTCACGATGTTAAGCAATTATCTCTCAAACTATTTGTGGCTGATTGGCGTATCGATCCAAATGTTACAACCACAGGCTGCTATAAACTTTAAAATCAATTGTTTATTTATATTTGCCCCCAAACTATTCACGACGTTTGCGATTTATTGTAATATGTTACAATTCCATTAATGCAGTTCCTTTAATGTGTTGATTAAGGTTTTAGTTTACTGCCAACTTTCAGAGCCAACGCAATTGCTTTTGCCAACTAATCTTGCAAAATTATTTAACAAATTATTAACAAATTTGAAACATTGTATAATCAAAAATGGAGTTTAATTTGATACGATGAATTTTATATGTAAGTACTTGAACTAAAACTGACTCTAACTCTGACTGACTGAATCCAACCCCAGCAGTTGAGAATTACGTAGAGTGCAGAATTAATAAAAATTGCAAATATCCCACAACATTATTAACTAACTTCCATCCGAACCAAATTCAAATGGCCTTGGGAATGGAGTGTAGGTTAATAAATTAATTAATATTCGATTATGGGTATTTTTGCCTCAGCGAATGCAAACATAATGTATAAACATTATGCACGAGCATTGAAAGGAAACTAAAGGGTGTTAATAAAGTCCGATCCCATGCATTTTTTGGAGCGTGGTTGTTACAAATTCAGCTGGAACTTTTGAACCAGTGAAGTTATTTATTTCAAATTTTTACCATGGGAGGAACAACTAAACGTGTAAGTCATGAGCATCTTAGAGTTGAGATACAAACATTGCATCAGCAGGGGCTTAAACCTACAGAAATTGTGCAAAAATTGGGCTGCAGCCGCAGAACTGTTTGGAAATGGAAGAATAAAAATTTTGTCCACGACAAAAAGCGACCAGGGCGACCCAGAAAGGTGTCACCTACCACAAAAAGAATGATTAAAAACAGACTTTGCAAGAAAACCGGTAGTTCATTACGTAATTGAGCAAGGGAGTTAAATGACTCAAAACGCTATAAAGAGAAGAAGAAGCAAATTAACTGTGTGACCGTGCAAAAATTTGTGAAAACTACGAAGTGGGGTCACACAGCTTACAAACTAACCAAAAAAACCTCTCATGTCACAAAAATATATCGATGACCGTCTGAAATTTGAAGAACTCCTTCAGAAAAGTGCCCATTTGAGTGAAAAAAGACTTGGTGAAGAATTGCGCAGTCACATCCTTTGGACTGACGAATCTATTATTGAACTATATCCAAAATTGAACCAACAAAATGTTCGTTACAGGACAGAAAACAAATCGGATGTACCATCAAGAGCGATCCCAAAATTCGGGCTTAAAGTTATGGTAGCGGGTGGATTTTGTGCACGTTGCGTGACCCCTCTACATATCATACCAAAAGGCCAATCAGTCAATGCAAAGCATTATATGGAAAAAATATTACCTATCTATTTCGATAGCATGGGGAACAAGGAAATATTTCCGAATGAAAGAAAAATAGTTTTCATGCAGGATGGTGCTATAGCCCATACAGCAAAAGCGAGTTTGAGTCTCATCAAGACGCAAGTTTCAACGGTCTGGAGCAAGGGGGTGTGGGCCGCTAACGGCCCAGATTTGAATCCCCTGAAGAACCAGTGGTCCATACTTAAGGAAAATGTATACAAAGAGCCACAACCCCGGACGAGGGAAGAGCTAGTAAAAAAAAGTTCAAGATG